TACCCAGTCTCTGGTGTCAAGTTGCTAGGTCATTAATGCAAAATTTATTAAGCCCTGATTACTACACTTTCAAAACATGAAGAAAGTATTTGAGTGTTTAATGGAGAGCAACAAAAATTTGTAAAACAGGGGAAGCTTATGTAATTTTGAAGTTTATTCATTTACTTCTACAAAAACAAAACATATAATTTAAATTTATGCACACATTTTGGACTCTCTGGTTAAAATTATTAGAGACTAAACATACAAGTTAAATTTATGTACAAATAAAGAATTAACATAAATAAATGATTTTTCTATTTTGGATTGTCTGGTTAAAATAATTAGAGACTAAACATAAAAATTAAATTTATGCACAAATAAAGAAAATTAACATAAAAAAATTAATATTTCATTTTGGATTTTCTGGATAAAATATTTGCTTGGCTTTAACACTCTTCACCCTTTTTTGGGGCTTAAGATTGCCTTAGGGATGAAAGAGTATTTTTATGCCTTCTCCGTACTAAAGGGTATACACAATTTAATAGTTTTTTTTTCATAACTTTCTAAAGTGCAAAACCTTCTCATTGGAATTCCTGTCAAGTAATCCCTTTTAAGCAGTGTGGACACACGTAACAATGGAGAAATCCAAGCCAAAAGGAGTTGGCACTATCTGCTATCCTTGCCCCCGGCATGTGTGCGTGTGTGCGTGTGGGTCCTGACATGTGTATGTGTGAAGGAACTTCCGCTGTGGTGTTTGATATGATGGTGTTGGTGATGATGGCGTTGCCTTCGCTTCCGCTGCGCTGGCTTAGATAATGCTTGGGCAAAGCAGTGGGCCCAGCACGTGACAGGGATGGGGGAAGGACCACCAAGGGATGGGGATGGAACCCAGCTGCTTGGAGACTCCGGGCTGAGATTCCTCAGATGATATACCTCATCGCGGCTCCACGGGCGATGGCGTTTATTAAGCGCATATAATCGTAAAAAAATTAGCTCGTATGAAATGCGCACTGAGGCTGCGACACAAACTTGCGTTTGGCTGGCGGGATAAAACGTGACAAAGGACGAGGGATTGGAGCGGTGTGCTTAAAATGCAAATGACATAAAGTGTAGTGTCTTCCCAGGGAGTCGAGTCATCGCTTTGCTTCCTGCTCCTCCGTCCGTTGCCAGGGATTTACTTAAGCATTTTGATTAAACGCCCTGTTTTGCTTTATTCTCGTCATAATTTGAATTAATGTCGGAGCTTAACGAGCAAATTGCTATGTTTAGCTAGTTTTGAATGGATTGCGTAACCAATGGCAGGGTGGAAGCCAGTGTAATGATAATTAAGAAAAGGGTGGCAATCCATTAAGGTCTTGTTGCTCAAGGTAGACTGTAGTCGCAATTAGTTTCACAGCTTTCTGTTCATTTGTATTAATTAAAAACATAAAGACATAAGCTGTAATAACTTCAATAATTTAATTTTGTGCATTTTCTATAGATTACAGTAAGTTGACACATTTAAGTTTTGCAAGCTTAAATTGTAGTTAAGCTAAATACATTTCAGGGTTCGATAACCAATAAATTTCCCAATATTAGGAAAGCAACGTTTAAAACAAATAATATATAAATTCCGCAAAAGCTAGAGTAACTTGTCAGCAATTAAAGAAAGCGCCAAAATCTAAACGGTTTGTACGCTTCTAAAGATTATGTTAATAAAATGTATATTGTTGGACTATTAATTTTTAAAATTAAAAATATATTTCTCTAGTTCTTAAAAATTACCATGTAATGATGTACATACTTTAAAATTAATTTTAGATCTCACTGTAGCATAAGTTGCTTTTTCTAGTAATAGTAGGTTATAGAAAAAAAGATACATAAACTTCTAATATTTTTTACTCTAAAAAAAAATATAAAATTATGGGAATTCAAGTGTTCCCTGTACAGTTATCGGCATTGTAAAACCACGAACCAAACATATTGAGCTGTAACATTAAATTGACTTTAGATTCAGCATGGAACTCAATATTCCGTTTTCTGCGAGCCGACATGAAGGTAAATGTTTCCTATTCTTGACACAGTTTGTGTGCACACACCGAAATCAATATCCGCCTAGAGCTGCCATTCGCTGGCATTCGCTGCCATCGAGTGTCACACATTTCATTTCCGCCCGTCTACAGGACACGCCCACATATGCAGATTTACACGCCCTTCCTGTCCCCCAAATGTTGCAGGATGTTGCCCCAAATAGTTCCCAGAAAAGGGATCTAGGTGATGCCTCTGCAGTTTTTTTTTATAGCTAGCTAGACCCTTGTTTTATTATTCTTTATAGGCAACTTTGGGACTCATTGAAAAACTGAAGCGTAGAGCCCGCCATTAAAATGGCTAAAACTTGTAATTGATTGTCTACTGTTAACGCTTAATTCAATGCATACAATAGGGAAAAGCCCAGGCACGGCTGCAAAACAACTGTAGCAAGTAGCTCTAGAAACAATAAATAAGCCAATAAAATTTTAGTGGCACGTAGCATAAAAAGCTCTGGGCACAAACAAAGGACAGAGTGGAAGTGGGCTTAAAATAAAGCAAGAGGGAGGCCATGAAGTGGCCGGAAGTCGAGTCGAGTCGAACTCGGACTCGGACCCGGAAAAGTCGGAAAACTCGAGGCGAACAGGTTGCGTGAGCCTGTCAGCATAAAATTCGCTGGAACAGGCTCGAGTGGGCGGGCAGATAAAAGCATTACAATATACACAGCAGCAGAAATGTACACAATAACTGGGCTACAATTGTCTGGCTTTGATTCCGGCTCTGAGTCCGCGGCCTTGGAGTGCTGCCAAAAGTGGAAAGTTTTCAATTGCCAGGATCTGTGTCTCCGGGCCACTGCCACACACAACGCGGCCTAAGCCCCCACTTCAGCCTCAGTTTTAGCCTCAGGCACTTGTTTACGTACTTCGGCGCTCGCTGAGAGCGTATCAATCAACTGGGCCACGGGGCGGATGAATTCGGTCTTGAGACCGGAGACAAAAGACATCCCCACGCCGTCTCGAATGCCATAACGTGCCCAACCAAATGTGTTGTTTTCCAAATTAAATTCACTTCGCCCTTCAGAATCTAATCAAAGTGCTAGCGCTGCCATCATGAACTTAGGGTTCGATTGGAAAGTTACTTCCAGATTTACGAGGGGATGCAAATTTACAAGTTTTTTAAGGGATGCCAATCTCTTGTGGCCCATCTAGGATTTTTATTTGAAGAAAGTATACGTTAAAGTTAGCTCAAAAAGTTTTGTCATATTTAAATAATTTTAGTATTATAAGCTACACCAAAAGAACTAAATCATATTTGTATATAAGTTATACATAAATAAGGAATATTATAATAAGCATTGAAAAATATAAAAATAAATATTAAACACCAGTATTGAATTAAATTTTTTTATTTTCATAGTAAATTTTATTAAATACAAAGTGTTTTTCTTCTAGGTATATTGAAATGAATAATTTAAATATTTTTTAACAAATCTTGTGTCAGAGTTTTTTTTGTGAATGTTCATTTTATTTCCCGTTCTGAATTAAATTTTTTTTGAGGGATAGCCAGTGTTTATATAGGGTATAGGCTGTTCGACCCTAAGTGCTCGTCTTACTTCCGGAAACGCTTATTGGCCTTGGAGCGACTCACGATGGGCCGTGCTGTTTCGGCGGGTTCCGTGTGTTTGGGCGTCGTTTAAGCCGTGCCCTTGGCGGACGCTCTCAATCATATCTGATCAAATCAAATCAGCCGCTTCGTCTTGCTCCTGGCATCCGCACAATACGTACCCAGTTAAGTGTGGGCGTCGCCACGATGACGCATGGTTTTTCGGTAGGTGACTGGGAAGGAAACTGCCAAAGGATGTGGGCGTTGGGCGGATGGTGATGAAGATGTGGGCTATAAATACGCCAACGATGCGACGGCTGCCTGGCATTTTTAGCACCCTGTCTCCACACATTTTGCGGTTATTAAATTTATTAAGTTTCACTGCTAGACGGAGGCGATGGGTGGACTGATGATGGATGATAGATGAAGCTGTTGGCAGATGTCTAACTAATTAAGAGCAGGCGCAAAATGTTGTGGGTGTGAATGCTTAAAAGCCCGAAAATGGCTTCCGAGTAATTTAAAAAAGCTTTAACGAGCATTCAAATTGCAAACGAAACGTTAATCAAACCCCAATCCAATTTTTCGAAACTTTTCTAATTATAAATCAGTTCTCAAGTAATTTACAAGTACTCTGGTCCACCCTCGACCAAAATACTTTGAACGAAAAACCAAATTACCAAACATTTTTCACGCCACACTTAATGTTATTTCTTTTGGTGGTCCTTTTTTTCCATTTCCCAAAAAATAGGCCATAAGAAAATGCGCCCTTGGCCAAAACGAGAGCCAGAAATCAACTTCCGTTGTGCAGCGGAAGTGAAATGTGAAATTTGAAATTTATTATTGGCAATGCAAAGAGACCCGGAGGAGAAACACAAAAAAAATCAGAAGGCGGTGGGCGCAGGGCCCAACAATATTTATGTTATTAAACTGAAATCAATGTGCAATATCCGCTGGCGAGTCAATAAATTCAGTTAGTAGAGTTCAAACTGATTGGCACGAAATCATTTTGGGGCAGAGCAATTTTTTCGACGTCCCTTCCAATTTATTTCATTGCCATTGATTTGTTTTTGCTTCTTTGTACCTGTCGGACTTTTGGGAAACGTCATTTTAATTAAACTATAGCGACCAATCTTGCGTTTAAATAAAATCAAAATTGATTTACGATTTTGTAAATTGTTTGGTTATTTCCAGTAAGCAATTTAACATATAGATTAGACATTTTATCTATTATTTTTAGAAACCGTTTTGTTATCAACGATTAACAAATTCAGCGGAAAATCGACAAAGCTTTATTGGTTTTAAACATACACGGATTAAAAATCTCTACCTACCTATATTAAATAAAGTAAATCACTGCATTAGAGTTATATTTCTAAACAATATCTATTTTCTTTTTTTTCCCCTTACAGCACATATTAAGGAAACATTAAGCAATAACATAAAACTGCAGCCAATTTGATTGCTACTCTGGCCTCGATCATTTCGAAGCTAGCTGCTTAGCTTCGGCGTTGCTTCGTCTTAAGACTTTTACTTCTATCCAAACGAGTACCGCAAAATCAGTCAAGCTGGCGTCGTTCAAGCAGAAAAATAACAATAATACTATAAGCAATTATAATAATAATATAATGTGGAGTAGTACTATATCGCCAACCAACTCTAAGAAACTATTGATCGGTAGCACACGAAGCGTTGATTATGTCGGTGATAGTGCAAGGACAACAGCAGGCAACAACAAATCAGGAGCAGCAGCAGGAGCCAAAGGATCAAAAGCCAAAGCCACCGCCATTGCAGCCACAGCCACAGTCGCAGCAGCAGCGAACACAACAAAGATCTCAATTGAAATGGAGCTTCATATACAGAATAAGTGCATTTCGGCATAGCGCATCACTCTGGAGGGTGGTGCGGAGCCGCCATGGCTGCAGGGCCCCCTTAAAGCCGCATTTTTGGGGGCTACTGGCGTCGGCAAAACAAGCATATTACAGGTGAGTTCTAACACAAGGCCAATACCTGAAGATATTTGCCCGACTCTCGGTCCCGAAAGTCAATGGCATAGGTTTTTCTTTTTACTAGTTTAAAAAAAGTAGATCATTTTCATTTATTTTATTTTGCTTTTGACCAATTGATTTGAGTGTACCTTTGTACAAAACAATGATTTGTTTGTGTCGACCTTATTTTTATACCCAAACAGAACGTATTACAATTTCAGTTAGAATGTATGTATTTAAATTAAATCCGTTCGTCCGTAAATATGGTTTCAATGCTCCAATGGTCCTGCCAAAGTTTACTTCCTTTATTTTTAGTAAGAAACATATTTCTTGCTATTATTTATGTAATGCAATTGTCTTTTTTAAAACACCATCTGAAATTTCTTGAACAAGTTGAACAAATTTAACATATAACATAAGGAACACGCCAGGAAACCGAAAGAAAATATTCTTCAGACCCCAGGAGGTTTTTTCTGAGTGTACACAAGCGAGTTGATTTGGCTACTGTGCATTTCATGCAGTTCAAAAGATCCAAATTTAGATCACTTACCTGGCTGATAAGCTGTTATCGCCTCCACATGTTCAAGGCCTCGGTGGCGCAGTTGGCAGCGCGTAAGTCTCATAATCTTAAGGTCTTGAGTTCAAGCCTCACCCGGGGCATCAATTTTTTTTGGTCGCTCAATAATTTATTTCTACTACTCCTACTACTCTGCCGGAATCCTACTTAACTTCACGAATGTATCATAAGATTTACTATAAAATCCTATTTAAATCTCAGCACATGTTTAAATAAATTCGTGTACTTTTAAAAGATCAAAGTGCATCCATTGGACATGGCTACTTAATTGATGTAATCAATACGGAATCCCCAATGATAATTTAAATGTTGGTTAAGTGCAATTTTGTAATGCAATTAAAATTAATGACTGTAATAACCATTAGTCCAATCCGATCCAATCATCAGCAACATAGAAAAGGTCCTTGTTGCCGATTCGCATTAATTAATTTTTCAATAATAAATTGCATTTTCAATTAACACAATTCCTGATTAAAAGTTTCCCCAATACAAACAAAACGGTAGATCCAGTGGGATGATGGAACGATGCAGAGATGCAAACGCTGCACTTTTCATGCTCCAACTTGGCTTTAAATTATTAATGGGCATCGGGCGACCCCGATGAAAGCTAAAAAGTTGAGCGGCAAACTTTTTAATAGACCAGTCCCATGCCAGCAGCTGGCTCTCATCGCCGATGTTTAGCGCATCAGCCACCTATGCAGCCACCTCCAGCCAGGACCCACATCCCTCCTCTCCTCCACACTCTTTTCCCAGATCTGCTAATTGCATTTGTGTGCGTGTGGGAGCGTCGTTAATTTGATTTGCGCTTCGCATCGTATCTTTTGTGGTTTATCTTTTGTAATTAGACAATGGCAAGGCACACAGCTAAAATGCCTCACATGCGTTTACCGGGGGTGCCTGCCTCAGCGTTAGGGTATATCAACAATGTGGGTGACTATGGCACTGGAACACTTTATTGGAATTTGTTAACATAAAGAGACCAAAATTAATAAGAGTCTGGAAAATCACTGTAATTCTCACGAATTTAAAAATCTTTAATAGGTATAAGTTCACCAAATTGTATATGTTTAAAGTGGGTATGCGGATACGTACAAAGATAGTACAATAAAACTATAAAAATAAGTATCTTTCCAATCAGAATTTAAATATAATTTAAAAGGTCATGAGTTATAATTTCCCTCTTAAAGTGGAATTTTCTACACAAATCTTAGAAATTTAAAATTTCTTGTTAAGCTAAAAAGAAAATATGCATTAATTTCATAATCAAACAACATTTACAAGTTTAATTTAAATGCGCCAATAAAAAAAATTTAGCAATTTAATTCCGGCAAAGTAAAATGTATATGTTTTCTGCATACAATGTTAAGAATGGAGCACTGAACTTTAACCTCTTCTACTTTTTTTTTATATATTTAAAATACACAGTAGTTAATAAAACTTAGATAAACAAAATCATTAAACTATATGGGAGAATGCAGTGATTTATACATTATATAAAAGAAAAAAGTAAACATTAAAGTTATGACCCAAGATGATGAAAGCTACCTAATGCCCGGAATTTTCGTACACAAAATTTGTCACATAAAACATAAAATATGACAATTTATTGCTCAGCCTGCAGCTGCTTTATCGTCGAAGCAACGGAAATTGTTTGCAAATAGAGTATAAGCCTCGGGATGGAAAATGCTTCATTTTCCGCAACCTCATCCTCCAGCCCCCCACCTTTCACCTCTCGCTCGGCAAATTCAATTAACTGCAGTTGGCAGTTGCGAGTTGGCCGCTTTGCCATTTGCTTTCCCGCTGCGCTCTCCATTATTTTCCATACATTTGTTTGTGTGTGCTTTGCAGCTGCGTTTAATTTCCACCAACCTAAGCGCATGCTTGTGCGCTGGCTTTTAGGACCGCTTTTCCACGGCCCCTCATCCTTTGCTAAGCCCAGCTGTCCAACTTCCGCCATTTGACTCGCGCCATCGTTCTTTTTTCGTTTCCCGTTGGCCGCCTTTTATTGTGTGTAATGCGCGATTTGTGCATTTTTATGGCGTTTTAAGCACTGCAAAATCAATTACGTCCTGTTTAATGGCTGTTGGCGGTCAAGCCATGGGATCTCGTCTATGGGTGGTCATTCGCAAGAGGTTAAAGCTCGAACATTTCCCAAATTATTATTGCTGCGTTAATGTAATAGGCGTGTAAACGAAGAGTGCGAAATCAAATTACATAATGGCTATAACAGGTTAAAGCAAATCGGTTGTTACAATAACTACAATAAAAAGATGTAACAAAAACATCGCATATTTTTAGTACTGCGATAAACACAATAAACATGTTTCATAGCTCAAATTTATTTAAATCAAATTTTCTATAACTTGCACCAAACAGAGTAGAAATAACTTTTAGATTATATTTTAAATAGTTCAAACAAAATAATGGCCACAAGCACGTCAAAACGCCATAGATCGATATTTTCCAAAAAAAAAAATATATTGGCTTGCCTATATTGGGTGCAGAAGAAATTCATATATGTTTATTTAAATAACAGATATTTTTTGTGCACGAAAAACAATGTTTAGATTAAAAGAACAACCTTTTCATTAATATTAGTTAAGAGTTGTTGAACATTGGTTAATTTAAAGAACTTACCTCGAGGTCCAAGTAAATAAAATTTGAATGGTACATTAATTTCAATTTGTGGTGCCAACACTTGCCAACACTTTTTTTATGTTTCACAAAATATTGTTATGAATTCATATCTACCAAGTGAAACATATTTTAAGTAAAAAAAACTCATCGCTCACTTCTGACGAGAAAAACAATTTCAACTACACCTGTTGTCGTAGTGAATGCGAAATTTCACATGACTTCTATCTTGACTTAACTTTATTCCGTTTCGTCGCTGCCGACCAAAAATGTTCCCATAAACTGTGCTAATTCCAGCAAATAAAAGGAAGATATAAAACGTAGTGCATCATAGCAATAAAGAATACGCAATGAATATCTATTTGGGTAAATTTGGAAAAGCTGCTCGGATCCCCGGCGTGTTTATTTATGCGACGGATAATGTCCTGCACTTTATGGGGCAGCAAAAAGCATAAAGAGGCGCAAAGCCGGCCACGACAACGGCAGCAACTCGGAGAAAGTAGGACAGAGAAAGGAGCGCAGAGAAAGGAGAACGGTGCTCGAAACTGTAAACGGGAAACAGGACCTGCAGACCGCGTCGGGCTACGAGAGACCATCAATGTCATTTCTTATTCAATTACCAGTTCAATAAAAATAAAACTCAATGATATGCGGAGCGGGGACATAAAAGCGATGAGATGTGAATCGATGTCATGCCAAGCGCTGCGATCTGACCCCTTTAGCACGTCCTCTTTCTCCTTGGGGAAAGTGCTTGTGTGTGCAGCGTATAATTTTAGAAAGTCTGCGCTAAAGTCATTCCCGCTTTTAGGCCAACCATCGGTGACGACTTGCTATCTGACCACTTCCGCTTCCGGTGGTTGGCCTCGTTGGTTCCTTTTTGGCGCTCGGTAATTGAATGGTAGTGCGCATAAATTGCATCTGATTTCATTGCATTGACAACAATGGCCGTGCTGATTGGCAGAATAGAATTTGCATTTATATTAGACTAGCGCTGGATCGTGGGAACGAACGCTTTTCACTGAGAGAATAAATCATATAATTTCATCAGTTTGAGAGTTTCTTAGAATGTTTTGCATTTTAAAAGCGAATCTATAAAAGAATTATATATTTCAAAAATATTAATTTTAAATATTCGAGGAGAACAATCTAACAATCGATGAAAATTCAAGAAACACAGAAGTTTTTTTCTTGATACATCTTAAAACCAATAATGATTACGCATTTAAAACGTTTCTATATTCAATAGCTGTGTAAATATTTTGAAACCAGCCTATTTCGAACTCGACTAGTTAAACTGGCTGAATGACTGAATTTTTTTCACTGTGTGAATACAATCAGGGATATGGTAAATTGGCAATCTAGTCGATGGCTTCTTGGACAGACAAGACATCACTTTAAAACGCAATCAGGCGTTAAATATCCTTTGAGCCTGTCACTCATTCAGCTCATGCATTGATACCCGCTGCGGGGCCCCACATCCAACCGGTCACAGTCAAAATCTTCGCCCAATCCGCCCCGTTTCCCGCCTTTCATTATCATTTTTCTTTTTTTTTACAAACTGTATTTTATATCTGCGTCGGCCTTGGCTTTATTTTTAGGACGCTTGCCGTTGACTGCGATTCGCTCGGGCAACTTCGTCTTCTTGGTCCCGGACCCCAGAGTAAAGACCCAATAAGAGACTCAAAGCAGCTCGGCAGCTCAAAGGGCTGCGGGTTAATGGGGTCATTTCGACCACGGCACAGAGTGGAATCCAAAAAAGACCCGCGTGTGCGTTATGAGCTTTGGATTAGAGTTATGGCTCGTTACCGAGACTTAAAAGAGCTAGTGAAGCGCAGCATTAGGGATCTACAAATTTATTAACAAATTAAAGTGAAAGCCCCCGCTTTTATTTTATTTATTTAAAAGAAATTGGATTTTATTAAAAGATTATCATACAGTTTTGAGAAAATTAGAGAGTCGCTAATAAAAGTAATGTATTTTTGGAATTTATACCATTATAAAACTTGTTATATTTCAATGGGGTTATGGTATTACTTGAATTGATTTAAAATTCAATTTGTCTGAACTCTAACAAAAAAATATTAACAAATTAAAGAGAAGTTAAGGGTTACGAAGAGTTGATTGAAAAGTGCTTAGATTTTATTGAATATTTTTTTAATCAGTTGCCATCCAAAATTAGTCTATAGTTCTCATTAGCTTATCTAATAAACTTTTAGAAATCTTTTATAGTTTATGTTAAATAACCAGAGCCATATTTCTTTTAGAATTCTCTTTTACCAATCCTACACTCCGCTACATATATACATAGCTCATATTAACATTACCCAGCGACTGGTGTGCTTTTAGTACTTTATTTGATTACACGACCAGGGAGAAAATAAAAACCATAGCATACATTTAAGCGCTTACAATTTTAATAAGCTAAAAATGTCCATGAAATATGTGTGGCTGTTTTTGTGAGATTTAGCCGGCCAAAGGACCTCATGCCAAAGCTCAGAGCGCATATTTAAAATGTTTGTTCGACATGGAAAATAGAAAAAAAGAAGACCAAGCTGTGTGTAAAAGAAACTGAAAAAATAAAAGCTCTGTTTGCTTTTGGCCAAGGTTTTTATGGGGCCAAATGATTTGATGATGGAAAATACATACAATATGCAATATTTTACAATCATAACAATATTTAATTTCGGCATATATGATGCAACTGACACTGTTTTTTCATGCTTATTTGCAGCAATTTTTCTACCACGACTTTCCCAGTGCTCATCAGACGACAACACATCGCAAGATTTATAAAAACTGTCTGGTCTGCGACACCTGGATACGTGAGCTGATGGTACTGGACGTTCCGCCCCAGGTGAGTAAGCACCTGCCACTTGGCAGGCCCGAGCCCGCAATAAATCCATCCCAGCCACAGTCCTTGCCACATTTTCCAACTTTTCCGTAATTTAGTTAAAAGTTTTCCTACTGTCAGTGCGCGGCCATACTAAGGAATTTTGTGAAATTATGTACAAACTATTTTTTATGCAATTTTCCAGTGAATTTCATAGTGCTGATATCTTTAAAAATTCTCCCTATCTCTGCCCACTGGCCATAATAAATTGCTAAATAATCTAAATTGCCTCACAGATCCACAGCCCTAACCAGTTACAATCTGCCGCCCCCCCGCCTTCGTCCAGCATAAATATAAATATAAATATTAGCCTGAAGACAGTTTAAGTCCTCTTGCGATGTTTTCTTGTTACAGAGCCTGCTGTCGGTGCTGTCTAGACTCAAACTGGTACCTTCTGCACTTTCATTACGGGCTGAACAGTTTTTCCCCCCATATTTTACATTTTCCACCCCAGCAGACGGGCATCGTTCGTTTAGGAGTTTCTAATGCAGTCATAAAAGAACACTGTTTTTATTTTTTAAATATTATTTAATACAATTTTAACCATTTATTTGAAATTTGATTTAAAATGAAGACTAGATCTAATTGCTGCCATTAAGACTAGTTGGCAATTCTCTGTGTTGTGTACTGTTTTAAAAATTATAAGTAGTTGTCAGTAAAACGATTCAACTCTTTTTAAGCTTAAAGTGTAAAAAACTTTGGCATGCCGAAGTATTCCTTTTTGTTTTTAATAATCATCGCACCAGAAGCGCCTCGAGCAACAGTTTACAGCAACGCAGAAAACGAGCGACCACAACACCAAATGGCGCAACTCCTGATGTTGCCTCGGGAAAACTTTCTGGTTACATATTTTTGGTTTTTGGAATTTTTGCATAACACTTTAAGCACAAAAAGAATGTTTAACGAATTGGCTGCATAACTTTTAAGTCTAAACAGTCGATTTAATTTTCTATTGAAAGAAACTTGAAAATAAAGAAAGTATATAAGCATTTTAAAAATTAAAACTTATCATTGAAGCATACACGTAACAAAAAACAAATATGATACAAAAATTTATTTTGAGAATGTTAATTAAAAATGTTCCATTTACAATACACTTTAGCTGTATATATACATTTTCATAGATTGAATATTTCAGCAAGCCTCCATTCTTTACCGCCCATCTCTGTAAAAATATTGTTTGACTAGCACGGACTGTTGACTTTATTAAGGCCTCGTTGGGCCCATAAAAGTGGTGGCCAGAATACATTTTTAAATTGCCAGTTAAAAGTATTCAGGTAAATGGCAGTCAACGTCAACAGTTTACGATGCCAGTTGAACGCGTAGTTGGATATTATCAATATTTAACTACTTTGGTGCAGCCAAATTGTCCCAGAACTACAATATTTCCCAATTATGGCTGGTCGTAAAATTTGGCCCTCTGACCGACTATCCGTTTATCTTGTGAGTCCAGTTCACTATTTAAAGAGTGGACTGAGAACTTAGGCAATTATGAGTAGTTTTGTCAGACCACAAATCACAAACTGACACCGAAAATGTTGAAAGAGATTCCTCAACCAAGCCAGCACTGTCTTACATCTCACTATTCGGACCACCGCTTTTTGTCTTTGGGTCTGCCACGTTTAACTGCCATAAAATATTTAAGGGAACATACACTGAACAAGGCCAGTTGCTGTTTGGTTTTTCCTCCTGGCCTTCTTAGATATTCAAAGCTTGAATTGCCCAGTAAAGAGAGGATTTTTTGTCTTACTATAGAGTAAAATACTATTGGAAAGCACTACCCTCACAAAAAGCATTTAATATCGCTAAACATTAATAAAAGATCCTTGACGGAATGATAGTATAGCTCTGCACAAACAAGGCTATATCTTTAAGCCAGTCCTACATAGATTAAAACAACTGCATCGTTTGTTCCATGGATGAATAGATGTGGAGCAGACGTTGATCTAGCAAATCGAGAACTAGGCCAAGTGTGTGCCTAGCCGGATTGACAAAGTCGCCAAAGGATGCGGATAAAGGACAACTTCTATGGCGACGGCATGGATATCCAAGCCAGCACCAACCTCAACCGCACGAATAGGTACGGCAGGAGGAATACCAAATGGCCAGCGGACCAAACGAGTTGACAGGCAACAAAAAGCAGTTGGCAGTCGGGCAGGCAGCCAACCACATCCATTGTCATATTAACTACGTGCTGGGCGACCCGTACCGCCCCCGTTCTCGACAGCGCCACCTCTCAATGCCTTTCAACTTATTCATGTCCATTTTGGCGTGAATTTGTTTTCGAGTACAGCCTCGCCTCTCTCTCTCGCCCCCCATTTTATTATGCTCTTTGTTGTCCGTTCATTGTGCTGACCGAATGGCTGACTGTTGTCTAAAACCGGGCCAACAGGGTTTTTTTTTTTATTTTGGTTTGGCGACTGGGGCTCTCAGGTTGGTAACGCTGTCGCCTGTTTATTGTGGTGAATTTTTCATCGTCAAGTGCACTGGCTGGCAGTCATAACTCAAAGTCCACCTTAATGGTTTCCACTTGTACAAACAGCATTTATTTTCCAACAGATTTTCGCTCATATACACATATAAACCGGGGGAAAAGCGGGTACAGATGTTTTTTGAGGTGTGTGGGTGTGTGTGTGTGTGTGTGTGTGTGAGTGAGTGTGTGCGAACAGGAGGCCATTTAGTTGGCCATTGTTTTCTCAAAGTGAGCGACGCTCCTTTAAGCCACTTGAAATGACAATACGATGGGCTGGACTCAATGAACCGGACTAACATGCCTACGAACTTCGGAATCGGGAATCTTCAGAAATATCACAATTGCCCATTTATTTTTAGAATCCTCCCAAACAGAAATGTATCTTTTTTACATGGCTAACTTTTAAAACATTAAAGGCCTACATATTTTAAGTTTCCGATGCAAAACAGTGAACGGAATCGATTTCCATAACAAAACTACAATGAGAAAAACAACCTCATCTAAAGAAAGAAACTGGTTTAAAAAATTTGTTCTATTTAATTAAAATACAATCACCAATTTTCTTTGATCTAAAATACTTTCTCTGTTTAATTGATTTATTTTAAAATAGAAATAATTTGATAAACTATTAAATGCGCTTTTAATGATATTCAAATCGGACGCTATGAACGATCGAGTAATTGAGCTGAAAATCACCATAGTTTCAATGTTTTTAAATATATACGCAAAAAAATCAAAATTTTAATGTTTTCAAGAATGTTTCATTTTTGCAAAAGCCGAAAGGGTATATGAACTTCTGTAGCAATGAAATATTTCAAATTAATATTATTGTTAAACTGAGCTGTAATGTTTAACAAATAAAAAAAAAATAACTAGAAAAAAATCGTACATTTTATGAAAGTATATATTTTAACACAAAAGACTGTACCAATGGTATAAAACCTATTAACACTGTGAACTGTAAAGTGTATAAGCCAGCTTATTTACGTTATTGATCCACCAAGGGCGAAAGTAAAATAATTAATTAAACTTGATGCCCTAGATGCTCTCGTTGAAAAAATCCAGGCAGTTCGCCAGACAGACTTCAAGAGTTCAGCTCATTAGCTCGATACCGTCCAAAGCCCTCATGTGTCCCATCCATCTTGGCTCGAAGCCAAGGCGCCAACAATGCACCAATTACAACAATTACAACCGGGCCAGAAGACATCGAGAATCTTGGCTAAGGAGCTGCTCGCATTTGATGCCAGCTCGCAGCCCGTTAATTAACAGAGCAACAATAATCACAACAGAGAGCCGGGAAGCGCAAATTAAATGAAATTTAATCAAAAACGTAAATCTAGCTAAGTTACTGCCCGACGGGAGTGGCGTCGACTGTCTGCCAGGCGGAATGACACAATACCCAAACACAAGCAGCCAGGGACGGGGGCGGGGGCGGGGGCAAAAGACGTCTTAAAGGGGATGATGGGGCAACCGGAGGGCTGGAGAACTCACAAGCCAAAGAACTGAAGAAACGGAGGACCGGACGCAAAGGCGCCAAGGAATGCGGACCCTTGAGCTGTCCACCCGTGCACGGGGTCAGGAGTTGAGGGGGTGCTAACCAAGGGGGTGCGAATAGTGCTGGCAACTTATGCCTTTTAAAAAGTAGCTAAATTACGGTTTTTACAATCTCTTATTATTTGTTATTTAAAATTTGAGACTGGAAAGCAACTTTAAAGCAAATATATAGATGTAGCCAGTAAACATTGTTTTGGCGAATAAATAAATAAATAACTAAATAATATCCTTTATACTTAAGATGGTTCAAGCCAACGTATTGAATATACCTCCCTTAAAGTCCAATTATTCAGAAATTTTGTTAATATCCTATTTTTAACTTCCGGGAAATAAATTAGCACGACCATTTCAAAGGTTTTTAATCCTCTTATAATTTCTGTTTCGACAGTGTTTTTATTTGTACCATATATTAATCAACCGAATTGTGCTCTTCAAATAAGCATATCAGTAAAAAATCGGGAAAACCGTGATGACATAATATATGGACAGCTTCGTAGTGACTTGAATACTTGTTTACCGACCCATTTCAGAACGTTAAACATATTATAAATACAAATATAGATACAATTTGTACACCCTTTTTTATTCTTTTTGTAAACAATCTATTTTTGGCTTTATACAATAAATAAATAGGAACATTTTTAAAAAAGTTACTGCATTCGGTAATTGGAAATAAGAGCAAGGAAATGCAGCGCACCTTTACTTTCTACATTAGAATGGCCTTACAAAATAATCGATTAGGTGACTTTAAAATTCTGTTTTTAAAATCCTTTCGAAAAAAGTGGAAAATAACCATTACAAGATAGCAGCTAAGCAGTCAACTCTAAATTTTACTCCAAAATGTCTCGACTCTTCTTCTTGTCTAGGCGGCCTTTGACTTTTGTTTGCGCCCAAAATGCTGCGACGTAAATTTAATTATAACGTTTACTTACTGTCTCGCTGTGGGCAGCACGCTTTCTTTCCATCTTCCTTTCTGCTCATTAGGGCCCGGAGTGGGAAAACTGTGGCCACCTGCCTGTGGTGGAAAATTGCCTGCTGATTTGCCTTTTGACGCGTCTGTGCTCAAAAAGATCTGCTCGGGGATTGATTTATGGCTCTGCGGCAAAAGAAAATCTCTTAAAGTAATCAACAATAAGTGCACTGAAGAAGAATATTGCCGACATTTGTCTTTGGGATGGTTTGGTTTTCGGCTGTTTATACCCTTCTTGTTTAGTTCAGATACTTTGAAGGAGGTGTCATCTACGAAAACGTAAAGTGTAAGAGGCTGAGGCTTACCTAAAAACAATTTCACAAATTAAGTAAATTATAAAACAGAAGTTTTCTCCCGCCCTTTGAAATGGTAAATGTTGTTGCTCAATAAATTCATACAAATTGTATTTTAAAATTAAGGCTTAAGAACTGTAAGAAACTATTGAATCGAAGCCTTTGATTCACAGGCAACATTGCGTATCATTGTTAAGTTTAATGCCAATGCAAGTATATTGACCCTACAATGGTCAAACAACGTAGTAAATCCAAAAATTTTGTACTCTATTTTAAATATAACAATATTAAAATGTAATACATTTTTCATTTAACAATTTTGGATTTGATTTTAGTATTTGAAAATATATTTTACACCTAACCCATATTTAACTTACAATAAATGTATTTAAATCAAATAGTAACTGTTTTAAATCTAATATTTTCCATATTAAGTAAAATATTATTATATGCGTTGTATTTAATATTATGTATTATTTAATTTATATATCTAATTAAAATTTTTAATACATAAGGCAATTTTATGTATTATTCCATTTTGTTATAAGCGTAAAATACATTTTTACTTCTTTTTCCTTGTCTTTTACATTAATGAATTTGAAACCTTTCTTAATCAAAAAGCCTTTTTTTTTGGGAAAAGCAGTGTACCGCTAAAAAGCGTAGTAAAACCAAATTTAATATTTAATTTAAATAGTGAATATCAGGGATTAATCTTGCCTTTCTTTCCTTTCTCAATTTATTTGATATAAACTGGAATAATTTCCTTAAGACTTTAAAAACACTGGCTTTCAAATTTAAAGCGATAAAATCCTCCAAAGATTAAACGTTGATTTTCCGGTGCAGATGGACTCTCTGATTAAAAAAATGCCTGCTGATTTATTTAAACTTTGTCGAGATCTAGCGTCTATATAAGGAAACCTATCCTTATTACATGTATGGGAAAGTTGAAGCATGAACCATTTCTAGTGAAATAAGCTATCGATGAGAGAAATCGGTTAAGCAGAACTGGGGATAAAAAATATAATTGGCATGAAAACAGGTGAAAAACGTTATTTACACTTAAAAAACGAATGGCACCATACAAAAAATTGTGAGTGTAACATTTTTAATCAGGGAGTCCATCTGCACCGGAAAATCAAGGTTTGATCTCTGAAGGATTTCATCGATTTAAATTTGTAAACCAGTGAAATATGCAAAAAAACACCTATCATTCTCGTCACAGATTCTATTGCTCTCAAAGAACATAGAACATAGAATGTATTTTAATTGGAACGGCTGCTTTTTATTATTTTCTTTGTGTGTTCTGCGTTGTTGGCTTGGCAACACATTTAACTGCACTAATTGAGCAACAATTATTTACTGACAACGCTCGCCGCAACCGCAGTAAATGCATCATTATGTTGAAGTGTAACTGCTGGGGTTTACGGTCATTGTGGGAGAAGCTCTGTTCTTTAAATATCAACTGTGACAACAGTTTCAGTGGCATTTAATAAATGTGGAATGTGAAACATTCCGTTCGCAAGAAGGCGGGTGAATAAATGAATCCCATTACGGATGCAGCAGTAAGCTCGAGCAAATAATGCGACTGCTGCGGGCAGTAAAGATTGCTGAAGCCGCAAGAGTGGTCAACTAAGTCCTAAACAAATAAGATAAGGCGAAGGCAAATGAAATTCTCAGCTACAGTTGAACTAGCTCTAGCCAACTTTTATGTGACTTGAAATAAAGTGGGCGAATTAATGACGGAACTTTGGGCAAATTTGGCTCCGTAAAATGAACTTTGATATTCAACTGCTACACTTTTTGGTAACTCACAGACACATTTTAATTTTTCGGTGTCAGGAAATGTCAGTAAAAACAAACTGGAGACTTTTACTCGATTTTTAAAAAATTATCCAGATGATTTACCATGACCATTGATATCTAAATATTATTTTGTATTCAAATTTTCACATCCAAATAGATGATAAGTGCAGGGCTCTAGTACTTATGTCATATATCTGCGCATTGTGAGCCGCTATTAAATGCCATAAACTCTTTTCCGTTTTCATATTTGCTTTTCATACGCGTGCTTGCTTGCCTGTTTGTTTGGGCAAATATGCTGATGAAAAACAAACACACGACCAATTGGCATGGCAATCCCGCCAGAAGCGATTTCCGGCTGACAACTTCGCTGAATGGAACAACGGACATCCGCTGGGGCTGCGAACGGTGCACGCCTATGTCTTGGTCTACGACATGGGCAATTTGGAAACATTTCAGGTGGGTGTGGGTGTGGGTGAGGTTGTTGTTGGTGATGCCGTCAAACCAAAAACCCAGTGAATGTGGAGCTTTTCGATTGCCTAATGACACCGATTCGATTTCAGTACTGCCGCTCGATGAGAGATCAAATCTTGGACAGTTTCAGTCATCGTGATTTTAGCATAATTGTGGTCGGCAATAAATTTGACAATGTGACTGAGGCGCAGGCCAACTCGCAGGTGAGTGCAAAAACATTTAATTTCAAATTAAATTAATTCAATTCAATTCAATAAACAAAGGGTACTAACTAGCTTTATATAATATAAATATGTAACTGTGAATAGTATTGACTGTATCTACGTTTTTTTAATGGCAACCGTATGGTCTTATTTTATGTACAACAAATATTACTAACTGTACAAATAAATAAATCTGATAGGTGTCTTAATTTAATTAAAAAATCTTAATAATTATTAATTGTTTTATGAAAACCAATGTGTAGAAAATAAACATATATTTTAAAAAATGAATGTTGCAGTCAAAGCTATCTTGCCTTAAAAGAGTTTATGAAGTTTAACACATCCATATCGACCCAATACTTTAAAGGGTTGGCTATGAACCCGAAATTTAAACCCTCTGCAAGGGCATCGAAACAATAGCCCGTTTGAGCCAAAAAACGAGCAGCTCTCCTATTCACAGTCCGCAGTTATTAGTTTTCAGCAGGCTTTCACTCAATATTGAATCCTTTCCATTATCGCACACCCACACGCTCATAGGAGCTCAAGGATATTTCCACGCTGGTGCGCAAACATTGGCGCTGCGGCTATGTCGAGTGCTCGGCGCAGTGAGTAATTCATATGAATATCTGTCGAGAGATTTGTGTAACCGGGTGTTTCTTGTGTGGACTCTTCGGCAGATACAACTACAAAATCGGCGACGTGTTCCGCGAGCTGATGGGATGCACCAGCACGGGAGGAGGCGGCGGTGCCGGCGGAGGCGTGGCCGGGGTCGGTGGCCTGGTTGGCACTGAGTACTCACAATCAACTAGGAATAAAGGACGCTGTACAATACTTTAGCAAATGTTGCATAAGTTTTTTAAGCAAACGCTCTGATCTGGCGCATTACAACCGAGTGAATTCGTTACGAGCAGCACATGCTTCCACTGGGGCAAGGTGGCGTATACGCAATCTCCAAGGAGGACACACAAAGATGACATTGTTGCCCCTTGCTGATGCAACGCTGGCTGCTGCATATTTTAACATATATTTTTTTAGTGGACACACTCCGCATTCCCGAATCCCCACCACCTCAGCTCCTTTTGTTTGCCGTTATTATAGCATTTTTCTGGCTGCTTTTATGGGCGCTTTTTGCTGTGCTCATTTGAATGGCAATGGGACCGGCTGACTGGCTGACTGCCGGACGGAGGATACATTTGGCCAGCAGCATCGACGTCTGGGTGCGACTCCGGATTCTTGCTGACAGCTTTTGTGCGTCGCATTTGCAATTCAATGCCAGCGAGCTGGCAGGAATTGCAGTTGCCATGAATATGCAGCGATATCCGCAAAGTGCAGCAACAAATGTCGGCGAAAAGTTTGATTTCTTTATGGTTATTATTATCGTTGTGGCTATTATTTCAGTCGTGGAACGTAAATAGGCAATTAATCCCACCATAATTTACAATACATTTTATGTACGAACGAATAACCTTGTTATCGAAACAAACCAAAGTCGTATAAGTACTCGCATAAGTATTAGTAGTTAACCTTAGCTATACACATATATTTAAACATACTTTAACGTTGTGATCATTTCAAGAATTAGTTCTTAAGGCCACAAACAAAACGTCAGTTAATGTCAAGTAAAGTCAAGTCTCCGAAACTGAATTACAAGAAATTCTTAATATTAGGACAAGGTACGATTAAGAGCAGTTTAATAAATAGCCTTAAGTATTTGGGAAAACGACCGAAGGCGGTAAAATCAAAGAGTTACAATCATGCCACCAAACTCCTCATAATTATCTGTTGCACATCCGTGAAAATGTACGTCCTCCAAAAATGTAATTGTAATTAAATACAATTCGAGGCTCTCCATATGGCACTCAATAATCGCATCATTCCAAAAGGATTCCAACATCTTCATGATTTTGTTAATTTAAATTTTGAAAAATAAAAATCACTTTTGTCGTGAGGGAGCCGTGATCAAGAAGCCTTAAGAACCCAGAAGCAAATATTTCATAGTAAACCTTAGACTAAATTAAGATTACAACTTGATTGAAGCGCACAAAAAACGACGATTGTGTTATTATGGCATACTCGAAATTATTAGATCATAGGTTAAAGGTCATAGCAACGTTTGTGCATCGTATTGTAGTGATGACAAACTGATCATCTAGTTAGGTAGTGTGTCACTATACTGCTATATCTGCTGGACATTGCCAACTTAATTATATTCAGTGCTGATCCACGTAACACATACATACCATGCCGATCTCTTTCTTTACCTCAACAACAAAAACAACTCAAACTACTCAAAAGAAAAGCAATCAAGGCTGACTTTGTACATAGAGATTTCAAAGGAAGAACTTTGCGAAAAGCTATGGAAACCGACTTTTACAGCAATATAAGTAAGCTCTAACTGATATTCAAGGTAGATAACTGGGCGCACTGCCAAAAATTGGTTCCACTCCCAGTTGAGTGTTCGGCTAAGATTATATGAATAGTTAAGGTAACGCATAATGAATACGAAACAATTTTTTGAAATTATTTCAAGGATAACCAATGCAAAATCGATAATAATGCAAAAGCAAATAAACCATTATTGTTATAATTAAAATTATTAAATAAATATTTGCCGGCTTTGATAAAGGACATATACCATAAAAAGATAAATAACAATTAAATAGCAGCTTAAATTGCTTACTTGTTAAACTGATTCAAACCGGAAATTTTCCAGCATTCGCATCTGTCACCGAACTGATCCCAACTTGAGAAATGTGTTCATAACATGTCACTTTCCAAACTGAAATAACCCATTATACACTTGCAATAAACTCTTGGCAAGTAAGCAACAGAAAAGCCCTAAAATCGACATATTTATATGGAACATACATACCTATACACATATATAAATGTAACGATAATTGTACGAGTTTGGTTCAAGTTATTGTCTTTGATTTCCAACATTTAAGGATTCGTCAAAATGGCTGTTAATTTTTGGAAAATAAAAATGCTAACGCAAAACAGTTGAAGGGTATTAAACAACAGATAAATAAACGCAACAAAGACAATTGTTGAATTATTTATATTTAAGCAACGCGTTGCCTGCGACAGTTAAAACAAGAGGAGAAATTAGGTGTAGCAACTTAACAATTAAAGTCTACAAATTAAAATATGTATTACCGAATCAAATGCTTCAGCCGCTTGTTGTTTGTTCAAACCATTCAAACGTAATTAATTTTAAGTGAAAGCCGCTACGTTTAGATAAGTATTACAAAAGTGCTAAGAGCGCTCATGATCTCTGTTATTTTTTTTATAATAAAAGGCATGACGCAAATGCAAAGTAGAAACAAATTGTTAATTGGACAGGAGCTAACCACAGAGTAGCAAGAAAAACGCACCGAAACTAAATGTTAAGCAATTGAATATAGATGTCGGCCGGAAACGGAAGCAAACAAATTGTACTTAGTGTAGAATGCACTGCGGGCATGAATACAATGGTGAATATTCGACGACAAACCGTTAGCCAAGTAGAGAACGTTTTTGGAAAATGCGTAAGCAAACGTAAATAAAAACAAAATAAAGTGATATATAAAATTGATTAATTTGTACAATTAATTATTATGTTATAGGTACTACATTTGAATTCAGCGATGGAAGAATGGTTTGTTCTACAGATAAATAAAAAATAATAATGTTTTTAAATACATTTTGATTATTAGCTTGATAATTTCCTTAACTATATTTGTTTTGGCATTGCTTATTAACGAGAGAGTTTATCTTGTGGAAGTACTACTGCATGCATGTAGACTTTTAATAAATAGAAAACGGTTTCTGGAAAACTTTTTAGTGATACTACAATATGAAAACAGTTCAACAAATACAATAAATTTGCTCGACGCTCTTTTACAACTTTCTATTGCCATTTCTGAGCTTAAACTCACAATAATAAAATACTTTTGAAAAGTTGTTTTCAGAAATGTAAACATTTATAAGCAATTTCATCGGCCTTACAAATATGGCATTTGCTTCAAGGCAAGTCTAGCGATTAGTCACAACCATTATCTCTGTTAGCAATTAGAAAAAAATTCCATTTCTGTTTTTGAAATTTTTATTTTAGTTCTTATCGCCTACGACTAAAAACAAACTTTCCTATCGATTGGGCTGCATAGGTAGAAACAAACTAAGACAAACAATTTAGTATCGTAGGTCATCAACTTAGTCTAACGACTGTTTTTGGAGTACATCTTTATATATATGTATGTGTAAAGTCCTAACATTAAGTCTTAAAAAAAAGGACATTTTGTTGTTGGTAATTTGCGACACGCAAGAGTTTAAAAGGTGAACGTAATACAAACATATCGAATCTAGAGTTACGCATTAAATGAATCTTCGCCGTATCCGGGCCGAGGTCAGCGAATGCGGCATAGCCAGGTGAGGGACAACCGGTAGAGCGGTAGAGATGACTTACAAGCGAAATGCTAACTGATGACTGAACTTGGCGCCCATCAAACGGGTGTCCAAGCAAGTGGCATGTGTGGCCTGGTCTATCACTGATGCGGCTCGCTGGAGCTGCTGAAGGTGCGGCTGCGACTCAGGCGTCTGGCCCGCTCTGCCAGCACCGCCTGCTCGCTGCGTCCGTCCGACAGATGGGGTGGTAGTTGCAGGATGTCATGCAGCTGGCTTTTTAGCTGCTTCGTCTGCGGACGCTGCTCTGGCTGAGCGGAAAGCATCTGCTTAAGCAACTCGTACTGCCGCGGATGATCGATGCCGAAATTCTTCGGGTACTGGCCGTCCCGAAGGTTACGCAGCGTCTTGATGCGCTCCATTTCGGTGCTGAAGTACACGTGCAGTTCGAAGAAGATCAGGCCCAGCGAGTAAATGTCCACCTTGTAGTCGTAGTGATGGCCAAGAAGTTGCTCCGGCGACATATACAAGTGGGTTCCCACCTGCTGGGTGTGCCGTGCACAGGAGGGCAGGCCGCTTTGGTCCCCGCACTTGGCCACCAGGTTGGGAATATCCGCCATGTCGGTAACCAGTCCGAAGTCACCAATCTTGATCTGCCCGTCCTGCGAAAAGAATATGTTGCTCGGCTTGAGGTCCCGATGAATCAGGCCCTTCAGATGCACATAGTCCACGGCGTCCACAATCTGATGGAAGATGTCAGCAATGTGGGCAGATCTGGCCTCCGAACGATTGTCCCTTAGCCAGTCGCGCAGACTCTCTTTGCGGCACAGTTGCATCTGGATGTAGAGGTACACTTTGCTGGGCCTGGCCACCGTTCCGTTTTGCATCGTAGCACTCGGTGGCGTCGGATGGCTGCCGTTGTTGTTGTTGTTGTGGTTCTGGGCCAGCGCCAGGGTGAGGGGCTTCCTTCGAACTTTATTATCATCATCCGTACCTTCACTGCCATCGCTTTTAGGGCGTACAGATTCGATTTGAAAGGAGTTGGACACCAACTGGTGCTGTGAGTAGTTAATGTTCTTTAGGTCGAACGACGCCGAATGGATGTCGATGGACACAGAGCTGCGATGGTGCCTCTTGTCTTCCTGCACCTCTACGTTCTCATCATCGTCCTCGTCATCGTCATCATCATCATCATCATCGTCCTCTCCTGCCCTCAAAGCTGCCGACTGTGATTCGCTGCGGAACTCAATGAGCGAATCGTCCTCATCGTCGTCATACTCCTCCCTGATGTTCCGAAGTGATGAGTCGCCGTGTCCGTGAAAATCATGGCTGCAGGCCGTGCTATTAGCCGCATCCGAGACCCAGGACATGAGCTGCTGTTGGCGTTTCTCCTGCAACTGCTCCGCCAACGAGGGCATAGTACTTTCGTCCGGCGTCTCTATCTGAATAGAGGTGGACAGCTCGTGGGCGAGCAGCTTGCGATCCTCTTCTTCCTGCCAACCAGTTGGCGGAGTTTCGGTCCAGGACTGTTCGACAAACCAGAATATGATAATCAGATAATCTTTATAAGAGTATAAAATATATAAAATAAAACAATAACCAAACTTAGGTACTTACGTGGAAGTAGCGTACGATGTTGTGATGCTCGCAACTGGCCAATGTGCGAGCCTCGCGCAGGACTCGCTGCCTGGAAGACTCCTTATTGGGCAACGTAATGCGCTTAATGGCGTACCGGTTCTCATCTAGCTTGTTCTTGGCCTCAAACACCACACCGAAGCCACCACGACCGAGGCACTGCATCAGCTCGAAGTCCGACTGGAAGCGCGATGTGTAATGCTCGCCTGAGTGCGTTGTAGACTCCGAAATGGTGCGCTGGTTTACGCCGCCGGATGGGAAGCTAAAACGATTTCCGGGACGCTGCATAGGCACCACGGGACCCAGGAGAGCCTGTGTGGATGCTTCGGTGGCCTCGATGGCCGTTTGTACTGGCACATGGCGTTCAATGACCAGATACTCTCGCTCCACTCGTTGGTTTCGCTGTCCCATGAAGATGTTAAGGATTACTGCCGAGGTGAATGCGATGACCACGATTTCCTTCCACCAGAACCACAGCGAGAGTATGACCACCTTCACGGGAGCATCGATGTCGTCCAAACTAAAGCCCAGGTCGCTGTTGATGCTATTGTTGCTAGAGCTGACCGTTCCCTCGGATGTGGCGTTGCTGGGTGGCGCAGGTGCTTCGATCGCGGCGACGCCACCAGGAGAACTTTGTGTGCCGCACTCCGATGGACCATCCAGATCTCCGGTGGTGTACAAGTAAAAACCGTTGCCATTCACAAACTCCGAGGCATTCAATACGGACTGCGCTGCCACGGCGAAATTCTGGTCATCATAAGGCACCAGTTCTCCTGCTTGGGCACCCGTTCCCTCACCAATCAGCTCGGGCTGATCTTCATCTTTTCGAAAGATGACCAATGAGTTGCTGCTGGCCGCTATTGGCTTCCAGGGGATCCTGGGCATCAGGCTGGTGTCCCCCGTGAGCTGCTGATAGACCTTCGTCTGGTCCATAATCTCCTGACGTAGACGGATGGACTCTTGGATATACAACTGTTTATCGTACATGCCCAAGTAGATTGACGGTGCGCTCTGCGGGTTAATGGGCAGCTCCCTGTCCTCCTGGTTTTGGTCCTGGTCCCACAGCCACTGGGCGGAGCTAAACAAATCAATAGGCTTCAGTTCGTCTGCGGCATCGGTGTTCCAGGCACTCACAATTGGGTGATCGAACTAGGAAAAAAATAAAACATATAATAAAGAGTATAAATATAGTCCAATTCCTGGCACCCACCTTGTACTTCCATAGCATGGTCTGTGGATCACTCTTGCTAAAGGCGCATATAATGCCCTCGGGCACCACCACCTTAATGTCCACGTCCAGGACGGCCAGCTCCAGCTCATCGCGCGCCTGCAGCTGGCACTCGGAAGGTCGAACCAGGTCCAGCTCATGCTGACCCACGCTAAAGTTCCAACGCTCCATCCCGGTGCGGGATTCCACAGCCCGGACCGTTTGCGTCTGGCGACGCACCACGATCACGTCATCAAGGAGCGTATCATGGCCCACAACGTAGCCGTCCTTGTCCCTGAGCTGGTCGCTATCCTCCTGCTGATCCTCTTCATCGGGTTCCCTGATTGTGTCATCAATGGCCAGTCCATCCTCCGTGGAGTTCACACAGCCATTTAGAGAGCACTCATATAGTAGTTGGCCTGTGCGAACGGAAACGCCGTAGGACCGAGTCTCTTTGCCCCCGGATATCACCAGATCGTCGCTGAACTTGGCACTCGAGCTGAGCAGGTGCTCCGCCGTGATCGGAATGGGATCGATGGAGTCGCCGTCGAACTTGTAAATGCCGCCGCTCAGTGAGGGAATCATACGCACGAACTGGCCATTGTTGGTCAGCTCGAGGCGGTGGATGCTGGACGAGATCAGCGGCCCGGGACCGGTAGGTACGCTCCAGCGTAGTTTTCCGGACTTGGCGATGTCCAGGGCGCTCAGTCGTCCGTCCAGTGTGGTTATGTAAAGGAGTCTGCGGCGAATGTGAAAAACAAAATAAGTAAAAGTAAATAAGCAAGTTACCAACTAAAGGAAATTTGCCCTTAACAACAAATGGGTTGCAGAACTGTTTAATTTATTCTAAAAATGGTTCACCTTTTCTCCTGAACATAAAATGGATAGGTTTTTCTAAACCATTTTTTATATAAGTCAAATTTGGCGACATATTTTTTTTTGCAGCCAAATTATTATTATTATAACAACCAACACTTTCCGATTTCGCAACCAAAAATAATACGAATTAGAAAAACGTTTAAATTATTTAAAAAACAAAAATTTTCAATTTTAACCCACGTGGGAATCATTTTTTCAGAATTGGTTGAGCTAAATAACGCAGGTTAAAAGTGTAAATAAGTTTATTAAAAAGATTCGTCAATGTGCGACTTCAAGTTCAATCAAAATGTTTTTAAAATTATATTTGTTTTTAAAAAAAATAATATAAATCCTTCAAAACCCTACCCTTTCATTTTAGTATCAAGAAGTTATTTTTTTGTGTTGTCCCTGAATTTTATCAGTGTCTGTGACGAATTTCGTCATTTGCTGCAAGGATAAAGGCAACTGGGTGAAAGGGTCACACTGCTCACACTCAGCTGACTTGTAATAGGGGGTGTGAGAGGGACGAACTCAGCTGTTAACCGCGTCAAAAAAAATCAAAATGCAACAGGTGTCAGTTGGCCCCTCTTGATTTCCCCTATCGCCATCTCTGTCTCGCCCACCGAAGAGCCGAAAATGGCGCCCTCGAAAGAAGGGGATAAAGAAAACGGGGGAAGAATGATGAAATTCGACAAACGCGAAGAAAGCAAAACAAGCAGCGAAACCCGTTACGATTGGCGTGCATAAATAAACATATCTCGACTGTCTCTCACAAACAAATAAAATCAGTTAACAGTTTTGCAAATGACTCACCGCATGCTTGATAAGCGCGTCCACTGATTATGGGGGCTTTAAAGTTGGCTAACGGTCCAACCAAGTGGGATCATACTACCAGATTTGTGGGGGAACTTCGAGTTGAAGGGAATAAGTGTTCAGTGGCTCCCTTAACTCCCTGTTTAAGCTGGGTAAATAGGCACTTCTCGAATATTTTAGTGAAAAACTAACAGGATATTTAACTCAATGGGATCATATTTGTCAGATCCGTTGGGACTTTGAGTTGAGCACGAACTATATTCATAATACTAACACCGTTCTCTTCCAATTCGTAGTTTTAAGCACTTTTCGAGTGGTTTTTAATATTTGTTTTTAATATTTGCCTAGCTGCTGTCGCACTGCGTTATGGCGAATGTTCGAGAACATATAAAACACCAGAATGCAAACAAAAGGGTCACACACATAACGCACTATGCTGCTTCTTCTTGTAACATTCAAAATATTTCAATTTCCCTGCCGATGTTTTGATCCAAGTACCTACCTCCGTCCGATCCGGCGTTCTTCCTGATCCACGCAGTGCGCGATTGCAGGGCGATTGGGTAATCCCGCCGTTTGGATATCCGAATCAGCGTTTAAGTTCCCCGCTCTCACCTGGACGGGATCTAGGGCCGCCAAGCCCGCCATGGTGAGCGCTATTAGCTGCAGGAGGCTCAGGTTCCGGCGACGCTGCCTGAAGATGCCATCCAGGTCGTCCTGCATGCCCATCGTACGCGCATATACACGTAATCCTTATCTAGGGCCGATCGGGGGCTCGCGGCACGGGAATGCAAGTCTTTAATTGGCTCGAACGGTGACGTGTTGACGCGACTTTTGGGGGTCGGTGGGTGGAACAGCGGCGGCAGTGGCTCCCGGCAAGGTCGGCGCACATCTCCGCATCACTCTAGTACGCGCCCGCAGCAATGAAATGCAATTCGACTATATAATTGCTCTTAAATCGGCCAATTTCTGGTTGTTTTCCTACAGATCCGTTTTGGCCGCAACACGCTGCTGATGTGCAGTGTGACCGTTTTTTGGGTGCCATTAAATAACATTGATGACACCACATCTATCTTTATTTCGTCATTGATAAAAATACCAAAAAAAATACCGCTTTGTCGGGTGGCTGTTTCAAAAACAGTGGTTTGATATTTGTCCAAAAAAAATTAGATAAGTTAAAATTAAAAAACAAAATTATATTCCGATTATTTCCATGGAAGGTGTATGAAAAAGTTAAATCCGTTAATCTAAAATAATAAACCATCACTTAATATCGAAGAAATAAAAAAAATATTTAAAAAATGCTAAGTTTGCGTAGAAACGGACGGACGGACGGAAATATGGTCTTAGCCAGATCGACTCTCCTAGTAGTGCTGATCAAGAATATATATACTTCATAGGGTCGGAAATGTCTCCTTTACTGCGTTGCAAACTTCTGACTGAAAACTTCTGGGAAAAATTAATGCAAGTAGTTTTTCAACTAAAAAACTAGTTTAATAGAAACGAACAGACGGACGAAGATGGCTAAATTGACTATCCTCGTGATACCGATTAAGAATATATGTACATAAATACTTTAAAGGGGAGTATGTCCGCTTTATTGCGTTTCAAACTTCTGAGTAAAATTATAATATCCCCTGCAAGGGTATAAAAAGTCGAATGGTTTTCTGTGCGTAAAGGTCTACCGGGACGATTCATCCAGGAATTAAGTTACAGAAAATCGTCATTTTTGAAGACCTGCAAGCCTATTCGAACATTCTGGCGAAGACAACGAGAAAATAACTCTGTCATTGAATCCATAAATAAATCCACATTTTTTAGTTCGTCCCATTGGTCTTTGTACAAGAATTCCATAGATTAGATTTGAATACGTCTATCTCAACGCAGAACTGGAAAGCTGAATATAGATTTAAAATCTATACATACATCCCTTATAAAAACTTAACCGATAATCCTCCTTTATGTCGATAGTGTATTCTTTAAGAAAAACGTAACAATTAATACGTCTGTAACTAATCCCAGTCTTTTGAAGACCATAAATGATGAACGATTTAAATCTCCAACAGCCGTTTCCATATTCTTAAGCCATTAATGTGAAACCAAGTTGGGTTGTAATTAATTTTAAATTGTTTCATTTAATGTAAAACGGATTTTTTTTTTACTCCTGCAGGTCAGTAACTTAAGTCTGGAATTAACTTAAATCCTTGATGGGTACAGCATCTGTAAAAGTATAAAAAACACGGTTAAGGGATTACAATTTACGGCAAATAAAATATTAACTTACGATACGGATGCGGTGACCCATGGCATGACCAGGCAGATTCCTGTTGAAGCGGGCACGCACGGCGCCGGTGTTGCCGTGGATGCGGGTGACCTTGCCCCAGACGGCGCGGACACGGGTCTTGCGCTCGGGATGCTGTGGCACGCACTTCTTGGTCTCGGCCTTGTAGACATAGACGCAACGCTTGCCAACGTAGAAGGATCCGTGCTCCTTGCGGCGGGCGCCCTCAATCTGTAACGAATAAATATATTAATAGGGCACTCTTATCGATATATATTATATACACTTTCCAATTAAGTATAACATAACTTTTCACATAAATGGGCAACAAAAATCAAGATCTCACAAAATCTAAAGATATTTACCTACGGGAAGTACAATTCTCAATTTCGAAGAAAGGTCTACTTTTGGTCTTGCACAAATATTTAATTAGTATTTTGAACATATATCTAGTCTGTTGCCCTGGACAAAGCTTGGATAAATTCTAATTTAATTTTTTCTATATAGCTGGCACTTAAAAGCACAGATTCTAATCCATGTTTTAAATTAAATTTGTATGGCTTTTGAATGTTCTGTGAACTGAATCTTTAAACATCAAAGAAACTCCCGAGACACTAAGGATTAGGCACTTGGCGGGCGAGTGCTTACCTTAAGGATGGCCTGGTTCTCGTGCTGGTTCCTCAGACCGCGCTTGTAGCCGGTGAAGACGGCCTTGGCGAAGAGGCGTCCGTGACGCTTGTACTTCTTGGCGGAAACCTTGGCCTCGGCGGCGGCGGGCTTCTCCGCCTTGGGGGCCTTGGCGGCCTTAGGAGCCTTCTGGGCCTTGGCGGCCTTGGGCGCAGCTGCGGACTTGGCTTGTGTGTCGGCCATGGCTTAGCTGTTTATGAGAAAGAATAGCGATTAATCAGAGGGCCAAAAAGTGTATGTGTAGGGGGTGTGGGGTTTTGTTTTGTTATGGTATATTTTTGTCTTTTGGTTTAGTTATTTTTTAACACTCCATAACATTTTGTTTTAATAAGGGCGATTGTGTTTGCGATGTACTTTTCAATTAGCATTGCACGTAAACATTCAAAAGGTGAATTTGGAAAAAAGGCGGCTTAATGGTTAACCGGCATAAAAACGTTTTGTTACTTTAAAAAAAATCGTTAAGGCTCCATTAACATGACTAGATGCGAACAAACGGATTTTGTTGTGCACTTTGTGAACCGAGAGCGTTGTTTAAAATGCCACCCCATATATTGCCGACCCGCAGTGCTGTCACTATTTTGAAGCATAGTCCTTAGTTAATAGATCGTCCTGAAGGAGCCACACAGACAAAAACAATCACAAATCAATTCCGCCAGCCAATTTAGCGCACGTGGGCTGAACCATTACAGGTTAATCGAAATAATTGCCGGATTCCGAATGCGATGCTTTGTTTTTTTATCTCTGCGGAAACCCACCTTGTTGTTTGATGAAGGTATCAACACCGCTAAAATTAAAAATTATATATTATTAAAAGGAAAAACGTTGAGAAAATATATTTCACTTACTTTGCCGGAAACGAGAAGAAAAGAAGGAAATAGTGTGGCTGCCACCAGACGCTACAAAAACGCGTTCTGTTAAAAATACTTGTGTGCTGTTATTCAACATCGTGCTGTTAGAGGCAAAATAAAAGAAAATGGTTGGCAACGCGATAAATTATCTAATTTCAATAAATTGGCAACTTATTTTTTCAAAAGTCTTTGGAATGTTTGAAAACTTCGTTTTTATGCTTTTTTAAAATAACAAATAATTTAGAGACTAACACATAAAAATGAGTTGTATTGAACGACTGCAATGACGTTAATTGAAACTTATTTTAGTTAAAGCCGGTGCACTCCGAAATTATGGAAATTTCCTCTCCATACGACTCTTTAAAAACATTGATCATGTTTTTGGAAAACTCCAGGCAAACACGACATATTGCCGACCCTTAGCTGTGAATTTTTTTTAACATTGTCAAAGTTTTAATTTATAAATTAAAATTACTTTCTTACGGTCGTATTGGTTGGTAAATAAAGGGTGGCGATCGGTTGATTCAAATTCAATTCAATTTTTCGATTCTTTATTTGAGATGTAAAAGTCTATCGGTAGAAATTTTTAAATTAAGAAGCGCTTACACTGCACTCGAGTTGGGGAGTAATTTCTTGGAATCAACTTCGATTTTTTTAAACTACATTTAGAAAATTTTTCAAAATAGGGTTGAAAAACTGTTTGCAAACGGATGGTGGATGTAGATCACAATTATAGGAAACTGTGAAAACTAAGCAATGTATGGTGTAGGCAAAAAAAATATACGCATTGTGAATTCTAATTTTAGCTTGATGAACTAAAAAAAAATACACTGAACGTATTCACTTTTAGTGTGAAGGGCGCTTTTATTTCAAATGAAAATAAATCGATTTTCTAGTACCGTTTTCTCCGTGGAAAATCAATCGGCAGTCGAATATAGTTATCGACTACTCGGCGCAATCGCTCAGGGTTTTTTTTTTCAGTGTCGAAAACAAAATCAAAATTTTCATAACAATGTTAAGATTTTAGAGACTACTACAAAATTGTGAAACACATGTACAGCGCTGAGCCGAAGCAAACGTGAGAACCGATTGCCAGAAAAAGCCGCAGAGCGTTGCATAAATAGCGCAGCTCCCCCGCCGAAATCGAAGAGGTGCTCCCCGCGATTCCGAGCGAACTTTGGATGCGCCGCGATGGGCTTGCTGGTGCAAGTGTTCAAGTGGGATCAACGATGGCGCCTGCTGCACCGTGTGGACATTGTGCTGCGGCGGGGCATTAAGAAGCAGGCAGTGTACCCGACCAAGTGAGTCCAGGTCGTCCTGCATCCTCCTGAACATTGCATAACACACACACACACATTATAATTGCAGACTCGCTGAAGTGGGCCGCCTGGTGGAGGCCCGTGACGACCGGTACGAGACTGGCCAGCTCTTCCTGCACCGCATCTTCGGCTACCGCGGCGTCATCCTCTTCCCCTGGACGGCCCGCGTCTATGACCGCGATCTGCACAATCCGAGCAAGATTAGTGCCAGTACAACGACGACAGCCAGTCCGACGCAGCAGCAACGCACCAAAGACACTTCGCTCCGGGTGAAGGCCAACACCTCCTCTCCGCCGACGGCCACTGCAGCCCCGGCCGGCGATACCTCCACATCGGCCGCCTACCAATCGGATGCGCCCGGCGATGCGGAGAGCACCACCAATGTGGGCACCACCGCCACCACGCAGGTGGATCCCAAGGAGGTCAAGAGCAAGGTTCAGACCTTCTACCAGGTGCTCATCGACACCCGGGACTGTCCACATATTGTGAGTAGGGCATTGCCTCGCTTTCTTTAGTTACTCAGTGGGTGTTTCTGGCCTTTCCAGCGCGCCCAAACGGAGGCAGTCACCTTCCTGGGCAACCAGGACTCCAACCGCAGCTTGTACGCCATCCCCGGGCTGGACTACGTGGCCCACGAGGACATCATGCCCTACAGCTCCAGCGAGAAGAGTCCGCTGCAGCACGAGCTGTTCGATAAGTTCCTTACGCACGCTCCGGACGCGGATCCGCCGTTCGTGGGCCAGGACACTCTGAAGGCGTGGCAGGAGAAGAACCATCCCTGGCTGGACATGAGCGATGTGCACAAGGAGACCACGGAGAACGTGCGGATCACAGTGATCCCCTTCTACATGGGCTGCCGCGAGACGCCAGCTAGCTCGGTTTACTGGGTGCGTAAAGAAGCCATATAATTTTAGTTGTACCTTAAACAAATGAACATTCATTCCAGTGGCGCTACTGCATCCGGCTGGAAAACCTTGGCGGACTGAGCGTACAACTGCGCGAACGCCACTGGCGCATCTTCTCGCTGTCCGGAACCTTGGAGACGGTGCGCGGCAGGGGAGTGGTGGGCCAGGAGCCCATCCTAAGCCCCCGGCTGCCCGCCTTCCAGTACAGCAGCCATGTGAGCCTTCAGGCACCCAGCGGCCATATGTGGGGAACCTTTCGGTTGGAGCGCGAGGATGGATATTCCTTTGATTGCAAGATTCCGCCCTTTTCGCTGGAAAGCAAGCCGGACGACCTGGGGCCGCCGCCCACACCGGCCACGCCCAGCACCCACGATAAGAAGCGCGACGATAGCGACTAAGAGGCAGTTGTTGACCCGTAGTTAAATGATTTTAAAACGCAACCTTCTCTGACAATGCATGCGTACATGTGTTTAGTGCAAATTACAATAATCAACCAGGACACAGACCCTGTTCCGTTTCTCAGCCCAGTCGCACGTTCTTGGTCTCTAGCTGTATGGAGAAGTCGAAGGGTCGTCGATTGTCGTGGGTGTCGAAAATGCTCTGAAGGGCGTCGATGGCCGCTGTTTCTGTCGCCGTCTTAAGGTCCTCGCCGAATCCCTTGCCCAGCAACTGGCGGTTGGCGTAGATGCCCACCTGGTAGGCGGCCAGGACCGTGTTTCTGCCGCAATCTCCAAGCAGGCGTGGCTCTGCTTCGCCCAGCTTGCGCTCCTGGCAGATCTTCTCGAGCAGTTGCAGGGGTTCCTGGGGTGTCCACACATCCAGCAGATCCTTTTGGTTCAGTTGGGTGCAAATGAAGTCGCGAACAAAGAGGAAAGCTCTTTCAACGCCGCTAGAGTCTGCAAGGGCGCCGATCACGGCTTGCAGGGATTGGGCCAGACTCTCGGCAGAGGGCGGGTACTCTGTGGATTGGATTAGATCCTTGGTTCCCAGATGAGAGGAGACGTGGGCCAGGGTCTCCGTGCTGAGCAGATAGCTGGCAATCGCCTGGAGACCTTCCTTAGGTACCTTTGGCAGCTGATGCAGCAGGAAAGCCTCGACGTAAGCGCGCGCAATGTGCTGGCCCTTCTCGGCCAGGTCGCTGTTGTCGAGCATCTGTAGGTCCGCCTCCTCAATGCCCAGCTTCCGACGCCGCTCCTCCTCGCGCCGGGCGAAGGATTTCTCTGTGAATGCCCGCTGCAGCTGGGATAGTTCGAAGGATTCGCCCAACCGCTTGCCAAATGCGAACAGCTCTGAGCGCTGGTTCCACTCCACGAAGCCAGAACGCGGCTCCGGTTGTTGGGGTCCCAGTTTCTTCTGCCGGTGGGCGAGCTCACGTAACGTCGGCGAAACCCAACGTTTGATATGCCGCCGTGGTTGCACTGCCGAAAAACTCAATTTATTGACTGGGATTGCTTGATGTCAGATTAGATACCTGTGGTTGCACCTTCCAGGAGCTTGGCACGCGCCAGGAGACCAGCGGCACTGCGTAAAAAGGACATATTTAGAGCGATCTTAAAAATAATTAACGAATGTTTCAACAGCGCATGGGAATCAGTGTTGAAAAGCGACCGCGGGTCTAGTTGCAGTGATGGACGCCCAACTATTTTTGTTTGCTAAAATTATATATGGGTTTTAATAACATTTCTGGCTTTGTCGGTTCGGTGCGGGGAGTTCAAATGAATCACCCTTAAGAGCAGGATGTGACCTAAAATTAAATATCCTTTAACAATTTTTAATGTATCTTGACTTAAATAAACAATTTTATTTAACTTGTTATGATTTCTAGGCGTCATTGCCAGAGCTAATATATGTCTAAAGAAGAATTAGGAATAATAATTTTATAAAACAATATGTTAAGCATGAACAGTTTTAAAGTGTTTTACACATTAATAATACATTTAGCTTTTTTGCAGCCAACCGGCAGCATCACTGAATTGCGTCGGTGGCTCTCGCGCGCTTTCCAACACTTTCGCGGTAGACGCCATGTCCATGTCTGTGTTTGTGTATGCGGCAGGAAAAATTTAGTTGCAAAATATTAACAAGAAGTCCTGCAGAGAATCCGTGAATTAAAAACCCCAAGAGAGCTGACGCACCCAACATGGCGCTGCAGACGTACGGGGACAAGCCGGTGGCTTTCCAGCTGGAGGAGGGCGGCGAGTACTACTACGTGGGCTCCGAAGTGGGCAACTACATGCGCCACTTCCGCGGCATTCTGTACAAAAAGTACCCGGGCATGACCCGCATAGTCCTTTCCAACGAGGAGCGCAAGCGGCTGGCCGAGTCCGGTCTCAGCTCCCACATCCTGGCCAGTTCCGTCTCGCTGCTCCGCGCGGTTGAGGTGGACGACATAATGGCCGGCAACGATGAAAAGTGAGTGGGGGATAGTCGGTCAGAGAAGTATCACTCGGGGTACTTGTCAGATTAAAATTTAGAATATTCCCTGGGAATGGTTAGCGATAATTTAGAATACTTCCAAAAACAACCGATTGGAATATGTTATACTTGTAGAACAGTGAAAACGTGGTTAATTACCTGTTCTGAATTGTAACTCAATTTGTTCCAAAATTTTTAAAAAACGGATTTTATAAAGTACCTTACATATATAGCATCTAGGTTACTGAAGAGTCGCTTTCTGTTGTTTTTTCCAAAAGTGAATAGTTTAGGGCAGGGAATTGGTTTTTTTTAACTGCCATAAGTGAAGGGGTTCCTTCGGCCAACTGATTTTTTTTATTTCTGTTAGTTCAGGAAACTGTCAAATTGACAGTGATCCAATACTATGACTTTTCTGTATTGACTTACCAATAATCAGCATAAATGTGTTGTGTGTTTGACAGCAAAGCAGCTTACTTGGACAGGGGTCAATCATTTTAGCTACCAGCTTAAAAGTTGCACTTAATTTAAATATGAAATTGCGTCCCAGGTACCGTGCCGTCTCCGTGAACACCTCCGATACGCCAGTGCCGCGTGAGAGCAAGTCCAAGAAGCAGCCGCAGTATGTGCCCACCATGCCCAACTCTAGCCACTTGGACGCAGTGCCGCAGGCCACGCCCATTAACCGCAACCGAGTGCACACGAAGAAGGTGCGCACATTCCCCATGTGTTTCGATGACACAGACCCCACTGCCAGCCTGGAAAATGCGGCGCAGAAGGAGTGCCTGGTGCCCATTCGACTGGACATGGAGTTGGAGGGACAGAAGTTGCGCGACACCTTCACGTGGAACAAGAACGAGAGCATGATCACGCCGGAGCAGTTTGCGGAGGTGCTCTGCGACGACCTGGACCTAAATCCCCTGCCCTTTGTGCCGGCCATCGCGCAGGCTATCCGGCAGCAGATAGAGGCCTTCCCGAACGATCCCCCCATCCTCGAGGAGAGCTGCGACCAGCGGGTGATCGTTAAGCTGAACATTCACGTGGGCAACACCTCGCTCGTCGACCAGGTCGAGTGGGACATGTCCGAGAAGAACAACAATCCGGAGGAGTTTGCCATAAAGCTCTGTGCGGAACTGGGATTGGGTGGAGAGTTTGTCACGGCCATCGCCTACAGCATTCGGGGCCAGTTATCCTGGCACTGTCGCACGTATGCCTTCAGCGAGGCACCGCTGTCAACGATTGACGTGCCCTTCCGGAATCCCAGCGACGCCGACGCGTGGGCCCCATTCCTTGAGACGCTCACCGATGCAGAGATGGAGAAGAAGATCCGCGACCAGGATCGAAACACGCGACGAATGCGGCGACTGGCCAACACCACAACTGGCTGGTGATCTTCCGGCGATCCAGCAATATGTCACTAAAGTAATCCTCCTAATAAGTACCATTATTCATCTCAAATACACGTGTGTCTGTCGATTTTAAATACCTGTGTGCTACTGAGCATACCTAAAAATATCTTGCTCTTGGCCTTGGGCTTATAGTTTTTCCTTGAGTAATCTCTTTTATCAAGTAATCCCAAATTAAGTTACAAATTAACCTGCTGATCTTTACTGCTTACACTAAACACGAAACCTTACACTACGTTAAACAATACTAACTCTCCGCCGAATCTGGTTTGTCTTGGTCTTGATCGCCGTCGTAGAACTCGTTCTTGGCATCAACCATCTTGTCTTCATCGGCCACAGACATTCGGACGTCGGGGTCGGACGCCTCGTCTCTGTTGTTGCGCAGCTCCTCCAAGTCCACATCCGGCGGAGTCTGCACCATTTGGACGCTAGGCGAGTGCTGGCACATCTTAAGGTTTTCATAGACGTGCTTTACGATTAGTTCCAGATACTGCTTTGAGTTAGCATTATCCTGACGTGAATTAATCTCTGGATGGAGGGTGAAGTCTGGGGCGAAGAAGTCGTAATACTCGGTGGCCGGAAGATCATTTTCAATGTCTTGGTCCACCAGCAGTGAGGTCTCGTGCGTCCAGCAGCGGGCCACATTCCTGAGGGTGTAGCCACCGCCTCCAACGACCAGAGTGGGTACATTTAGCTCCTTCACAAACTTGACGCACTCTCCGTGTCCCTTGGTGCTCAAGGAGAAGCAACCAAGTCGATCGCCAGCCAAGGAATCCGCTCCGCACTGTAGAACAATGGCCGTTGGCCGATAGAAGTCCATTATGGCCGAGATGATGGGCTTGAACACCTGAAAATAGCTCTGATCATCGATGCCCTCCTTCAACGGCACATTCACGCTGTAGTATCGACCGGACTCCGCGCCAATCTCGTACATGTCTCCCGTGCCCGGGAAGAAGTAATTGCCGTATTTGTGGAACGAGGCCGTCATTACCCGATCCGTGAGGTAGAAGGCCTCCTGTACGCCATCGCCGTGGTGCACATCGATGTCGATGTAGAGCACTCGAGGATGGTACTTCAGCAGCTCCAGGATGCCGATCACGATGTCATTCACGTAGCAAAAGCCACTCGCCTCGAACTTCTTCGCGTGATGCAGTCCGCCGGACCAGTTGATGCAGATGTCGCTGTGGTTGTGGTTCAGCTTCTGGGCGCCCTCCAGCGAGGCACCCGTGTACATTGCACAGAAGTCGAAGAGGCCGTCGAACACGGGACAATCCTCACCCACGCTGAAGTGCGCAAGGTATTTAGTGTACGCCACGGCTGAAAAAGAGATTTCGCTTAGATGTCGTTCTAAAAAACACAGTGCAACATACATCGGGCTTTTGTTGGGATAATTTGCCTCTAGATATATGGTCAACCAGTTGAGGTATTTGCATTATTTGATACGATCTGATGGAACAAAATGATTTGGCACTGCCATGCTTAAAGAAGCCTATCGTGTTCAATTAGATTTCTAGAAAACTTCGATTGCAATGTGTAATTAATTTCAACTCATAGGACCTAAAGAGGTTTAAGCTTTTCTTTTAATATCCTATAATCGATAATGAAAAATCAAAAAGAGGAGAAAAGTCATCGTTCTACTGCAGTTTGAAACCGTCGAGATTGGAGAACTATATCACAAATGTATCATAGTTGACATAGAAATAATCGTAAAATTAATAAAAAAAATAAACATAATTCGGTGTTTTTATAAAAACAATATAGAAGGAATATATTTTCCATTAAAGAAGCATGGTTTTGTAAAAAACAATAAACAAATTTTATAAAATATATAATTTCAGAATAGGGAACTGGTAAATTAACTATGGTGCCCAACATTTATTTCTTTTAGAACTGCAAGAGTATATAAACTTCGACCTACACAAGATACCTTCTTTTCTTGTTTTCAGTTTTGTACCAAATGTGCTAAAACTATCATATTTTAAACTGAATAGCAAGAATGGTTTAAAGGTTATTGCTCCCTGTCAGGTTATTAAATCTAAGAAATTCTTTCAATCTAAGTTTCCTGAATAGCATTTTTAAAAAACCCTTTAAAAGACACAAGGTTTTGTTTGGGGTATTCGCAACTTACAATTGCACTGGATGTTTTGCGGAGTCACCTGCTGTAGGTAGGCTATGTACTCGTCGCTGTGGAACCGGAGCATGTCCTGGGCACTAGCCCTGCAAAAGGAATCCAGTTAAGAATAAAATCAAACACACCCCACCCACTGAATACTGAATACTTACTTGTATGGCCTGTAGATCTTCATCTTCTTGTGAAGCCCATAGTTCATCACCAGGCTGTGGGTGACGGCCAACCGCTGCGGTTTCATTGGATGCCCGGCTCCGTAGTGGAAGTTGCCCACGTCCGCGTTGTAGAAGTACGATACCCTTCGGTCTGTCATGGCTGCTCGATTCTTCGATGCGATCCGATACAATCCTCTCGGGGCGCCGTAATCCTCTACTGGTAGTCCAGATCTACGCCGGGCAACAAATAAGTCTTCGCATACAGGACGATCAGCAGAACGGCCACGATAAACAGGAGTCGCCGGGTCGTGTCGTATTCGCCCAACAGCATGCCGCCTCCGTGGCCACTAGACCAACACAAGTCCGATTAAATACCTTTATTTATTCGTGAAAAGCAATTTGCAAATTGCATGCTAATTGAAAACAGCTTAGAGCGGCGTGTGAGGAAAATACACTAAAATATACCATCAGTTAGTGATGTGCGAGTGACATGCAGACATATGCATACAAACCGTGACACGTAAAAGTCACGACACGCGTGCAGCTCTATGTATTAGTAAACAATTTTCCAAACAATGCAAATATGTTGATGTACAGCTTAATTGTATAAACAATAAAAAAAGAAGTGCCCTAAAAATATTTTTGGAAATAATTTTTTGTATATTTTTAAGTTATTTAGAGCAAAATAAAAAAAAATAACTTTAAAACTTTATAAGCTCGGGGCGTTTGTCTGTATTTAAAACTTAAAGAGTTTCTTAAAGGTGTATAATATTTCATTTTGTTTAATTTTTATTATAAACTAGGATGAATTTATAAAAACATTTTTATAATTATTAGCTTATGGACTAAATTAAATAAAAATTAAATTGCAAAAATTAAAATACTGCTCTCCCAAGTTTTAATTCCGGTTCCTCCAGAAAACCCGACAGATCTGGCCGAAAAACAGCTAAAATAAAGCAGCCAGCACCGTAAACGCCTGCCGCGCTTTCTTATCGGAATCATTTGGCGACAAAGCTTCGTCCAGTTGGAGTGGATGCAGTAGTAATCAACAATAAAAGTCAGTGGGCAAGGGAACGCGAAAAGTGTGTCAACTGGCAGAAAACGGCGTATCAGGAAGCGCTCCTTTGGGCCATAGCAACCGATAGATTCGCGCAAAATCGGGGCAAATTACGAAACCGGAATTGATTTTAGTCTCCAATGCGATGTAACTTGTGCCCCGGCCCCAAATAAACCCCAAATAATTCAGATTCAGCGGCAGTAACCATCAGATATTTCCGATGTTGACCCTGTATTACGTGAGTGCCACCGTCCTGCAATCCTGGCGAATCCAGAAGGCCTGCTCCAAGATCGCCGAGCACCTGGCACAGCCCTCGAGCATCGCCTTCTATGCCCTCCAGGCGGGCAGCGACGATGGATTCGGTGAGTGGTGGAGTGACAGGAGCGTGGTGAAGAACTATAGTTCCCTTCATCCGCCCCCAGATCCCGCCCTGGCCAGCTCGGAGCTGTGCGGCAACCGGAACGCGGCCAAGGTCACGGACATCCTGTGGCTGCACGCCAACCAGCGCGGCTGCTGTCTCCGTCCGCTGCAGACACTCCACATCACGCCCTGGATCAGCTTCCCGTCGGCGCCCAGCCTGCTGCCCTTTTCCTATGCCGCCGACACCGTGACGCCGGTGACCACGCCCACGGAGGCGACCACTCCGCCCAGACAGCGGGTTTCGCTGTCCGCGCAGGGCGAGCAGCGGATGCAGCTGCTCCTGGAGGCCCATGTGGAGCCTCTGCAGCGTCCCAGCTCCCAGGACACCACTGGCGTACGGGTAAGCCTGAGATGATTTCTCTAGAGAACACGCCCCCACCACTTAAAAAAAATATATACATATATTTATTTATAGTCCTTTGTTTTGAAAGAGAGAAATTAGAAATGTTTCAAAAAAACAGTAAACACTATTTCGTGAAATCCAATTTATAAAAAAAATCCAAATTATATTAAAAAGTTATTTTTACATAAAAGGATTTAATAAGCTAGGACTTTATATTTGTTATAAGGACTGTAAATGGGGAGTTCAAATTGTAACGATTTAATAGATTGGATCTTCAAATTTTAAATGGGTTTTTAATTAAAACTTGACCTCTGCCCTCATAATAATAGCTATATAAGTGTGCTTTTAGTTTACAATTAGAGGGTAATAAATTTTCGGCCATAAACCTGCCGCAATGGCAACCGTTGTGCGTGTGGTAATGCGATTAAGATGTAGTCGTCCCAAGATAGTTGAATCGATACAGAGCTAGCGTCATACATCTGCTAACCAAGGGTGTTCCCTTGCTCCTCCTTTCTTCTGCTTGCATGTCGGTTGGCCATCTACCAGCTGGAAGATTATGGTAAGCTAATTGCATGGAAAATAGACTCCCACCTGGCGGTGCTTATCGAGACAGACGTCGAGCACTTCACGCAACTTTTGATAACTACATTCTTGCGAAATAATTTATGCATTAACGATCAGCTGCCACTTTTGCGGATTGAGTGTAAGCTGCACCTGAAATCGTTTTCATGCCCCCTGATTGTACTTGGTGTCATACTGATGCTTTTTTTCTCTCGATCCTAGCGGTTCAGCGAGAAGGAGATCCGCAACCCTTTGAGCTGCTGGCCAATCACCTGAAGCGGCAGTCGCGCACATCCGTCGGACTGGACAGGGATGGCTGGAAAAAGCACCTGGAGGATTTGCGAGCGGTCGGTGTGCTGGCCCACCAAGCCACTGAGTTCGAGTACCAAAGAAATCGCTCCGAGGGAAGGGCCAAACCGGATCTACTTGCCCAAGAGCATCGCCAGACCCCTGAACCCGTGGCCAAGGCGGTTGCTGTGGTAGAGCCCACCAACAAAGCGTCCCTGTCGCCCGCAAGGATCACTGAGAGTTCGCCGAAATCTGAGGCCAAGGGAACGCCAACCAAACCTTCTCCTATTAGAAGCGAGGCAACTGCCAAGAGCGAGACCCAAACCACTCCTGCTAAAAGCGAAAGCAAGGCAGCCATAACCAAAGATAACGCTAAGTCAACGCCAAGTAAAGATGATTCTAGGCCAAGTGAGCTGGAGAAGCTAGCGGCTGCACAGGCAGCGCAGCATCAAAAGATAGAGTGTGTGCAAGTGTCTCCCATTAAGTCTTCTCCTTTGACCAAGTCATCTGCTGTTGAGCCCACTAAATCTTCAGCGGAACCAACGAAGCCTGCCAAATCCTTTGAAGTCGTGAAGCCCTTAAATTCGCCTCCGTCATCCGGAGCCACTGCTCCTGCGCGTCCAGTGCTGCAACGGAATAAGGATAGCCTGCAGGAGAGCAAGCCGCTGAATGTTTTAGTATACTCGGACAGTGCCAGTGCCCGGGAATCCACCCTGGCCACTCTGCAGCAGCTGCTGGAGCGGAATGTTTACACCATATATCCGCTGATGCCTCAGCAAGCGGCCCAAAAGTACTGGACGGAGCAGACAGCGCTGCTGGTCGTCTGCGGATCGGTGGCGCCAGGAATTGGCCAGATACTGGTGGATTACTTTCTGCAGGGCGGAAAAGTGCTGAGTCTTTGCTCGGATATACTCCACTTCATTCTGCCCAACTATCGCACAGCGGAGGTAAGAATATTTCCTTATAAAAGCAAACCAAATACACAATATTTCATGGCCTTAATTATAGATTTAATAGTCGGCCAATAAAAAGTTTTGTGTTAATACAATACTATTAAATGCCTTGTCTCTTAGGAAAATAAGTTTATTAACATTTATTACAATTGTCATTCAGACGAGGAGGCCAAATAATGACGTTAGCTTAAATTAAATTACTTAACACAAAAAACTTTAATATTACAATACGAAAAAAAAATATCTACGTCTACAAAAGGCTTTATTGTTTTGAAAACCAATTAGCCTTTTAAACTGGAAAAAAATAAGATTAGTGGACCTTAACTCTTATAAAATCCTTTGCTGAATTATATTAAATAAATATTAAATATTAAATTATTTTAAACCTAATAAAATATGAAACTAAAAAGCATTGTTTGCCAGGTTCGAGAGCACGAGTTGGTTCAGTTCTCCTATGACAAGTGGCAGAGGGTCAAGATGATGCACCACATCTTCTGCTACCAGCCATCGCCGGTCAAGAAACACTTCTCCACAGACAGCGAAGAGTCGACCAAGTCGCATTCCCGCAAACCGTAAGTAAATTCCACTTCTCAATCTTAACCACACTGAGAAGCAGCAGACTGACAGCCTCCAAAACTAAAAGCTAACCCTTGCCAATCTATTTTATAGAGTAAAAATCGTTAACCGACTAAAAAGTATATTCGACTCCTATATGTTGCATGTTTTGTACACTCAATAGCTCTATCCAAAACAAATTGCTTATTGCACATTCGAAGGAAATCTACAGAGCTTTCAAAATCTTTTCTTCTTTACTTTGTAACCTTTTTTTAAGTTAATTTCGGGGAATGGAACTTGTCAGCTAATTCAAATCGATATACTTGTTCGATATACTTGCCTTTAAGAATTTCGAAATAATCGTGACAATATTAAATTGTTTATGACTAATGCCAATTCTTATTTTATTTCACAATATTTTCTTGCTTAACTTGGTCTCATTTTCTATGAACATGATTGATTTCTATTTAATTCGGTTGGCACCAAAATTGATCATAACTTTATTTCGAAACTGCATTAATGTATATTTTACAATTTTATATTCTATGAAATCTATGAATGAATTATTCTTTGAACAATTTTTTTTTGTTTTTAAAAATAATTTCCACTGCATCGTCGTACTTTACTTTTCTGTTTGCTTGATCGTTTTTTTTTCTGCCCCTTCAATACCTATAAATCTCTGTGTGTGCTTCTACTTGTGTGTGCTATCTCTATTATAATCCTACCTACCATTAACCAAAATAAAAACATAAACCAAAAACAAAAACAAACATAAACCATAAAACAACAAAATCAAACCACGAAACGCTGCTCAGAGCTCTAGTATGTCCAAGGTCCATGGAACTGAAGGATCTGGCCGGTCACAGCCACAAACTGGATGTCCAGGTGCTGGGCACCGAAGAAACTTGGAACACGCCCAGCTTGATGTTGGCCAAAAGCCTGCAAAGTGGAGGCAAGGCCGTATTCTCGCAAGTATGTATTTCTGTTCCATAAGTTGCTAAATTGCTATTTAATTAATTAATATGTAACAGGTTCATTTGGAGATGAATCCCAGCGAGTTTGAGTCGGATGAGATTAAGTACTCCATTCTGAAACAAAACGAACGCACTCGCCTCGAGATCTTCTCGGATCTCTTGAGGAAGTACTTGGATGTGCAGGTTCATGGTGGTGAGGGGGATCAATCGCAGCCCGGTGTGGTGTATCAGCATGCCTACTTTTTGGGACGTCATGAGGTAGGCAGATAGTATAGTGTTCTGATCATCTGAATAAATATATTTTTTAATCATATAGGCCAAGTTTGAACTTCTGGAAAAGCTGCGTCTGCGATGCAGTGGGTCCGACAATGTCATAGCAACGCCCAGGCTGACGATTAAGTTCTGTGGCAAGGACGACAAGCCGCCAGTGGCCAACAACAATGTCTTGCCCATACTGATACATTCCTGTCCCGACGATTTCTCCACCGTAGAATACTTTGATGTGCGCATATTTTTTTGTATTAAGAAATTCTTTTTAAGATTCCTCTCTACCTTATAGAACCTTAAAACAGAGCAAATTGGACGACTTGTCATCTACGCACCAGTGGTAAGCAGCTCCATGCATGTCATCAACAACTTGGAGCTCATCAATGGCCTGGCTGTGCTTCCCGTGCAACAAACCTCTGGAGTTGGCCGCAGCAACAACCAGGTGAATATTCCGAGATTCTTCATATTCCAGTTCTTAATATTATTATCCCAATGTGCTTCTGCAGTGGCTTAGTCCCCCGGGCTGTGCCATGTTCTCATTGCAACTCCACCTGGCCATGGACTCAGCGTTGGGCTCTCGGCTGCCTCTGTTGCAGCATCTAATTGGAGCGGCAATTGTCAATTCTCTACGTGGCCATAAGCAGTATGGGGTGAGTGAAGAAAGTAAATATTACATGTTAGAGTTTGTGGTAATGGCATGCCGATTTAAGGGCTTCATTTCGATATTCATTTCATTTCATTTCATTTCTCTTGAAGAAGTCCTTACCAAAAACAGATGGTAATCGCTTTGGCTGGCAGCTTCTGCTCAAGTGCAATCTTTAACTGCTCCAGTTGTTGATAGTTGAAGTCAGAGATGGATAATTCCTCTGACATCCCACTTTACAATAAGCTAAATCTTCCTAGCTTCCGTTTGAGAAGACTTACCGTGCTTCGATTGGGATCTTTTACGCTTGGTGTTCTCATTTCTGATCCACTTTTAATCGCCAGTGACCAAACGATCGATAGATTGTTCTCTCCTAAGACAGAAATAATCAGTCTGCAAGATTCCGCAGGGAGCATTTCCTTGCTCAAAATATTAATTTAATATCTCGAACTTTGCCTTCACAAGCGAAGCGCGAAATTTGAATGAATAAATTGGTATGTCATTACTAAACTAGCATTAATCCGTTAATGTGCTCTCAGTATTATAAACACTTGATTACCATGGCTTTGATTTTCATTTCTCTTGCACCATAATAATGGTTTGACTTGTATTAGAATTAACAATCATTATCATAAAAGTCCTTGTCTTTATTATAATTCGATAAAAAAAATGAATGCATGTATGAACCAATTAATCCTCTGTTAGTATCTATATATTGATCAGGAAAGTTTATCGTGATCAGATTAAGAAAACATTTGTAAACGGCCAAATTATATTGGAAATATACCGCTCTTTCGTAAAAGTATTTTAGATCAAACTTTTAACCAAAATCAAACACTGTTAGCTAATTTGGCTGTAGTGATAAGTTTATTTGACATTCTGCTTGATCTCGCGATTTTAGTCCATTTACTATATACATTTACATAATTCACAATATATATTTATTTAAACACTAATCTCTCATATACAGGTCTGTATACATATACATACATATATATATATATATATATATATAGAGCTTTACTTACACATAATTAACAATTTAGAAATTGCTCACCTGATTAACGTTTACAATAATATTTGCCACAGTGCTTGTTTGTTTGTTTGTTTGTATATATATATATGTCTATGCCTTCTCAGTTTGCCTCTGCTCTTTAAGATTTAAACGTTTTTGTCTTTTTCGAGTTAACATTTGTTTTCCCCTTGCTTTGTTTTGTTTGCTCACACAACTGCAACTGGATTGCACCCGATACATGCGTACATAAATTAGTTTTTTAAAATCGTTAGCTATAATTTGATAGTTACGTTTAAGTATTTACAATCTTGGCTTGGTTCGATCGAACCCAGCTTAGGAGAGTTTACTGTTTGGAAAGCAGCGAGCTAGCTTAGTGAAGCGATCGAAATTGTACTACACAGTTACGGTGACCAGGTAGCAGGTCCCTCAGAACACGGACTCCGCGGATCGGGACAGGTTGACGGGGTGGGAGGGACTGCGCGCCAGCCGCTTCTTGGGCAGATGCTCCAGCAGCGACAGCAGGCGTGCGAATTGCGGCCGGTGCTCCTTCTCGTACGCCCAGCACAGCATCAGCAAGTCCTTGACATCCCGTCCGGACTGCAGGTTGGCCAGCGATTGCTTCATGCCGCGGCCCACCTGCCAGATGATCGACTCCGCCGGCTGATCCTTGAACGTGAATTCGCCGCAAATTAGCTCGTACCACACCGTTCCGAAGGAGTAGACATCCGAATAGGGGGTGAATTCCAAGCACTCGCCACGCGGCTTCTCCGGCTGCAGTGCCCGGATGAGCTCCGGTGCCAGGTAGCACAACCAGTTGTGGGGCACACCCAGGCCCATATCACAGTAGAGCAGCTTGGTGGAGCTGAACAGGCCAAAGTCCGTGATGATCACCTTGCCGTTCTCGATGAAGATGTTCTTGGTGCGCAGATCCTTGTGGATAATCTCCCTTGCGTGCAAATAGCCCATGCCCTGCGCAATCTGCTGGGCAATCAGAAGGGTGCGATTCATGGCGAACTTCTCCCTGCGCTGATGGATGTACGTGTACAGGGTGTTACCCTTGCACAACGAAGTCACTATGGCCAAATATGGCGGATTCATGCAGGCGCCCATGAACAGCACCAGATTCTCGTGACGCGTCTTCTTAAAGTTGGCCACCTCGCTGCGGAAGGTCTCCAGCATGTGCTCGTCCTGCAGGTAGTCCTCGTTGAGCAGCTTCACGGCCACATCGCCGTGCCACAGGGCCCGATGGACAGTGCCAAAGCGCCCCTGGCCAATCCGCTCGAGCAGGCGCAGGTCACCGTAGGGTATGTCCCACTCTTTCAGTGAAATGGAGTTCTGCCGCCACTGTCCCGAATCTCCGTCCTCCGTTGAGTCCACTCGAACGGGCGTCCTGTCCGAGTCCGTGCTGGCACTTCCGGACAAGGAGACCGTCTTGTCGCTATCGTTCGACTTGTGTGTGTCTGTGTACTCGCTGGTGAAGGGCGTCCGCTTGTCCACTCCGGCTGTGCTCAGCTTGCGCGGAAAGAAGCTGCTGGTGCTGGTGGTCGTTGTGCTGTTCACCAGACTGCCCGTCACGGTGGCGGCACTTGAAGCGTTTGATGTCTGGCTGCTGATCAGGGAGCTCATGTGCCCGTTCGAGCTGCTCACCAGGCTGTCCATTCCGCCGTTGACGGTTACGGGCGCCGGCGGAAATTGCTCAGGCACTGGTTCGTTGGAGATGAGCGTATCGCCTATGCTGCCGCCACTTCCCGTGACCGTCACGTTGGGAAAGTTGAATTGACTCTGCTGGTGCTTGCCCAGCGATGGCGTGGGCACTAGATTGGCGCTGGAGCTACTGCCATAGCTGCCAGCTTGCTCCAGTTCTCGGCCCCTTTGGTGGAACAGCGCCGGACTGCTTGGCGTGGAGCTGGTGCAGCTGGAGCTCGGCGAACTGCTGTCGCCGTGGTGCTGCTGATGCAGCGGCTTGCCCAGGGTGCTCTTCTTCACCAGCGGCGAACCCTTGGGCACGCCATGGACATGCGGTGCGATGGTGTATCCGCCCTGCTCCTTGATATGCCGAAACTCCTCCACATATTCTCGTGGCAGTCCGCAGGATGGCGGCACATGCGGGGCGCAGTTCTTGTGGCAGATGTACTTGCAGTCGGTGCACTTTTGCCAGCGGGAGAATACCTGCTTCTGGCACAGCGTGCAGGTGGCCTTAAAGCCGATGACCTTGCTGAAGCGATGCTTGATGGCATGACCCATGCCCACGTGGCCCACGCCCGGGGAGCACGGCACCATTAGCACGTTGGAGGTGTTTCCTCCCGAACTGGCATTGGTATTGGCATCCACGAAGATGTCTGAGCTGGCGGAACTGTGACTATCCGGACTGGGGTCAGTGGGCAGACGACTGCGGGCTGGTTGCTCCCCGTCCGCCTGTACCTGGCTCTGGTTTAGCAGGGTCTGGTGCTTCCTGGCGGGTGGCGGAGTGCCGCGACTCCGCTGCGGGGTTCCATTAAGGCTGCTGCTCAGCCCGCTGGAAGGCGTGAAGGGCGAATTGGGTGGCGAGGGCGTGAGGGTCAGCGTTAGCTGGGAGCCCTGCGTGCTGTTCAGCTCCTCAGTCGCCGTGGGCGATTGACGGCCGCTCCTGGAACTGGATGAGTTGGCCGGGGCGGGATTCTTCCCTTTGACACCATGCTGGCGATGATGGGTTCTCGGGGAGGCGGTTGAATTCTGAGCCAGTCCTATGTTTCCAACGCTGCCGCGGTGAATATGAATGGGCCTGTCCCAGGAGTCCCAGTGCCACTGCTCTGGATCGTTGTTGCTGGCCGCAGTGCCGCTCTCCAGCGATTCCATGCACCTCCTCAGGTTCTGCATGGCCCTGGTCAGGCGCCGCAGCTCCTCCTCCTCCCGCTGGCTGGGATTGTCGGCCACTAGTTGGCGGATCTCCTCGTCGCTCAGTCGCAGGCTCTGCTCTAGCGTGGTGAGGCGGGCAAGGCAGGCGGTTAGGGTACCCTGGCTGAGGCCCACCACCCGGAGCCACTGCCTCAACTCGTTGCCCGTGGCGTGGGGCAGCAGCCCGTTGGCCGGGATGCGCTCGTTTAGCCGCATCTTGGCCAACAGTAGCTCGGAGAAGTAGCGCACCAGCTTGGACTCCAGGCAGCGAATCTCCTGCTGCGTCAGCGTGGAGCTGGTGGCGCACTGCGTGCGCAGGCCCTCCAGATGGTTGGCCGAGAGATCAATCATGTCCTGGATGATGACCAGGTTGCTGTCCACTGACAGGGAACTGGAGACGGGATCATTGGCGTTGCTGGAGCCGGAGTCTGGGGCGGACGCGGGGGCGTTGTTGTTGCTGCTGCTCATCCTGCTGATTCGCGGCGGAGTGGAGCCCGATTGATTTTTTCAAACGCCCTCGCGGGGGCTCGATGATTCGATGGCACCAGTGACTGGGCCTCCGCTCCGCATTGTGGCCCACTTCCAACGACCTTGACTTTCGCAGCTGCTGCTCCGGCTTTCGCACACTCACGCCCGCAACTCGAGACGGCTCAACAAATGCGATAATTGTACAATTTCTTCGGCTGTTGTTGAAATTTCTCTACACCCAAGTGCAGGGCATTGTGCCAGTGTGACCGTGCGTGGGAATTGTTATTTGGTTTTCGGCTCTCCAAAATGTACTAAATAATGTGATTGCACCGCAAGGTCCGTTAGGGGCATTACGGAATTTTGGTTAAACCGAAATTGAAATCCTAGTCTTTGAATATACGCCTTCCTCAGTTGCAAATAAAATATGTCAAATGATTATTATTATTATTGTTGTCGATTTTTTAGTTACCTTGTATTTTTGAATACATAAATCGAAGTGAAAAACTCGAAATCACAGTTGGTTATAAATCTTTATAACACAACTTTTTTGATAACTTCCCTAGGAACTGATCTCCGGACTCAGATAGGACTAGCGCTAGTTTCATCTACACGTCACCGCAGACTCATCAGCTATATTTGGGTAGAAATCTCTCTTAGGCTCAAATCAGAAGCTTTTATGCAATTTTTGGCGTTGCCATACTATCTGACTAGATTTTTAAAAACAACGAAGTTTTGAGTTTTTAAACCAAATGCCAATAATTATGAAGCCAATCCAAATGACAATTAACAAGATATTGAACAAGTGGCGATAGCAAAATTAAATCTTATGTGCATGAAATTATTTAATCAATAATTTGTGTTCAAATTTCAGTTATTTACGATTACTAAGACTTTTGAATTTTTTGTATTTCCAGGTACTGGATATTTCAATTAAGTGGCCAAACGATATATATGCAAATGGGAATCAGAAGATCGGAGGACTCGTGATTAATACCACTCTGCAGGGCTCGCAGGCAATCGTCAATATCGGCAGCGGAATTAATTTAAACAATGCAAAACCAACTGTTTGCATAAATGATTTGATACGGGAACATAATGCCCGTGCCCCGAACAAGTTACCTATGCTAACATATGAGCTATTTATTGCCATGATTTTCAATGAAATCGAAAGACTTTTGGGTGAAGTACAAAATGGAGATTTTGATAGTTTTTATGCCTTATATTACTCACTCTGGCTACACAGGTAAAACTATCATTAGACCGTAAAGTTATACGACTTCATTATTTTTATTTACAGCGGTCAAACCGTCAAGATTTGCTTACAAAATGAACAGGAAAGAGAAGCCGAAATTGTGGGAATCGATGATTTTGGATTTTTAAAGGTGAAACTACCAACTGGAACCATTGAAACTGTGCAGCCCGATGGAAACAGCTTTGACATGTTGAAAGGATTGATTGTAACCAAGTACCACTAGTTAATTGAAGCGAACGAAATAGTTCATATTAATCCCAAAATCCAATTATTTAATAGAAGCTATTAGCAACTTGTATTTCATAGGCGCATTTAGGTAAATTTATTAAGAACTTATGTTCTAACAAAAATTTACAGTGTGTTTCTCCAAAAGTGATTTAACTGAATTTATTCTTACTTAAAATTGAGAGAAATGCTTTAAAATAATACGAATTCCACTAAATTGTGTACTGCCAAATATAAATAGGTTAATTGAAATCTCCGAAAGTTATAAGAATTGTCCTGAACCAACACTTATATGCTATGTATCGCAGTGTTTTGAAGTACTTTGAAAGTTTATCCTGTTCGTTACAATTGTTATTGGCATCGACTTCTCTACGTATTGGTGTTTTTGAAATTTGACTTTAATAAAAACGTATTTGATCATGGCGGGCTTTAAGCCCTAGTTTTTATTTAACAAAAGTGGTGTTGGCAGTGCAAATGCCACTAAATTCATTATGCCATTTAGAATCTAAGCCATCTAAGGGCTCCCAAAATCTTTTTTTAGTTATATTATAGAATTTTTCAGTTTATATCACCTTTTTAGGCTGTACAATTTTTTTTTGATTTTTAAGTTGTAGTTACAATACAATAAATGTTTAAGATTTGAAAGCTTATCCTATTTTGGTACCAAAAATTTGGTTGTATCAAATGAATTTTTTTAAAAAGATGATCTTTTAAATAGTCTGAACGGAAAGCGCTTGTTAAGTAGTAATTAATTTTCATTCTTTTTTTTGCCCAAACTTATTAAATAAGCAGTTGTAAAGGTGAAGTGTAGTAGATCAACCATCCACCATCCTAAATCAGTCGTCAGCAGTCACAGTGGCGAATCAAGCATTTTTCAATTGTTTCAGCTTTAAAAATACTTTTTCCCACCTAACATTTTTTGAAATACTGTGGATAATAATGAAAAGCATATCTGAATTTGGAAATTAAGGCTTCATTTAACTCTTATACTACTAAACTAAAAATTTTAAGTTGATTTCAAATTTCAAATTTCAAAAAACTTAATGGTATATTGTAGACTTAGTATAAGATTGTTAACACTGGTCGTGTGGAGAGGGCTTTGTATTTTTTCAATTACATAAGCTGGTAACACTGTTAGTTGCTGGAGAAGAAAATTGTGAATAAAACCGAAACTAAGGCATAGGAAATTATGTCACAACGCAATCACCGAGTAGACCGCTTTGCCCAGATGACAAAGCAGGAGGAGATCATAGCCAAGAAGCGGCAGGAGATCCTCGAGAAGCAGAAGACGGCCCAGCTGGCCAAGGCGGTGGCTGCGGCGCAAAATTTGGCCGCCCAACTGAAAACAGAGACGCCTGCGGGAAAACCGATTTCCAATGAGGAGGAGGAGGAGGAGGATTCACACCAGCAAGACATCGCTGTTCAGGACACATCCCTAGCCACCGCTGAAGAGGCCAATGGCCTGGAGGTGGGCCAGATCGAGGCCACGGCTGGCAAGGGAAAGTCGGACGACGCGGTGACCCCCAAGACGCTGAACAGCTTCACCGGCAAGACGGGCAAGATCACATTTGGCCAAAAGCGCCAGCAGCTGCCACAGCCCAGTGTAGAGCAGCCGCCTCCAAAGGTTAAAAACACTTTCTGCAACGACGGTTCCTTCCTGGAGAACTTCAAGAAAATACTCGAAAAGCACGAGAAGCCTCCACAGCCTTTACTCGTTCCTCCAGTCCCAGTGCCCAGGTAGGTGGCCACTACATAAATCCATCGAACTATTATCGATTTCCTCCCTTTTACAGCGCCGAGGAGAACAATCTCCTGGAGACGGACAATGCCGAGAACAGCGGTTCCCAAATGGAAACGGCCATTGCCATTAGCTCGGCGGCAGCCATGGCCACCTCCATTACGGTGACTAGTTCGGCGCCAACTCACTTGGCTTTTGGACTGCCCGTGCAAGCAGTGCAGCCACCGCCACCCCCACCGTTCGCTTTCAACCCAACGCTTTTGCAGCAGGGACCACCGCAAATGCAGCTGCCAGCTGCCTTCTTCCACGGCCACCTGCCACTGCATCTGCATCCGGCGGCAGTTGCTCCTCCACCGCCGCCGCCGCCTCCACAGCTGCCCATCGCACTGGCCAACATGGGACAGATTTACATGCAGCTTGGACCGACTCCTGTGGAGGCCATGCAGCTGAATGCCATACCGGCACCTAAGGAGTTCGACTTGAATGCCATACCTAAGCCGCAGATTAACCTGGAGGCTATACAGATGCCCACTATCGGCGGACATTCAGCGGAGCAGCTTGGGCTGCTATCGGAACACATGGCCATGTCCGTCAATCCTCACCCACCGCCGCCGCCGCCGCCTGTCCTGGAGGAGCTGGAACAGCAGCAGCCGCCTCAGCCTGCAGTTGCCCCGCCCCAAGGTGTGTATCGTTTGCATAGACGCCTTCGTTGTCTGTTCTGTTCTGCCATTTGCCATGTCCTTTCCATGCCCAACATCTGTCCTCACCCACATCCCAACCTATCTCCCACTTCCCATTCATTCAAATTGTATAGAACTTTGATCGTTGAGCACGATTTTAAAGCAATTTATGTAGTTTTTTCAGAAACGTGCATACAATTGCCAACGTGCTTAGAAAACCTAATCGCACTGGTCGCGGAAAATGGTGAAGATTATGAAGATAAAATACGTTTGCATAGAAGCGAGTTGCATCCGGCCTTGTGGTAAATGACCTAAACATGTTTTACCTGGGACTAAGACTGGCACCCAAGTTACGTTCTAAGGACATGGGTTGGTGAGGGGCGTACAGCTAAGGGATTTCATTGGGCATTTCACTTGCACATTTTGCTGAGTTTTAATTAGGGAAGTGTTGGGCTGTCATCATTTTGTATTTGCTAGCTAAGCCAAATTTAGTTGAGTTTATACTGCCAGTCTTAATAGAGAGTATCTAAATAAAAAAAAATTATTTTTGATATAAGTTTAGGTTTGGTTTCTAAAAGACTTGCTGCCCAACGATGTAACATTTCCAATTCTCAAGACATTTTTTAAAGGAAAGGCTTTTATATGGCTTTATGTTCAATTTATTTTTTTAAGCACAAAAATCTATTTTAAACTTCAACTTGAATGTCTGATAACTATCGAAAATTGTCATTAATGTAGATTGCTTATATATAATGATATTATTATTGCTGACTTAAAATTTAATTTTTTGATAAACTACCGACAAAACGAACTTACTTTTTTGGGGTTTAATAAGGATTAGCCAGAGCAGTAGCTTGGACTCGTCGAACACACAGTGATCCGTCTTTCCTCGATCGTCACCTGGAGGAGCCAGCCGGCGGATGCCAGTTTAAAGTCTCAAAATAAACCGCTAACGGGGCGCCTCAAACAGTTACTCATATAATGTCTTTGTACACGTGACTATCGTCGAGCACTTTTCATTGTACGTTTCACTTCTTTTGAATTTTGATAATAGGTTTCTTTATGATAAGAGCTGCGAGCAGTATCGAAGCTATCGCTCCCAACTCCTTGACTACGAGCGACAGAGGGCCGAACGGCAACGGGAGCGGGAGCATCAGCAGCTAAGCCGGGACCAGCAGCCGCAGCCCAAGGAGCAGGAGCTGCAGCCACACCAAGAGGAACATCACAGCAACTCGGCGGCCGACAAATACGACCCGGAGTCGGCCATCAGTGCGGACTTCGACTCGGACGATGAGTACATGCGGGGCATGATGGACCGCAACCGGGACAACATCAAGCGCCGCATCGAGTGCCGCAACGAGCTGAGCGACGAGGAAAGGCGCGAGCGGGAGGAGGCTGCCGCAGCCGCAGAAGGGCTCGATGGCGATGATCAGGACGAGCAAGAGGACAAGGAGTCGCAGAGGCAGCGACGGAAGCGCGAGCGCAAGAGTCGCTGGGGCGAGAAGGAGCAACAGTTGCCCACCTCAAGTGAGTTTTTCTTAGTTTTATACAAAATATTTGGACCAGAAACCGGTTGAGTTGGGAAAGGTACAAGTTTTTTTGGATCTAGGTAAGGAGCAAGGTATTTTTTTTAAAGTTCTTATGTTTTACCGTACATAATAAATAACTTTTCAAATATCTAGGTAAGGTAAAAGGTACAAATGAGGGTGTTTTTATCTCTAACTTTAATTTTTTTTTAAATGAATAATTTTTTAGTCGTTGTTTCTGTTGAATTGGCTATTAGTCGGTTTGTAGAAACATGTATAATGAAACATCACTTTAGCTTTTAAATTCGGTTTAAAATTTTAAAATAAAAATATTTCAGCCCCTAAATGCCTAACAAAGTTCATCTCAACACTGGAAACCGGCACATTTCTTAAATCTACTGAACCAATGTGTCTCAAAGTAGTATCAAATATTCGTTATAAAATCGCTCATCTTTATAAATAGATTATTGTAGTCATCAGCTAAAATTGGAATTTTATGTTTCAAATTGCTTTCAGTTTAAAAAATTTAAAGGAACACTAAATAACTTCAAAATTTTGTTTTATTATTTGTATCACAAAGACAATTTAAAAAAATTTTAATTACTCTTCGTACATTTAAGATAAATATGTACCCGTGCAAAGGGTATTGTAATTTTAGTCAAAAGTTTGCAAAGCAGTGAAGGAGGACATTTCCGACTTTATAAAGTGTATATATTCTAGCTCAGCATCACAAGAAAAGTCTATCTAGTAATTTCTGTCTGTCCGTCCGTCTGCGTTTCTACGGATTTTCTTCGGATTCAATGGATTCAATTTCAAAAAGCCTTTAGTCAATGGAATATTGTATTTTAAGTCGGAACAACTTCGTTGTTTTTAAAGTTGTTCAATTTATTTAACGATGGTTGATTTCTTAGGACTACGGTTTTTATTTTATGAAAATCGGACAACGATATCAAATATGTATGATATTTAAAAAGTTTATATATTCCGTTTTTAAAATATTTGCTTTTCCTATCGAGATAGGAAACTGTGTTTGAGCACGCACTTAAGGACAATAACTTAGCAATTGTAATACATATTCAACGGACCAGATATTTAACTTGTACTATGTACTATGTTTTGTAGGCACCTCGGGCAACTTCGGGAACCAAAACAAGCCTATGCTAAGCAGCATTACGCGCACTGATCCCGCACTGCTCCAGTACGCTCGCCTCAACTACGGATCCACTCAGCTGACCGATGAGCAGTGGAAGCAGTGCGAGGAGCACTACAAAGTCAATCTCCTGTATCAGGACATGATGCGCAAGCGCCAGGAGATCGATCGGCTGGCCCGCGGCGGAAAGTTCAAGTATGAATACGACTCCGACGAGGACATTGAGGGCGGAACGTGGGAGCACAAGTTGCGCACAGCCGAAATGGAGGCCACTTCGTTGTGGGCCAACGCCCTGACCAAACAAAGCGAGGGCAAGCACCACATTGGCGACTTCCTGCCCCCCGAGGAGCTCAAAAAGTTCATGGAGCAGTACGAGGCAAAGAAGAACAACCGTCAGCCCGATCTGAGCGACTACAAGGAGTACAAACTGAAAGAGGACAACATCGGATTCCAGATGCTGCAGAAACTCGGCTGGAAGGAGGGTCAGGGTTTGGGACAGGACGGAGCGGGAATTGTGGACCCCGTCAACAAGTGGGTTGCTCTTTTTCCATCGTAAATATTTAAATGTGTAATATAAGTTAAACAGGGCCCCGCAGCGCGATGGAAACCAAGGACTCGGCGTGAGCAGTGCTGCCCAGCCAGAGGATTGTGACAACGAATACGACGCCTACAGGAAGCGTATGATGTTGGCGTACCGCTTTCGTCCAAATCCCTTGGTAAGTATTATTAAAGGATGGGTCGAATTAGGAGATCCAAAATGGATAGGGGAACAACATTTCTTGACCTTTCTAAGATAAGTTCCTCTATTTGTTTTTCTTTGGCTTTTTATACTCCTGGAAAGGGTGTTATTGTTTCAGTCAAAAGTTTGTATAGCTGTAAAGGGCACACTTACGACCCTATAAAGTGTATATATTGTTGATCAGCATCACCGGACGATTTGGTTAAGCCATGTCCGTCCGTTTCTACGCAAACAGTTGTTGTCTTTCTGATGCAACTAATATATAAATTCCTTATGAAGAATCGGAAAAATACATTTTTTAATATTCTTTAAGATATAGTATTGATTAGAAATATTTCAGAATTACGGCTTTAATCTTATTAAATTGGCCAACTGTATCATAAAGCTCCTAAACAATCAAAGATATCCCTGTTTTTCAATTCATTTAAATATTGCTAAATTTATAGGAATGATTAGATATTTCAGTATTACGGTTTTATTTTATTAACGATAGCTGCCATATGTTCATTGTAGGCATACAAATCGGAATATAATTGTTATGAAGAATATTTAAATTGAACAACAGCTGCAAGCAACTTGCCGTAGTTCGCTTTTTTGTTTTAACTTCAATTTCTAATATATACTTTTTTATTTCAGAATAATCCTCGTCGCGCCTACTACTAGTACTACGTTTTTAGCTCATCTCTACCCAGAAAGCAAAAATTATCCAAGTAACCTCAGACCGCTTATAAAACCACAAAGTTTTGCTGAATAAATGGTCCTTGTTTAAACTCGACAACGGAAACCAGTGTAATTAAATGGTTTTCATTTATTCAGAATAGTTCGTAATTAACTTATAGCTATTGCATGTGAAATAGATCTTACGGTGGTTCGGAACTGGTCGGCCTCGAAAGCGGATGAGAACTATTTCACACAAAACTTCACTAGGGTCTATCGTCAAGCGTTTAGGAGTTCGTTCATATAAAAGAGTAAGTAGGTATCGAGTCTCTTGGAACCGGAGTCTGGGCCCTGGAACTCAATTGTTTCAATTGTGTTGAATGTCACAGCTGCCACTCCAGGGATGATGAGCTCGATTCTACGGGGAACTGGGCGGAACACCTAAACGCTAATAATACTAAGTTGTACTCGAACTGGAAGCGAGGGTCTAGTCTAGGAGTAGAGCGTCAGCACGGGCGTCTGGTTGCCGCGGGCCAAGGCCACCGGACATTTCATGTCCGACGTGAGCATCTCCAGCCATGACATGTACAGCGGCGAAGAGATGGCCTCCTGGAAAATACAAAAGTACGGATATGTTAGTGGAACCGGCACGAGGAGTCACCTCCGAACAGCTCACCTTGCGGGGCATGGGCAGGGACATGACCACCAGAGCGGCGTTCGACGAGTGCTTGACCACCAGCTCATGGATGCGCAGCTGTCGGTTCGTCTTCTCGGCCATGCTCTGCAGCTCGTCGTCCGTGATGCCGAACTCGTTGCGGGCTCCGCGGCGGAAGGGCTCGATCAGGCGCTTGTGCTTCAGCATCGTGTCCGCCCGCGGCTGCTCGGAGACGCCCTTCAGCATGATGAGCTCTGAATACTTGATGCGGAACTTGGTCAGCAAGCTGGCCATGCTGTGGGTCGGAAAAGCAGAAGTTAGCCATCAAAATAAATACTTGCCAATATTTATGAATAATATATCGTCAAACTGAGTTTTAAAGTTAAGTATCTAAGCTCAGGATTCTCTTCTCTCAATAATTTCTTAAATATATATTTTTTTTAAAAATTACTTTTCTGCACAATTTACTAGCTGTTCTATGTAAAACTTTGCAAAATCAGGCAAAAAGTCGTACAAAGCAAAAAAAAAGTTTATTTAGAAAAAAGAGATCAAATAAATCTGAGCCGAAAAGTAGACTAAAACTTTACTATAAGTTTTTCTTTTAGAAATGGTTTTTCAATAAGCTCTTTTTTTTAATTTAGTTTTCTAAATTTTTTTGTACTTATTTTTTTCTTAATATTTGGTATCTACCAATTCGAATTCCTATACCTTTTTTAGATATTTTTAGCACAATTTTAAAAAGATTTTGCAAATATTTTTGGATTATGCCAAAAAAGGTTATCTCGCCCACTTTTCTTTATGAAAAGAGTTCTGAACACAGTAAAAATAACTAAATAAAAGAGCTAAAAATCAAGAATTTTACTGTTTTGGGTATAAATGTACTTAGTATAGATATGTAGTAAAGTTATTTTTTTATGGGCATAGTCAAAAGAGTCAAATAAAATTTTATTTACATAGGGATTAGTTAGGCTTTTATACTTCGTAAGACCTTCACAAACATTTTTTCTTTTCTGCTAAGTATAATCTAGTATCTGCCAACTTTTCAGGCTAATTTGTGGAATGATTTGAATATAATTATAAGGAATATGAAAATCTTACCTCTTTTCTTCCTGCTCTTCGTCCTTTCCGTGGCACATTGCGAACACCCTCAGCTTGCAGTTCTGCCAGTGGGATCGCATGGAGATGATGTATGGCAGGAGAATGGTGAGACCTGTAATCCATCGAAGGGTTAAAAGGAGTCACATGGATAAATACACAGTACCGAGCACCCACCTCCGTCGTCGTACAGCCAGAAGACATCGATTGTGCCCTTGGGCTGTTTACGCGTGAATATGGTCATGGCCTCCAGGAGGTTCTGGGGAATGTCCGATCCGCCCTTGGTGTGGTACGTGACCGCCGGCTCGTCCGAGCTGTTCACCTTGTAGCTGCGGGTGCTGCGCTGCATGTTGGGCATCGGCGCCGGCTGGGGCATGGTGAACGATGAGTTGGGACTGTCCATTCCGGCCAGGTTCAGGTTGGAGTCGATGTGCAGCAGCTCGGAGGCGGCATTGGCCGCCGGCATCAGTTCGTTGGTGAAGCCCTGGGCGTTGGCGGTGTGCATGTGTCCCATTCCGTTGGCCGGCAGGGTGACCTCGGAACTCAGCTCCGAGAAATCCAATCCGTTGGGCAGGCGGAGCAGGGCCACGCCCATGCGCTGCGAGAAGGCATTGCTGTTGGGGAGGTTGAAATGTTTAGAGATCCCTCTCATTACCATCAACGAGATTAACTTACTACAAAATGGAAAAGTAACTCTCCACCTCCTCCTTGCGACAGCGATTCCAGTCCGGTTTGTAACCCACCAGCACTATGTTCGGTGACATCTTGCCGAAGCCAGTGGACTTGGTTAGAGCATTTATTCCATCCTCCAGGCTGAACCCATCGATCACGTTGTAGAACGCCTTGATTTTGCGCGCATCCAGGTACTTCTGTCCATCCTTCACCAGGTGCTGACGATTCTTGTAGCCCACGCGCACCTGCAAATGGCATTTCAAATAGAGTTTTTAAATAAATGTCGTACAAATATCATTAAAGAAATAACACCTATTTTAGATACATACTTTATATTCGAAATATTTTGGTAATTAAAGTAATATTATACAAAAAGGATTGTAGAACCAATCAGATTGATAGACCAATCTTGTACGTGTACATTACATTTTAATTTCAGAATCACTAAAAGTGATTACTATTATGTTTGATAATAACATTGTTAATTAAAAATAGAAAAACAAAAATTTTCTTTGTGATTACCTGCTGATTTATGTGAATAAGTAATGTTCAAATTTTCGAAAGAATTGGTTCAGTAGATTTTGGGTTCTGATGTTCACAAACTTCCAAAAATAAGTTGTCGGGAAAATCGATTTAAAATTTTTCATAAGAGAACATCTGATAGCACTAACGGTAGTTTTACTCGGATTGACTTAAAATTTGTACAGAATATTCTCAACATAATGTTGATTCAGAAAAAAAAAAAACGAAATGAAAAAATAAAGTTTAAAAAAATCTACCCTACTCTTAAAAGAAAAACGATTAATCAAACAGTTATTATTTTTATTATTTTTTTTCGGTTTAGTTTGTGCGTAAGGGAAAAACTGTCACCTGATATATTTTCGAGTTCTGGCTAGGAGAATATCGGGTTCCAAAGTGGATAATTAAATAAGTTTTGTACTACTTACTTAATCTAAACTTTTTAACAAGATGTGTAACTCAATTCCATAATCTATACTGTTGTAATTTTAAGTTATTGCACTTTTAGCCAAACCCAAAACCCACTTACTTACCGGTATTATGTTAGCCACAAACATGAGGGAGTTGTTCTTGGTCAGCAGATAGCCGAAGTCCACGAGGGGAGGCCGGGTCTTGGGATCGCCGGAGAGGACCAGCACCTGCGGATGGTAGTTCTTGACGTGGTCGGAGACGTTCTGCAGTCGGTGGACGGCCATCAGGGCGGCCTTGTACTGCTGGGCCTGCGTGGTGGAGCCCCAGTTGGCCTCCGGCTTTCGGTACATGACCACCAAGTACAGGGCGAAGATAATGCCGAAGGTGATGATGGCCGCCACGTAGTTGATCAAGAACATGATGGCCACGCACATGGCGAACCCGAAGAGACTGAGCCAGGCGTTGTAGTACTTGAAAGTGGGCCGCCATCCCAACGGCTTCACGAAGGCCGCATGGAATGTGCAGAAGTTGATGAGAGCGTAGGAGGCCAGGTAGAAGGTGGAGATCAGGGGGGCGATCAGGTTGAGCTCTCCGATCAGCAAGAAGCCCGTGGTAATGAAGAAGGTGAGCACATAGCCGCGGTACGGCTCTCCGTGCTTGCCGTACGGCTTCGAGAAGAAGATCAGGCCCGGGTAGATCTGGTCAATGCCCAACGCCTGAACCAGCCTGGGCACGGACAGCAGGTTGGTCAGGGCCGTGCTCAGCGTGGCCGCAAAGCAGCCGGCGTAGATCAGCGGTCCCCACAGCGACATCTCCTGCATCATCTCGTACGAGTTGAAGAGGCCCCACGTGCAGTTGCCACTGGCCAGGCAGGGCAACTCCGAGGCCACGATAGTGCCGTTGACCAGGTCGGCCGGGTTGCCGGACGCATCCCGCACAGCGGCGCCGCCGGCGAAGAGGACGAACAGGGCGTAGGACGACATCGAGATGAGCAGCGACCAGAAGGTGCCCTTCGGAATGGCCGCTCCTGCGTCCTTCAGATCGCCGCAGATGTTCGCCCCAGCCTGAATGCCCGTCACGCTGGGGAAGAAGATGGCAAACACGCTGAAGAAGTCGTGGTTCACCCCCTCCGCATAACGATAATCCGAGCCAAAGTTCTCCTTGAACGTAGCCCCTAAAATAGAAAGTGGTCAGTTGTAAAGTTCTTGAAAAAAAAACACCGTCCACTCACATGAGAAGCCCACGAAACCCTTCGAAATGTTCTCCTCGTTGCCCTGCGGTCCAATGGCAGCCCCGATCAGGAAGTTGAAGATGGCCAGGACTATGGTGACGATCAGGAAGTTCTGCGCCTTCGTCTCCCACTCCATGCCCACGCAGCAGATCAGGATGAGCACCAGAACAGTCACCGATCCAACGATTCGGATGTCGTTGATGCCATTGTCGACTATCTTCAGGTCGTTGTTCTCTGGAAAAAGGTTGTCGACATGTTAATAATTGGCACGAATAACGCTTGTCACAGGTTGGAAAAGGGAATATTAAATCAGTATGCTACAAGTTGGAAACACCTGTAAAGCATCTATGTAAAGTATGCGTGTAGAGTATCCATGTAAAGTACGTTTGTAGACTATCTGTGTAAAGTATGTACAGCCTAGTCGATATACATTTATACTCAGGTCCTTGTGTATTCTGTTTTAATGTCGAGATCTATATAGAACTATAAAGGCTTGAAAATCGAGATTAGACAACTAGATAAGTTGGTTTTAAAATTTGGGCACCCCCAATAAACATTAACCCACCCCACAGAGTGTAGGGATCAATTTTTCTATGAGGAAAGTTAACACATTTGGCTGAAATTTATTGAAAATATGTTAACGCAATTTGTGGGAATGTAAGTGAAATACCCGCTATCTCGACTTTATCGTATGTCTCTTTGTTTAATATGCATAATGAGTGTATTTAATTTTATTTTCTTTTCTTCAAATTAGACTTAAATATCCTATAGCTATAGGAATCGGAAATAATAAATAAATATATAACAAAATTACCGTATAAGTATTAACATTAGCGATATTTTAGGAATAACCTTTAATTTTTCAATTCACTAAATTATACATGACCCTAGCGCATAATAACTTTTGATACTTTTTGGAACATTTTGGTTTTTGTTTGTGATCTGGCGAAGTTCATCTACCTCTAAAACAGTATACCACCTTAATGTACGAGTACCGGGTGCTCAACGTTAATCATGAATTAAAATGATACTCACTCAGTAAAACGTTTAGCGACTCGCAGAAGCCGATGGTGTTCATCGAGGCGGAAACGGCGTTGGCGAAGGCGAACACCACGCCCACCGACGCCCCGAACTCGGGTCCCAGCGAACGGGATATGATGAAGTAGACCCCGCCACCTTTGACCTCGCCGTTGGTGCTAATGGCCGACAGCGAGAGCGTCGTGATGACGCAGACCACCGCGGAGATCGTAATTATAATCAGCGACTGCAAGATGCCGGACTCGGCCACCACCCAGCTGAGGCGCAGGAAGAGCATGACGCCCCAGATGTTCAGGAGACAGGGTATCAGGACGCCCACAATCCATCCCAGCTTAATGTGACCGCCAGGGGCTTCCGGTTCGGGTTCGGGTATGGTAATGCTCTGAAATGGTGAATGAATTAGTTAATATACTTGTACAATTAAATATGACCCAAAACAACTTCAATATTATTAATCGTACTCTTCGCGAGAAAGCAATGAGCTACGATAACTATGATGTTTCACCAATCTATCCTGCTAATAATTTAAACATATATCGAAAGGCCATCATCAGACCGCTAATTGCGATTATCATTATTTGCGTGATAATGGGATCTTGACATTCGTATTCGTATCGAAAGTATGTTAAGTATTTAATTGCATTGACTTCAAGATTTTTGATAAACTTCGAGCGACTTCAACAGCTGTTTCAGTGCGACTTTATTCGGAATTACTCATACGCCATGTGTGCAATTTAGTACTCGTATTCAATTAACGACCCGTCGACGCCATCCGAAACAAAAGCAACACCAACCAAAAGCAAAGCAGCAACCAGATTATGAGGAGCTTCATATTGCTTTTCATTCTAATTAAAGTTCGTTTTTATAACTGCACTAAAACTCAAAACATTATAAAAATGTGCAAATGAAAGCTGAAACCGAAATGAGCTGCCTCGAAGTTAACTATTTATCATAAAACCAAAGGTATGTCTTTGTTCGGGATAAAGGTTTTGCCAATAGGGTGCAAAATGTACAAATAAAGAGAACATCCACTTTAACTTAACCGACGAAGTGACAGTAATGTGTCAATTAAACCTAACAATGGCGCTATAAGTTGGGTTGTTATGAAACCCGCTGTAAAAAAGTTCCCTTTCCTTAAGGTGCTAACAAATTATTTTTACAACCCGAATTTTTTAAGAAGAAGCAACTGTGAATTATTCTCTATTATTTTTACGCTTCCGGGACCTAAAAAAAATAAGGTCAAATTATTGAACACACTTGTAACTATTGTTTTGTATAAATTTTGTTTTGATTTTAAGTCATGGCAATTAAACAGTATAAATAGTATGAATAAATTAATTTTGATTAATTATGGCATTATTTTCGTTCTGTTTTAAATATAGTAAGTTTAGACGTATAGTCAGTAATATAATAAGGCTGTAAGTATGGGGATTTTAATTTCAGAAGCTAATAAGTTCCTATGACTTGTTTTGTTGATCCCAGTGGAATATAATATATGTGTATAGTTAAAATAAAAACATCAAGAATTTTGTTTACAAGGGCCTGATGGTCACAATTTCGCTTTTGAGGCAAGTATAGCTGGTTCCTTTTTTTAAGGAAAATTCGATTTTAAAATCTAAAAAGCTTATCAAGTTATATTTTCTTTAAGGCTTTAGTTGTAAATAATTTTAATGTTTCATAAAAGGCCCAGTCGAAATTGTAATAGTCAATGTTATAAGTTGAATACCTTTTTCAATTGGAAACTAAGGAATTAAGTTATTTTGATGTGATTTGTCGCATAGAAACAGACAAGCTTATATTCATTATTGGCTAACGATTGGAATTGTCTCCTTGAGGGTTGTAAGCCAAATAAAGAGTGCGTAATAGAATCAAATGGGTTTTTTCACTTGCCGAAAGCAAAATAATTTTAATTAAATTCCGTTTTTTTATGAACAGCAGAGAAAACTTCCGACATGCATTCCACAATATGAGAACATATTTCCACTTGAAGCAATATTGACTTCTCACATGCGGTAATTTACAGAGCAAGCAATTAGAGCGCCCTAAAAACTTCCACTGGCACTGATCAGAGCTGGGCCGAACAATTTCTTGTGATTGCTATAATTTAATAGATTTACACAAGACATTGCTCCCTTGCCCTTGCTTGGTTATTGTTTTGCCATTTGGCGAAGCGATGGATTGGGGCTCATTTATTTTATTGTTTGCCCACATAATTGAATGTTTTTTAAAACGCGACCAATTGGAATTGCCTCACGTGGCATGTGGCAGTGGCACTGGTGGTGGCAGTGACGGTGGTGTTGGCAGGGTTGGGCAGGACGACATCGATTGACAGAGCGAAGTACGAGAGCACAGCCCCAGAGCGCTCGAATCGCACACGCTGCGTATACGCAATGCTGGTTAGTTAGTCTTCCTCGGTGGGTGGTTAATGTTGATTGTTTACACATTTTTGGCGGCTTCGAGCGGACGCCAACTCAGACAGACACAGACACAAAAATAAACATTTATACACTTTAATAAAATGCTGAACTGTTAGTTATTGAGTTGGAAAGAGTTGAGTTCATAAATTTATATGGCAAAGACATATCAATAAAAATGTGTTTAAGTCAAATAAACCGTGTTAGAGAAATAATTTAATTAAATTTGAAGTGTATTATTAATTATTATTATTATTTAAAAATTTACACAACCAAATGTGTTTACTAAAACAACTTAAACTTGTACTTTAAAACTTGTACTTGTACTTATGTCAATGGTTGAATGTTTGTGGATTACGGAATAAGTTTTATTATTTTTTTGAGTCCGTGAAATATCTCCAAGACTAAATTTAAGTTTAACTTTCTTTCTTTTCAAAGAATAAAATAAAACATTATTAAGTAATAAAATATTAATTTAAAAATATTTTGGGGCATTTGGGCTCTATTACTGATATATTGCTAGGTACTTTTTTTCCGTGCCCCCTTCTAGTCACGGGTTTACGATGAGATGGGGAGTAGGGGGTATTTGTGGTCTCACTATTGTAACCCTCTGGCGCTTCCTTCCTTTTGTCCATTTCATTTAGCAAAATACGCATTTGGCTCTGCGCTTGTTTTCCTCGTTCACGATGTCTTTGTTGTTTGTGGTCGATGCGTGGAAAATTTTCGCACCCAAAATTGGAATTGAAATTGGTATTTGTGCTTTATGACATGGGGAAGTGAGGGAAAACCTGGTAGAAAAGCTATTTTCTTGACTAGCTTGTGCAAGAGATTTGAGTTTGGTTAATAGACGAAAAGAAGCCAAAGTGATAAATGGGGGCTGAAATGAGGATGCGGAACCTGAAGGTTATAATCACAATTTCCATAAATAGCTGCAAATTATTATTAGCTTCAAGAAAAGTAAGTCTCTGGCTTATTAGGGCGACTGGTTTTAAGCCAATGCTTTAAGAATTCCTTAAGAATTTTTTACTTAGATTTAAAGCAGATTCGGGCAGTCGTAGCTGCATATTCAATTCAATTACGAAAATGCGCAAAAACCGATACGGCCAAATGGGTTATCCAATAAATTAGGAACAATTGCATTTTCATCATTAAAGAGAGAGATTTCCCACAAGTTTTCTCCGCCCTCAACCATTCGAACAATGGTGGCTAAGTATCAGAAATGCAACACAAATGGGGTAAACATATTGTTATATGCGCCAATAATTTAATGGCTTGTTCGGGGCAATGGCAATGCGGTAAACAAAGATTTTCCAGCAAGACTTTCGCATTAGGAAATCGATAAAATGGTATAAAAATAGCGGCCAGCTCTTTGGCTATGAATTGTAAATTACAATTGTAATTACAAGTGCAATGCAAAAGGAATCTGAAATTGCAAACACGCCGCAGGCTGCCCCCTTGATGATGTAAACATCATTCGCTCTGGCGAAATGCTCATACGCCGCGTTGTACGGCAAAAGATGGTGATACAATTGTCCGATATTGCCATTCGGCTTTGACAAATCACTATTGCTGAGTAGTTCGATGGCAGGGTCTTTTTGAAACTGCCAAGAACTGGTAATGGTTTTTCGGGGTGTCGCATTCTGTCACCTTAACTGATTGAAAGTGAAGAATAATCCATTGCTCAGCCTGAGCGTTTATCAAAATGACGTCCTGTCAGCAGCCCTGACAGGTTCAATACTCGCGCACTTGTGCACTTGTGGGTCTGGAGTGGATTCGATCGGCTTTAATGTGGCACCACCGCCATGCCATCGGCCCAGGAGCCTCTGGAACGCCCTGTTTATGATAAGCAACGAATCAACTAACGTCAATGGCAACAGCTCCAGCACCATCTGCAGCCCGTTGCTGTCAGTTTTAATGACACGACACACTTGTCTTGCATTATATCCCCCTTCTACAGTCGAACCATATGGGTGTTGACTAGGATCGCTGGAGTGAGCTGTTTACTGAGTCCTTAGTCCTGTCCCGCTGCTCCTTGAAACAATGTCCATGTGGCCCGACCCATGGCAGATGCATGGCTGCATCTTGTTGACAATTAATTTGGCTTCGACGCCGTCATCGATATCGCCTTGCGCATTGCGGGCCATGGATGAATGCGGATAAATCCACTTAGGACCTCGCCGACTGACTCAAAATCGAATGAGGCTCGCTCGTGTTGATTTTGCATATTCCCAAGGAGCAAGGATGTGCAAAAGTAAAAGAAAAATATGATTTCTTCTTAGCTCTTCGTCCCTGAGGCTAATAGTATGTATTCAGCCAGTGGTATGATTACTCTAAACTAAAGTAGAACTTAGGGAGGGTTGTAAACAATCATTTCTTTCAAAAAAGGTAAAATCCTGCGTCTGCCTCTGGCATTAAATTTAGAAGTACGCAAGTAATAAATTTAAATTTGAATTAATTGACTTGATGGTGGTACAAATCAATAAGTTTGTGGTCTAAAACCTTTCCCATGTTTGCTGTTACTTACACTTGTACTTATTGTACAAGAACCCTTCGATAGTTAATTCAAAAGCCACACATCTTCTATAACAAGTCTCAAAGAAGTTCGTCTTTTTTGTAACCCAAGAGACCAGTTTTTGTAAAGTATACATTTCTCGTGGAATAAAATACTTTACAAGAGCAATTAATTAGTATGCGTGTTGGGGGAAAAAATGTTATGCCAAAATAAATTTAGTTTTTTCCCCAAACGTCTTGTAACTAGCTGAATCTAGTTTTAAATACGAAAACGTCAATGAATGAATATGACTCACAGCTGTTTATCTGCTTAAAATTCGGCAAAACCAAATGCTCTTAAGCACTTTTGGAACAGGAAAACCTATTTAATTGCTTAAAGCAGAATGGAGGTCTGAACTTAAGATGCCGTATTGGAATTGGTATTCCCCTAATGAGCCGTTGCTTGTAATGCAGCTTTTACGATATCTATCATACGCCATGGTGGCCGGCAGTAGCCGGGCAAAGTGAATTAATTAAACAATATAGAAACTACGAGGGGGAAAGGCAATTCGGAGGAAAACCGCTTGACCACCGGACCCCCAGACGTGTGTTCACTATAGACGCTTCAAATTTATTACTCCAGCGATAAACATAAAAACTGTAACACTGGGAGAGCTTATAGTTGCCCTCTAAGTGATAAGCCCAACATGGGCGGTGGGTGGAGGAAAAGTGGGCGACCTTGACAGAGGTACGGGCTGCTTATCTTAAGTGGCCACAACGTCATCAAGATAGAGGCGCTCAAATCTGCTGGCACTAAACATCAATCGATGGGATGCCCGGAAGACGTCATGGAAAACTCACAATTCGCACGTCGGAAATGTGAAAATTGTTCAAGTAAATAAATCAGAGAACGTATTAATGAAATGCAGATATAAAAATACCTATGTGTGCCCGCATGTACATGGGCAAGTTTTTAAGGCTGTCCAAAGTACGAGAGTACAATACGAGAGCTGTTGAAAAAATTTCGATTTCGATTTCTTTCTGGATCCATATTTTTTGTTTTGGTTCTGTTTCTGTTTCGCTTCATGTTTTCCTAGGTATTTCAGCTTTGCCTTGTTTATTTGCTGAGTACTTGAAATGTTTTCAGAACTGAGTAGCAACGACTGAAGTGCGCTGCAAGGATTATGCCATGGCGAATGAAAGCCAGATCCCTGAGTATGACACTAAAAACGATACCCATCACTAATCCGGTCAGAAAAATTGATAGAATGACTTCTAAATTTGATTTTCAGACTGTTTCAAGTGCATGCCATGCCTGCCGTCGGTTAGAGTATTGTGCAAGGTTGAGTACTTGGCGGCTTTGGGCTATCAACCGATTAACTGATAGCATAAGTTTTATATTTGGGAAATCTCCAACTGATTAATTTGAAGCTGTTTTTCGAACTTGGTTAAATGTAGGTCTTTGCAGAGCAGTTTATCAATACCGCAAGCTCTGAATTCAAAAGTTTATTTTTAAGGTAAGGTATAACTTTCATATTTTTTTGAATGATAATTATATCTAGATCTCTTAAATGTCACGTTTTCTTTTAGAATATAACTTATCTCATTAGTTGGTGGAAAAAAAACACCTTGGAATATTTACAAATTCATTAAAGAGTTTTTTATGAAACTCACACTCACTGGAAGATATTATTGTACTGTTTACTATATCCTGAACTTTTAAATTAATTAATTAATTAATTTCTTTTATGAAAACGTGCTATTTAACTTGTTTTGGAAGGCTTTTCACACAATGCTTGTTCGAGTGGGCGTAGTATACAAATTGTATTCAAAGTCAGCTATAATCACTTTACGCCGGAATGGTCAACTCTTAACACTATTTTAGCCGGTGCTGAACCTTGATTTTCCCCCTTTTCACTTATTATGCAAACTGTTATGGCGATTTCCTTGCTTGCGTCATTAATGCGAACGAAAACTCACCTGATCGACCGCCTCTCCTTGCAGTTCTCCGATGGAAGGACGCTTCAGATTGCGCATGGAAATGCGGTAGTTGTCCAGGCGCGGCAGACTCTCCCTGAAATCACACAGAAGGGAGGAAAACAAGTGATTAGAGGAGTCACTTTCGCGGGGGGGCGGGGGGTGTAAATATAATTTTCGTACTGGTGGAACGGAAGCAGAACCATCACCGCCTCGGGCAGCATGACCGTTGCCTGCAGCGTGCGGAGCTGAAATAGCAATACGCACTCGGCGGATTCCAGGCGTAAGAACCAAGTTATTTGTGTATATACATAAATAATAAGACAATAAAATCGGCCAGCCAGCCGAGTGGTAAAGGTAGCCGGGCAGAAGGTCAGGGGTTCCACGCCGAAATCGAGAAAAATCAAGTTTTATCGGAAAATTATTCGGGTGGGAGAGAGAGTGCCGTAGAATGCCTGCCCTCTTGTATGATGTATATTTACTGATCGCCAACCAAAAACAGAAACAAAAACAATAACATTAGCCGAAGCAGCCACAGAAACAGAAACAGAAGCAGCAGCAATGCCAAAATATAATTTAAAATCTTAAAAAGGAAAAAACCGGAATGAGGAAGGCAATAATCGTTGAGCACAGTACGGCGCCACGAGCGGACAATGGCGCCGAATCCAAAGGGATCGAAAGGGGGCAAGGTGGACAGATGACAGCCCCAGCGAGGAACCAACCGAAAGGGGGAACTACAAGTAATGCATTCTGCAGAACACACATTAGTCATTCTGAATTTCGGCAGGGCATTTCTACAGGTCGCGATCGCCATATGACTAACACAAAAAGGCGTTTGGATCGAGTCTTCAAGCTTAACTAAATATTTAAATTAATAAATTCATCGTGCAGCCCAAAAATAAAAACTGAAAGTTTAGTTTTAATAAGTGTGTCTTGAAAATAAACTTTATACAGTATTAAAGCACAAGCATTACTTAAATACTAAATAATAAAACGCAATTATTCATTAGTTTCATTTCTATACTAAAGAGTCTAAAACTTATAAAACTCAACCTGCAAAGCACTGCTCGTTAAATGAGAAAACTATTAATTTATTTATATATTTACTTTAAAAACCGAAGAAAATAGACTAACGCTTTGAAATTTAAACACTTAAAAATGTATAATAATAAAATTATATAAATATACTTAAATAAAATGTTATTTTTGTATTCGTTTTAAAACATCAAGCTGATTTGTACAGAAAGGTAAAATGAGTTGTTCAGTCTATACCTGGATTCTTTAACAATATATGGTTTGTTTTTAACTTTTTTGTTGACCCACTAACACCGTTTCTGGGTAAACCAAAACCTTTCAATAAACCAGCCAAATTCACTTTTATTGAGGTTCCTTTAATACCTGTATTAAATTTCGGTTTCTCGGCAGTTCTTCCTTGAACAAAGAAGACATCGTTAAAAAAAATCATCTTCCAACTTTCTTATTTATGAAGGTACTAATTATTTTGCATTTCGATCCCTGTCCCTTTGAGATCGCCGCTCAGTTGAAGAATAATTCATGAATGTTTATTAATTATAGACAGAATCTCTCGAGGGCGTTTTTCATTGTGCTACTAAATAAATTGCAAGCATACAGCTACCAGAATTGGGCGTCTTGTGGCTTTTCTTTTAATTTCAATTTCCATTTTCCATTTCCAATTCATTTGCCAGACAGCAACGACTGCTCATAAGATACAGTGCTACATACTGTGGATATATATTTATGTACAGTGTCTGGGCAAATACATACAGATAGCATATATACATATATATATATATATATATATATATATATATATATATGGAGTCCGGACCAGTCGATGGGCATTGATTGCTGGCCGGTTTCGTTGGGAATCAGCTAGTCTGAGTTAGTTGTACAATTGGAGCTGAGCAGAGTTCGGAGGCATCGATCAATTGAATTCATTTGCGCTCGCACATCCCAAATGACAAACTGTAAATTTATTTGTTGACACGCTCATCCTCCGGCGAGAAACACAAACTGACAGCTCCGGAATTTGTGGAGTGCAAGTTGATCGCATTTTCCGAACCCCAATCCAGTTCCCAATCCTTGTGCCAAAAACGGCTGACTTTGAGAACGTGAAGTGAATTTTACTGTTTTGATTTTGTGTCAGAGATTTTATTATTGTTTCGACAGGCTGATGTAACTTGCTTGCCGTGTGCAAAGTTTTCGAGAAAAAAAAAAAAAACAAATCATCGGCTGTCTTTATTTGTTCCAACAAAACTGCACGCCTTAAATTTTTTCGGACAGATCTTTGGCAGCCTTTAATTGAATTTAATTCGAGAATGTGCTTACGATATATCGAAAGTGGAACAATCGTAATAATTAATTAGAAAAGTTTTCGCGCAGGTCTAGGTCGAGATCGTTAATTTGTAGCTTAATTTAACTGAGCAGTCATGTGCTAAGACATGAATAATTTAACTAAAATTAAAAATGCGGAAACAATGACACTGGCTTACAAATTGAAATCGATGAAATCCTCCAGAGATCAACCTTGATGTTCCGGTGCAAGTGAACTCCCTAATTAAAAAATTACGCTCAAAATTTGTTGTATGGTACCATTTTTTTTAAGTTTAAATAACATTATTTACCTGCTTTAAAGCCAATTTTATTTTTTATCTCCGGTTCGGCTCATCCGATTTCGGTCATCGATTGCTTATTTATTTCACTAGAAATTGATCATTACAATTTTGAGTGGCATTTTTTGAATCAAGGAGTCCATCTGCACCGAAATCAAATCATGTTTTGATCTCTGGAACAAGAAGTGATCTATGACTCCCCTAGGAAATCGTTTGTGCAAAGACGGTAAGACCTTTTTATACTTTTTAATCTGCTTTTAATTTCTTTTTAATTAGTTGTTGATGAATTTTATCTAAACAAAATATTAATTTGAAGATAATCTAACTTTTAATGCTCATTTAATTACACAATTACCTCATTGTGGCAAGTGCAAACTCATTAAGCGACCCTACAACAATTTTCACAATTACAATTACCGATCTCGATGTGTTTAAATTATACACTGCGACTTAACTTAGTGAAAGTTAACGTAGTGTATCAATTGACACTGACTGTGACACATTACTCCAATTTTGGACGATGTTGCTTTTGATAAGCTTTTTAATCGGTTGTCATTTTTTGTGTTTATGTGCCAAACGTGATTACAATAAATTGGCATAATGTAACCTTCATTTCGGTTACGAAGTATTTTTTGGTTAAATTTTTTATTATTCAGACTATATTGACGTGTTTTATTGTCTGTTTTAAAACCGATGCCAAGTGTAAATGGCATTTATTTATTTTTCCGAGGTGTACATTAAACACACATGTGTCGGCTCCTCAACTGAAACTCGGTACGGGACGTAAAATAATGATTAATTTGCTTTGGGAAAACTCTAATTAATTGTTGTACTTTTTCTAAATTGTTCAAGATGCGAGTTCAGACCCCACGTGCGCAATAATAAATGGAAAAAATATATCTCAAGCACCAAAACGTTCCAGCTGAATCACAACGAAGCTTATCTAAGCGAATAAATCACACCAATCGAAGCAATTATCAAAATTTCAACCAATTGGGTGGATTATAATAGATTTTGTTTGCAAAAATTAAATTTACAACCGCACAAGGGAAATTCAGTTCTCGACACGCTCATCTCTTAAAACGAAAACAAAATAAATATATTTTAGCCATTTGTTTACTAATTTGAATAAAAATATTGTTGTTTTTATTTAAAGTTTTCACCATGTGCAACTCAGTTGCAAGAAATTGTTTCAAGCTTAAATTAATTTGTTATTAAAAATATTGGAGTCTTCAAGTCAGGTTAGGAAATAATACATTCCGTATGAGTCATCTAACATTTGAAATTTAAAATAATTTAAAATAAACAACTTCCCAATATTGGGTGGATTTTTTTTTGTAACGGACCAAAAAAGGTTTTAGCAATATGCATTAAACTCCTTTCTGATTCATAATACTAAATGCTTAAGACTTCGATTCTATAATTCAGAAAAAAACAAAGCAAAATCTGTTCCAATTTTCGAAATCTAAAATTGTTTACGCTATTTATGATCAAATATAGGAATTCCTAGTATCCATATTAGTCTTACTCGGTACATTGCATTTCCATTCTATTTAAGATTTATTTCTCTCACTCAACCAACTTTTGATAACAAGTATCATAACAAAAATTTAACTGTTAGTAAGCTTTTTTATACACGATTTCTAGCGTAGATAAAACAATCACGACCATATCAGTGAAATTTCTCACTCTAAAAATCAACAACCAAAACTAATATTAAAAAATTATTCAATTTTGTTGATTGAAACCCATATTTAAAATATTTTTACCGGTGTCGACACACTTTAAAATAAATCGCTGATATTATTGCAGGGGAATGCGTAAAATTGGAATTTAACTTAGCTGGGTGAGACTGAATTTGTGTTTACACTATTTTCGATGAAATATATGAATTCCTAGTATCCATATTAGGCATACTGTTGCATTTTTATTCTATTAACAATAAAAGTTGAATTTCTAGTATCTTTTTTAAAAACGATTTCGAGCGTAGATAAATCACCATAATATTTCACTCTAAAAATCAGTAACCAGAACGAATAATTTAAAACGTTTCATTGTAATTGATTAAAAATCTTATATACAATATTTTTGCCGGTGTCGACACATTTTAAATAAATCGCTGATATTATTGCAGGGGAATGCGTGAAATTGGAATTAAACTTACTTTGTTAGCTGGGCGAGACTGAATTTGCGCTCCGCATCGGATTTTCGCAGGAAGTGGCCGAATCCGCGGAATGAAAGTCGCGAGCTCCGGCGATTCTCGCCGCTTTCTCCCGGAGCCTTGGGCTGCAGGTGATTCTCGTTGTTGGACGGAGGATCTTGCTGATCGGCGGCAGCTGGTCCGCCCTCCCCATCGTAACCGGCATTTGCGGTGCCGTTCACCTTTGAGATCTGAAAGCGATCGGCCATTCTGTCGTTCGTGGGGACTCCCTGCACTTGAGTGTTGCTAACTGGACACGGTTTGTTATCGATTGCACGAGCACCTTGCGGAAAAGTTAACGAACTGAGCACATTTGCATTTTACACACACGGTACAGGATGATGGGGCGCACCCAACTGAAAGTGGGAGTGGGAGTGGGTTGGCTTGGGATGATATCACAAGGACCGAATCGCGAACCGAAAGGACGCGATGTTCTATGTCCGAATGCGCTTAGTCCTCAACGCCGATTGACCGAATGTTTCGAACGCATCGACCACTTTGGGTTTGTTTTGGGAGTCGGTTTCCGTTTCGACTTTGTTTATATACTGTTATGAGCACTCTGCTTAAATATATATATCCGTTGCGGCAATTACAACTTAACGCGCCGACTGTCGCACGGCGTTTGAGCGTTGTCAAGTGTTTACCGCTTGATTATTATGGCTTTTTGCGCCAGTCAGCTGCTCTGCTGCTCTGCTGCTCCGCTGCTTCCGCTGTGGCTTCGGATCTGGCAGCGGTTGGCCTTAGTACCAACTCACGCACACTGGTGTGCTGTGGTGGGTTTTTCAACAAGTGTTTGTGGCCGAATTCAACACGAACGGGCTCGGGCTCTCTTGGCGGAGCGCTGGGGAAAATATGTGCCCATATGGGCAAGAACGATTGAGCAGGAGGTCCAGACTACGGGATACCCGCACCGCGGAGCGTCTAATGCGCGTATACGTAATATAAGAACGATGAGTGCATATTGCGTATACGTAGAGAGAAGGGTACAAAAGTACTCAGAAAGAAAACATTCTATATTTTCTTCATACATTCAGAACTGTTGTTTGAATTTTACATTATTTTTATTAGCCTAAATAAATTCTTAGCATGTGTAAGGTAGCGGTGGGATGTAGTAGCGTACAAGGTCGAAATGATCTTAAACCTAGAACTAGAAACTAAAACTTTTTAAAACAGGTGTAATATTGAGAAGTCATAATTACGAACAAGGCTGTGAGCCTTTCCGGAGCTAGCCCATTCCAAACTTTTTTTTTAATAAAATCCGAAGCGAAACATTTTATTTGCAGCGAAGCCGAACTGAAACCAATGTTTTGTAAGATGGTGTTTTGTTCAAGAATATATTTTAACAATTGTGAGGTCTTTATGTTAATCAATTGTTATTTTTGCATAGTACAATTTTTTTTGCTTAATAGAAACGTTATCGCCTAACACAGTTTTGTAATAAAAAATCTGGTTAGTGTTTAATATAGAGAAAAACTCGAATGCATTTCCATATTTGGATCCTTAGATTTTCGATTGACTAAATATTATTGTGTAAAAAGAACATCAATTTTGCTTTATCTGGTAGATTTTTACAATTCGAGAATTTTATAAATGACAATGATGAATGTTTATATTAAAAGACAAATATTAAAGCAATATAAAATTTACGACGTGATTAAACTTCAAATGGTATAGTATAAATTATAGACAAAATAAAGCTTCCCTCACAATACATAAATCAATGCACTTAAAAACTAAACTAAAACTAAATAAAAACAGACTGACTATTATTACCCGGTTTGTAGGTCAGAACTGTAACGTAAATAATGTCTGAGCACACAACCCTATTAACCATAGTAGTTGTTATTTTATAACCTTTATGTAAAAAGTATAATTAGACGTTTTACTAAAAAATGTATATTCATTTACTGCTTCAACAATTTTATGCTATCTAGTTAAATTTTTATTTTAAAAGTCGTCCCCAATCTTAACTTTTTGCTTTGGGATTACTTATTTGCTATCGAAGACAAAGAAGGATCTAACTTATGTAAATACATTTCGCAAAATAAACCAGAGAATTTTGTTGTATATTTAAGTTTGTAATTATATCGGATCAGTGGCCGTAATTACTAAATCATTGCGAAGGCTGACTTGTTTGCATATAAAAATTCGTCTTAACCTGTTTTAACTGTATATTCTGGATGGGTATCAACAAAAATGATGTTGCCCTATACTTATGTTTTTGCTGCCGCCGACTCAAAAAATATTAGCTAACTCTCTCACCCATAAATTTTTTCTGTTGACAGAATTATGATGTTTATTTAGACACTGGTAATAAGTAACTACTCCGTACACAACTTTTATGCAAATATAAGCTTTGATTTAAATTTTAACTTCAAAACTCTTATCTGTTTAATAAAAGTAGTCTAATTTAATTGTTGTATGTTTCCCAAATCTAAAACCAAGGTTTTAATATTAATAAAATATTTGAAATTATAATTTAAATTTTTATTTTATTCAATATCAGTTATACCTAAAAATTTTATTGCTTATCTATTCATATTATGTTTTATTTTTAATATTGCGTTCAGCGGCTTGATGAATAAAACATGAAGCACTTATTCGGGTCACTGCTGAAAACAAACAAAAGGATCTTCGACTGGTCGGCTTAGCTGGAGTTTTGCCACTTGATAAAACACCACCTTGTCGCGTTGAAACAAGAGTTTAGCACCTTAACACGTTCTTTGTGGGACCGATTCGCTTGCGATTGCGGTTATTAGCTTGTTTCGTTTGTTTACTCAATTCATAACAATTCTCCGACTCTCCACGCTCATTCACAATCATTCGCACACTAAAACTTAGACACACTCGTAACATCTTTACTATCGGCCAAGTCGAGTCAGTTCCAGCCAAGACGCGAACAGTAACAACAATCGGGCAAGAGCACGCGAATAAACCCCCTAAATCGAATTAAATTCGGTTTTATCTGGTTTGATTGGCCGGCTGACTAACTGGCTGGATGGATGGTTGGTTGGCTGGTTGGTTGGTTGGCTGGATTGTTGGATGGCTGGTCTGGCTGCTTTTAGCTCTGCGTCACAGAGGCGCTTTTAATGAAGAGCGGAACGCAACGAGAAGAGTTATTTTTATTAAACCACATGAGGGTTCCCCGCTCGGAACCATCCTCCGCAACCCAAGGAACTGGAGAGTTAACCGGATGATATTCTCTCTCCAGCAGCTGCTACTCCCCAGAGTTGGTTCTTTCTAGGGCCCATCCCGTTCTTATCGGTTTTATGGGGATACGCATATTTTTTTTAAACTCTGTAAATTCTTAACTGGCTTCCTTTTTTTGTGTGAGACATTTGATTCCTTGTCTGAGTGTTAACTTTTTAAAAGGGATCCTTTAGTATTGTCAACCAATTAATTTCCACATATGTTTTGTTTCATTAAAAAATAGATATTATACACGTTGTATTCGTAATATTCTCGAATATTTGTATACTAAAAAAAAACGTATTAAATCCAAATTATTTGTAATCAATTTAAATATGTTCCATTGATTTTCATCTTTTGCGGTTTTTAGTTATTTTTAGTACGAAAATATTAAAAATGTTTGTTATTTTTCATTTGACTATTTTTGGATTTGTTTTAATTTAATTAAAACCAAATTTAACTCAAATAAAATGAATTTAAATTAAATAAAAACTATTTTATTCCTAATATTTTTTAAATTAATTTAAATGTTTAATATTAAATCCTGTTATTGAATATGCAATGTATTTAATATTATGATTTATAAAATTTTAACTCAATAGTCACATATTTTTTTTGCTTTTCCATTTTTTATCAGTGTACATACTGTGTTCTATCCAGGTACATATTTCTAGATTACCGTCAGTATACATTTTACAGCTGGCATAAGATCTTATAAAGATAAATTATAATAATAATTTTCTGACTCATGGTTGTTTGTAGAACAATAAAATCCCAAAAATTTTACAAATTTGAGTTTAATTAATCATTAGTTTACATTTGCACCTTAATCGATGTAAACCTTCCATACATTTTCGTTAATGAGTAGAATATTAATTAGATATAACCATGCAATTTGTTAAACCACTATTGGTGCATAAAGTTAAAATAAACAATAGCTAAGCACTAGTAAATTACTTGATTACCCTTTATAACTGCCTTTGATATCACTTTTATATTTTGCTAATATTACGCAAGTGATTAACGATTTCCTAATTATCAAATATTTTTATTACTTGGCAAGCCATCAGTGCCACAATGCTGTATATATTTTTCAGCGAAACTGATTTTTATTCGTTTACGATACATTTCTCACACGTCTTCCAATTCCGTTTGCTCGTTTATTAAAGTTTATTATTCGGATCTTCAGCACTTTGCGATCGAGAATTTGTTTACTGTTTTCAATGATATAAATTTAATTTCCTTTTATTCATTGCAGTATTTGAAGTAGATCTGCCGAAAATCGATTGTATACAATGATACCAAAAAGGAAAATAATAAATGTAAATCACCAAAGCTATCATACGGTCAATCCTCATATGCCTTGTGTTCCGTGGGTGTGTGATAAATCGTCAAAGTCATAGTTTATTTCTAAAGTCATATTTACAAGATGTTTATCTAACAATTTTCCTATCTCGATCTTGTAAACTTTAATTTCTTTCTAGGGGATCTTTCTAAAATTAGTTTTGTTGTTTGGGAAAAACTTATTAGCTTGTTTATATTTACGTATATAAAACTGTAATTGGCGGTTAATGTTGTGTCTTTTATTTCGTTTATTTTTATAGTACCTACAATCAAACAGGCCAATTAAACTTAAATTGCCCTCAAATTGTTTTCGACACTTGGTAAATTTGAATAAAGTTGACTGTTATTCCTTGTATACCCTGTGGGTAATTCAAAGTTGTGGGAAACTTCATAAGTAGAATTATTATTTGTGTGTTTTTGGTATATTTATTAATATTTTTCAGTTGTGAGACATTTATTGTCAAAATAGACAGTTTGAGTGGAAGTTGTCATGGGTGACATCTACTCCTAACCAGTTAGAAGCAGCTTTGGTTAACCACCAACTGCACTTATTAACACCTCTCCAGGCCGCTTGTATTAAGACTACGGACGAATTCTATCTAATTGATCGAATCAACATCGTGAAGCACAGATAAATGTATTGTTTTATGGCTAAAATTAAATATTTAAGACTTGACAGCAATGTTGTATAACAAATTGTTATTAACAATACAGCGCTGCTAATTAATTCCCTCCAAATAGGAGCCATATATTACCGATTACATCAAGAGACGATAACGACTCCCCAATGACAATGTAACTAGTCTTGGCTTCGAAATAGCTGAAAGACAAATTGACCATGCGCTATCGCGTCGCAGGCCAGTGACATTATTTGACACTCGATTATTAATTGAATTAACTGCCTTTTACCACTTTAGAAAGGTTTCAAATCGACAATAATCTAGATTTGATCGCTTGTTTCTGGGTTTTCAGATACCTGTCCTTGGCGTCAATTGTTTTTGATCGCCTTATAGTGTTTTCCTGGTGCCGATAAGGCCACTAGTATCTGGCTTTGTGTTAAGTGTTTAGATCAATATTTATCCGTTTACGTAATGGTGGTATGATCTCTAAATTACGAAGAGCAAAGATTAAATACCAATTTAAAACTCAATCCAACATATGTAAAATCCTGAAATTATTCACATACAAATAATATGGCAAAATAGTGAGTTCTCTACTCATAATTTCCCAGAGCATATAAAAGACTCCTTAAAATTTAAATAACTAGCAGAATTAGGACTTACCCATCGGCGTTACCAACCAAATTGATCTGTAGCTATCTGGTCTGTACTTTCGCCTTCCCAACAGATTTACTCTTTAAAAAAAGTAGTTGTTTTAGACATGTCTTACTGTTTCTTTGGTATAAATTGATTAGTTTGAGAATCATCGGCATTAAATCGACTTTTTTTATATACCAAACAAATATGTTGGTAGCTTAGTTCCGTTCTATTTGTACCGAAAGTTAAAGAACTTAATTTTCAAATGAAAACTTTAGTCGAGTACCCTACCATAAATATTACCGTAATTTATAAGACTATTTGCCTATTTCTTTGGGGTGTGGTAAATCGAATATTTAATAAAGTAACCCAATGTAACTCACAAAACAAAATCATATGGCGCAGATTAGTTAAGTATAAATACTCCCAATAATTTGGGTTTATCTGTTCCGATTTAGTCAACTGAACTTTAAAGCTAAAATCTTGAACTACGTTACATAATTTCTTTCGTCTAGATCCCAAGCTGAAAATTACGCATTAGTTATTGCTGATATCTTCGCAGGTTATCTAATTAGTCAAAGGTAAACCCAACAAATTAATTTAAAACAAAACGGGTAATTTTCGGCTGTTAACGACAACAGAGACGACATACCCGACAAATCCCCCTTTTTCCACAGCCTTAAAAATTGATATATAAACGAATTAATAGTAAATTGGTAAGATTATTATCTTGGTTATCATTGGTTATTAGCAATCAAATAATCTTGGGTGAAATAACTGAAATAAGTCTTTGATGAGCAAAATCAGTTGACGAGGAGGATGAAACAGAAGAAAACGTATTGATCACATTGAAAGCTTGACATAAAACCGTTTGCGTGTCTTAATTAGGGAGTCCAAGCCACCAGCAAGTCTCTATTTGGTGTTTTACTAATTACATTTTTGTTTGTGCCAATTATACGAAATGTAAAAATAAATATATTTCCGTGGAGATATGAACAATCTTGGGAATAATATTATTTGGGTTGCATATCGATCGTGATCTCACATCCAAATAAACAAAGCTGAGAACGATTTGTTGACTTGTGGTTCTTGCAGCCCCACTTGGACGAGCGTATACAAATTGCAGTCATGCTTCCGATCGGGGCTCTTCATTCGAATTCCAATCGCCGGAGCGTTGTCATCATCGCCACCAGCTCTGTCATGCCCAAGGCGGTAATAAGAGTAATAAGCGGCGGTATCGAACCGCTTCGTGGCAGTAACAACTTGTTCAGCGCCAGCTAGTCTCATTGAATCGGGCAGGGGCTGTCTGTCTGGAGGTCCGATTCAGAATCGGCCCGATCGGCGCAAGTTTTTGCTGTCGGGGTGCTACGACAAGTGCTACAATTGATGCTAAGCACTCAGACACACAAACCCTTTTGGACGGCAAATCATTTGCAATCAAATGCTTAATTGTTATAATTATACGAATTTAATAATTTCAAACAGCACTGCGCTGGGCGACAGTTTGGCACGCCCAGATTTGAAGGGTGGGGCAATATCCATTCATCACCCCTTAAGACAGCGATAATATCTGGATACTTTCTCAAGAACCTGTCCTGAATTGGCTTTGGTTTTTAATTACAACAGGTAAATTTTACATTTTTGAATGGGGGTCATCCTCATAACGGAACTCGACGAGATTGCCAAATTATTTAAGCTGTCGTTTTAAGCGGCAATATTAAATTTATAATAATGTTGGTCACTGGTCTGAGTTCCAGGCACTTAAACACGCAATTATGTACTATATCGATGAGCTTTTAAAGTAACTATAGTCAAGGTTAAATTAATAGCAAACAGGGAGACTCTTAGACTCAGACAATAGGTATACAGATTAAATACATTTAATGAACACCAAATTGAAATATCTCTAAAGAACTTAGTTATCAGTTATAAGAAGGGGAAAGGAGATTCCACTAGACTGTATAAATATGCATTTTGTGCATACAAAAAAAATTGTCCAAAGTGCCAGAAAGCCGAATCGAACCAGTAAGAAGAGGTTTGGCTTGGAACTGGTTTGTTTACAACATTAGTATTGCCAATAGGTTTATTAATTTATACTATCTTTTGTTATTTTGCTATCAATGTGCAAGTATATGTAAACATGGTAAATCGCAGGAACTCTGATATATAAGTTGTTCTTAACTGTTAATTTATATAAGATATCTCATAGAACGGTAATTAAATAAATTTGCAGGTAATAATTATTCTAATTTTTTCCAACATAAAATTACTAATTCAGAAGTTTATTATGTCATGTCGATGTTGTCTTATCAACCCATAAAGCCTTTCATTTATCGGGCATGCCTAGTAATACTAAAGAACAAAAAAATACGTCGTTAGCTCATATTTCCAATTTAATAACTCTTCAAATCCCAATTAATCAATCAATATCCAAACGGCTTTCGTTTTAACTTTGAATTGGTTTTAAATATTTATTTTAGTTGCATAAACGGTTTACACACTCAAAACATTTAAAAATTCAAATTCCACTACTACATATTGTTTGTTTTTGAATTTCGTTTTGTATGCTTCACATTTATGCTGTTAACTTTCACACTGAATCTTATCAATATAATGTGTATACATATTTGTATATATATACTTTATTTGTTTAAAAATTTCGTTTAAGCTTCTTTGAGTTAAATATAATTTTTGTTTAATTAATTGCTTTTCATGGGCTTGCCCTTTCTTGGATGTCCGGGTCCACTATTGCAATTCATCTAATATATCTTCTTCAAGCTTTCTATTCGAGACAAAATATAAGTTGTATAAGTTGTACAGGCAATCGGAGCTTTCAGTTGAGGCAAACTTATGGCCAGATCAAAAATCGGGTTTGAGATTAGTTTAGATGAGAATAGTTTAGTATACAGTTAGTAACAATGGGTGGGTTAGGTGGTGAATTGTGTGATGTCGCTGTTTTTAAATGTTTCTTGTCAGCAATTAGTCGTTTAGTCCTGTGTTCATGTTCTATTAAATAGCAGTGAAAAGCTTAAGCGGCGATAAAGTTGTTAAGAGGAACAGTAAGCACATTGAAAGCGTTAAATAAAAGTGAAACTACTTCCAACACCTATCATATCATTCAATTCATCGAAAACAACAAAAACTTAATAGACTATCCAATAATTTCGCAAACACACCTAGACTCTTGATATAACAGATTATTGCGCGGTCCAGGACCATTGATAAATTTCAACAAAATCGAAGTAAATGATATAGATACTCTTCTCGGTCCTGGCCACTCCGTTCAGTGATAACAAACAATTTTGCTGCCCCTTTCGTGGCGCTACAATCAATTTCTCCCTGACTGGCAAATCGCAATGTGTGTTGAGCAATGACAATACTTTTTTTTTTCTATGTTCTAACTGCTTTGGCAAAATGTTAACTTAGACGACCAGGTGCGACACATCGCTGGTGTAGCCGGGCGAGTAGCGCGGTGGCAGGGCAGTTTGCTGGGGCCGTGTCTTGCCCAGCATGGGCATGGGCATTCCCGGCTGGTTGGTGGCCGTGGCCGTGGTCATGGCCATCACCTTCGGACTCTGGCCAGGCTTGCCCAGTTCGTAGGGCCGCCGGATGCGCAGCACATCGGCGGCATCTCCTGGCCAGGCTCGTTCCGGTCCCAGTCGCTGGCCCAGGCGAGGATACCGGCGCTTGTCCACTGCCAGACTGATGGTGCCCGGGGCGTGCGTCGCGTTCAGGCCCACGTTGTACTGGCGCTGCATCGCCAGGGAGGCACGGATCGTCTTCCGTTTCTGTGGGAAAAGTGGGAAGGTTAAGTTTACGTAAAAGCTTCATCACTAATTTTGACGAGTGGAAAAGGTATCGTAAAAGCCTATGTCAAGTGCCATAGCTTCGTCGAGCAAATGATGGAAACGAAAGTAAATAAATCTACATGGGCTTAAAAAATATTGTTTTTTTTTTTAAACATTTTTTAATTTATCGCTGTTTTGTTCATTTGTTTATTGTTTTTTTTTTTAAACCGGTGAACACTCTAACTCGCATTTGTAATTTGTACAAATATTTACAAATAAGTTCAATAAATCCGTTTGATATCCATCGGATAGTTGCATTTTTGTTTGGGTCTTACAAAAAAAGATTCTAAATTGCTAGCCAAACATGTGTTCTAAAGTGATTTACCAAAAAATCTTTATCTAGTTAGTTAGATTTACTCAATCTTATTGTCTTGACTAAATAATTTTATTTCAAAAAATGTTTGCTCTTATTATACTCAAACAATTAACAAATAAGAACGTAAAATTATGTTTAGCCTATTCTAAAGAATTCGCGAATGCTTCTTTTGTATTGACTTTAAAAATGTTTTTAAGAGCAGGATGGCCTTAGCTTTAATACAAGTATAATTAAAAATTTTGTTGTAGCGTTAAATTAAAATTATTGATTGCAAATTAAGTTTTCCTATGTGATTAGCGAATTAAATTATAATTATTATTATTAATCCTAAGGTTTTACGATGCTTTTGGTTTTCGCACCAGCCCCAGATCTCACCTCTATGGTGCCTCGCCACTTGTCCGCCGCATGTCGGGCAATGTCCAGGCGCTTCTGCTTCTTCACCTGGTGCTTCTTGTAGATGACCTCGATTATGATCAGACCCACGCCGCCGGCAATGCCCACGCCCACCAGTATGAACACCCCCGCCATATTTTTCAGCCCCAAAGTGTTGGGCGTCTTCTCGAAGAGTTCGCAGTTCTGCTGAACATGGCCGTGGAATATCCACTGTTTGTCCAGTTTCTCCATAAACCCGCCTGGAAGAAGATAGGATATTAGTGTTGAACTGAGAACTGACCCATAATTCTTACTTTCATGGAACTCCAGGATGGCCAGTGTGACGGCATCCGTCCAAGGCGAGCCCTTTTGCAGGCCAATCCCGTATCCACTCCGTCCGAACAGCTCTCCGGCTGTGACCAGTTCGCAATCTTTGGAGGCCTCGTACTCCAGGCGAGATGAGTCCCAGATAAAGGCCATCAGCTTGCTGCGAACATAATCGCAGATCAAAGGGATAACTTGTTAAAGTTATGCTTAAGCAGTTCGATTTAGGATAGGGGTACAAAAAGTGGGAAGAACGTTCAAGTAACAAGAAAAATTGGCTAGCTTCGATGGACCGAAGCTTCCCTTACCCTTGCAGATTCTTCGGGGAGACCGGAATGCTAAGTTAGCTATTAATAATTTTGTACCTGATTTACTAATACTTAAATAATAAAATTCCCCTAGCAAAACCTTTAATATATTTCTTGAAGGACTTTTGCCCGATTTCTCAGATTAAGTTCATTATAAAGTTAAATTATTGGAAAACATAAATTCGCTTTCGAAATGCAGAATTCAAGACCTTTTGCCGACCGACTTTAACTTTACTTTAACTTCGCCAAGCTAAGATTTGAATTAAATAAACTCTAATATGATACAATGAAACTAAGGGTTTCGAAATAGCAATTAAGTTCAATGTCAAAACGTAAAATGACATTGAGAAATCGGCCCCAATACTGATTTTCATATTGAATATTAAGGTGATGTACGGTATACCATCAGACTGACTAAATGTGGAACATAATAGCCAATTATTTTTTAGACCTATAATAACGTACATTTTACACACATCGAAGATGCTCTGCAAGGATTAATGACATAAAGGGTAAAATATGGGAAAACAAGATGGCATAGGGGGGCGGATAATACGGGGGCAAGACCAACACGAACACGAACACGATACCGCTAACGATTACAAAACATATCTAATAGATCGAAACAGAGGAAGAGCAAGAGAGCAAGAGATAGAGAGACAGAGAAAGAGAGATACAGTGGCGTTAGGTGGACTGAATTGGAGTTTGCGTATTGGAGAGTGAGTTGTAATAGTAATAGTAGTAATAGTAGTAGTATAGTTGTTGTCTGGATCTGGATCTGGATCTGGATCTGAACGGTAGTGGTGCCATGACATGCGAGGCTAGAGGCTCAGCTACGACAAAATGGTCGCCAGGCCTGAAGCAATCGTTACCCCTTCTTCACGTCCTGGATGGCCTGCTCGGCGGTGGCATAGTTGTTGGCCTCCATGGTGCGGTACATGTTGGACAGCTCCACCTGGCGGCGGAAGTACATGTCCACGGAGGAGCCCTTGACGGTGGCGCAGGTCAGGTTCTCCATGGTGTTGCGCAGCCGGGCGTCGTTGATGCCGCTCAGCTTCGTCTTGGGCCGCTCCAGCACAAGGAAGGCGGCCAGATTGGCGGTGTACGAGGCGACAATGATCATCGCGAATCCGGCCCAGACCATGCCCAGCACCCGGGCCGAGAAGCTGCGCGGTGTACCCTCGCCGATGCCGCTGTTGAGGAGCACTCCCCAGGCGAACCACACCGCGGAGCTGAGATTCAGGGCCTTCTCCTCGTTGCTGTCCGAGTGCGAGAGCTTGAAGCGTCCAAAGGGTGAGAATCTGAGTTCGGAAATCGGAAATGGGAATCAAGTGGTTAATAGCGTCCGGAACCGTGGGCCACTCCAGGCGGGGATTAGCGTGGGGGGGTGCCATTCAACCGTCCAATGCAGCGACCCATCTTCCTTGCTTCCCCTGTGCTTGGATGGTTGGGTTTGGTTTTGAGGTGGTCTGTGAAGGTCAATGGAGGTCTGTGGAGGGGGCAGGGAAGACTCACCTGTCCAACAAGTAGAGCACGAGCGCCACAACATGGACCGACACCATTACCAAGATCCATAGCGTGTTACTAAACGGCTGCAAGAAAGACACGAGAGTACTCGATCGTGACGGTTTCTTCTCGAGTATTGTAATGCCTTGGTATTTGAATGGCTTTGAGAATTCTATGTACTCCGCACGCTCCGGATTGATGGTTAGTGGTGCCACGATCATGCTAAATGTGAGTGTGAGTCCGGTTATTATTTGGTTGTAGTGGATGTAGCTGGCGGTGACCGCATCGCTTACTCGGCACGTTCGTTGACCAGCTCTCCGATGAGTCCCGTCCACTCCTTGCGCAGCGTCATCGCCCCCGAGCTGTTCCGCAGGATGTAGTGACCGAACTGGCCGTCGGGGGACAGGGCCAGGTCATAGGTGAAGTTGATCCGCTTCGAGAGCTCGATCAGCAGGTCGATGCAGTAGCCGCGGCAGCAGAACTCGTTGGCTGTTGGAGGAGCACCGTTGTGGATGATTATGTATTAATACTCGGAAGTTAACTTAAGCAAGGGGTAATAAATTCTTTAAACATAATTTGATCAGCATTACTTGCTAAGTCCATGTAACCATATTGATCTGTCTAATTTTCTGTATGTAGCCATCTAGTCGAGCATTTTACTATAGTGTTCTTAAAACTGCAGGTAGCTGCAGTTGAAATATTATCACCGATAAGCTTACTTGCAATCTTTATGCTATTATTCTTGTGCTTCCAGTTAATTAAACTTGTTTTAATTTTATTTATGTTGTTGATATTGGAGCTAATGAAATCCTACAGATTAAACCTATACTTTGAACATTTGAATTTTAGAAAATTCATATTATAATTAAACTCTATTTAAAGTCGCTCAAACTAATAGAACAAGTTGCAGAAAAAGTATGCTTTTTCATAGTTTGTTTTTTGTCAAAAAATAATGTTATTATACTATTATTGGCTAATCATTTGTATGGCAACATGACGATTATTACTAAACAAAACTCATTCATTAAATTTGAGTTGTTCAAATTGTTCTCATAAATTAATTAAATAAAGTAATCTTAGACGAGGGTCCTAGTCGCTAATGCTCATAGTTTAAGTTAGCTCTTAGTTTTAACTACAAGTTAGTTTTAAATAAATAAATATATAAACAATTCAACCAATGGACTGACTATGTTATGTTCAATGGAACTATGGGTATATCTCGGCTTGAATTGGTATTTAACATGCATTTGAGAATCTGCCCTGCCAAACAATTCTATTTTACAATTCTTTGTCTATTAAACGTTTAGCTACCTTTTATCGGGTTAGTCCAGATAGAGATCGATAAAATTTGATTTATTTTTATTTAATTTGTAGATACAGAAAACTTATAGATCATCTCGAAGAATCCGAGGATTGCAATAATGCTTGTTATGTTATAATTAATTGCAATTAAAAAATGTTATAATCATAATAAAATAAAATAACTAAAAAAAAAAATTTTAAAATCTTATTTTCAGTGTAGGAGAATGGATTACCCACCAGTGGCATCCGAGTTGTTGAACAGGGGACACGGACGCTCGTCCGGTTCGCAGCGGAACTCGTCGTCGCCCATGCGACGCACATAAACGAAGGGCTTCTCCTCGATGGTCAGCAACTTCAGGTGGGTGGGAATCATGATGCCCTCCGGCTTGCGACGCTGTTTTCCTGGCCAAATGATCTCGCTGTCATTGATCTTCATCCGCATCTTGGCCCGCATCTGAAAACCGTATACATATAGTCGTGGTGTGAAATAAATAGTACAAAACAAGCTGCCATTTTCTAAATTTTGGTTTTAATTGATTAATTGGTCAGAAATCTAATAAGTTTTTGGTTGGCAGGAGATAAGGTTTAACCTACGCTGTCGTAACTGAACTTTCCGACTACGTGCTTCTTCTGCTGCTCTCGAATGTTGACTACATCATAGCCGGCGTAGATTCGATCCCCATTGTCATCGAAGGCCACCTGTCCCGTTTCGCCCGTGATATTGCGGCTTTTCAGGTACTGGAACAGCCGCTTGCCTGCCAGATGTTAAGTAAAAATAATTTTAAAAAATGTAGACAAGCCATTTAAATTTAAAAAACATTTTATTTTTATTAAGGGGGTATTCTGGTTAAGAAGAACGAATTTAAAGAATTTTTCAATAAGATAAAAAAGATATAATAATAATTTTTAAGATACAATTTTGTATATGGTTATTATTGACATTTTAGGAATCCAAAAAAAAAACCCAATATTCGCCGAGATACAGACTTGTAGAGTGTGGGGACTTCAAAAAAATATCTGCGTTCTGGTTGTCATTATTTCCGACCTTGTAGAGATCGGAAAGAAATCTAACTAATTCTTTATTAGTAAAGAGGCCGATAACGGGTTGACCACTTAAAAAAAAAAATAAAAACAAACGGCGCCAACTTGAAAAAAAATAATAAAAAATAATTGGTTCAGTAAAACTTGAAACATCATGTCAACCACCTCAAAAAAAAATACTTTGGAGAAAAACGCTTTTATAGTTTAGGAAACCCGTTTTAATGGCTCGGACGCCACGTCACAAAATTGGCTGTGTCTCCGAAAATAATTCGAATTTTGAAAAATCATATCATATCATAGTCTAAGCTTCCAAAATATTCAAAACAAATAATCGATTTATTTCAAATTTCTAGACCAGAATACCAGATAATAACAGTATCGGTTGTAAGGCCGCTTTCTCTAGATACAATTTTTTTTAAAAAAAGCTCGATTGCACAAGAGTAAAACTATCACAACACATCTTTCAGGTAACTTTAAAATCAGTCTTTATTGAGGGATTTATGGATCCCGCTTAATCTGGCATAAGTATTTTATCGGTATTTTTGAAGTTTTTCCCTAATAGTTAATGACGCGGGATATACGCACCCGATTCCCAGTTAACGGCTGAGTCGCCGCAATCCTTCGGTGCCTCGGCAATGGTCTCGTTGGAAATCATCTCCTTGATGGCCGACGCCAGCACATAGACGCTGTCCTGTTGGGGGAACCAAAGACCAAAAACCACCTCATGCATATTTCAGATTGCTGGCGGAGAAGTCGCTCTTACCCTAATGTGCCCCTTGTCGCTGTGGGCGTGCTCCAGCTGGAGGCCCAGCACTCCGTCCGGCGTGTTGTTGGCGAACAGCGCCTGCTCCGTCACAATCCACACGTGTCCCTCTCCGGTCATGTTGTACTCCCCGGCATCGCGGAAGATTACTTGGGCGTCCTCCGTGCTGAGGGAGGACAGGAAAAGTATAAATAACCAGTACGCTTATGATAATGCAGGAATTCTTAATGTCTCGTGTCTACTGCGGTTTAGAATTTAAAATATTTGAATCACACATGTGGAACGGAATGTTAGAAAGGGCTCAATGATTTATATTTTGTAGAGCCATTTACGATTGCTTATATATATTAAAAGCAATCCTTACCAATTCAATTTAAGCGCTGGGATATCTCATTTTATATAAGATGTTAATATAAACGTTGAGCGAAGATAATTTAATTTTAAATGTTAAAGCCTTTGCTAAACCAGTAAATGAGGACACACAAAGAAATCTCTTAATAATAGTAATAATCGACAACGAACATGGTTGTCTCAATTTTATCAACAAAACGAGCAGTTGCTGAGTAACAGCCACGCCCATGTTGGAATTCAATCTCAGTAATCTTGCGTACATCGCTCTTTTATTGAAATTAATTTAGAGACTACAACATAAAATCACTTTATTGAGAATTGACAACAATTGACTGACACGCTTTAGCATTCACAATTTATCGTCACTCAGAGGAAAACAATTTGAATATGCATTTTAAAGCTGCAATTGCCATCTGGCAAACTACAAGTATATAAATGCCTTGTACAAATTGCAGATAAAAAGTGCTTATCCTAGCAATTAGATTTATATGTATGGAAGAAAGGAAAGGAAATCTTATCTGAGATTAAATAAACTAGATACGCTTTAAAGGTAAACAAATTTAAAGTTGAATATTTAGCTGACAACAACCGATGGATAAAATCCATCACTAAACCCAAAAAAACAAAAACGTTTCCTGACCCAATTGAGAAGACATTACTTACGCAAATTGGGGGGCACTCACCTGGCGTACATCAGGTAGACCCGCGACTGGGCTGTCTTCATGTCGATGAGGTGCTCGGTGAAGCTCTCCAGCTTGGGCTCGAACTCGACAATCAGCTCCACGGTGGCGCGCACATCCACGTCGTCGTAGTAGGTCTGCGAAGTGGTCTGGAATCGACCCAGGATGGCCCGGCCATCCGTGTCGGAGCTATGAATGATGATTACCTGTCGCCAGCGGAGCAAATAACGGAACAACTCGATAAGTCAATAAGTCAAATTCGGGTGCATCACATTGGGAGTTGGGGATTTGGGAATATGGGTATTTGGGGAGTACTGGGAGTTGGGTGGGTGTATATCAAACCATCGTACCTTCGTGTAGGCAAAGTGGCTGAGCATCTCCAGCCAGACATCCGCTTGGTGGTAGTACGGCGGCACCGTTCGCAGGAAGGAGACGTGGATGTTCTTGTCGGAGAAGGCCGCGTCCCGCGAGGATATGCCAATGACAGGAATTGAATAGAATCCGCTCGTATAACTCACGGCCGCCGGCGACAAGTCACCTGAGGTTTGCTCATGCGAAACGACTACGGCGTACACCTGCGGAGGGTAAATTGTGCCGGGAAACAAGCCAAATCAGTGGAAATGAGCAATGCCACGGCTGATGCCAAAGGAGAGGAGTTCAGCTGATGGGTGGAAGGTGTAAATGGCGCTGGCAGGTCGTTCAATTGGCTAAGCAAAAAGGAACGTTCGTCACTAGCATATATGATCAAGAAGCCAGTAACAAATTGCTGATTACCATAATCATGTTCAATATTCTATACTACCTGTTCTCCATAAATGTTTTGAAAATATAAGATTAATAAATATAATAGGATATAAGATATAATAGAGAATGCTTAAACATATTTTCCATGTAAGGTATGTTTTTCTTGATTGTACGTGATTTAAAAAACATTTCGTTACTATTTAATATGTATCCATATCCATAAATGGAAAAAGGTAACGCTTGAAACGATACATTGCCAGAGCTGACAGTTTTGAAACGCACTGTACAGACACGGGCATTCAATAGAGTCAATGACAGTTGATTTGCTTCCTTTGGGTAATGAAAGGTTCCAAATGGACGCGCATTTTGGGACCTGAGATGATAAATTCGCAGCAACATTAATGATGACAAATGCCGCCCCAAAACAGGCATCGAATTGATTGGGACCTGGTCTAGTGGGTGTGAACTTCTGCTCCTGGCAGCCACCCACAGCAGCTCATGATAAATGTGATATGATGCACGAAACGTGATTGATGGAATCCAATGATAATCCAAATGGTCGCCTCAGAAAATTTGACGGAAGTTTACCAAAAAAAAAAAAATGTTTCGGCTTTAAGTGACCCCACATCGACTGGGTGCATTGCACTTTGGAGCGTTGAAAGGCTCTTCGTCATTAGGATTTTTTGTACTCTTTTTGTTTGTCCATGACTGCGTTAATTTATTGCATGAGAATCCAGTTTGGTTCTGAAGAGAGCAGCCTGATGATTCCATTGGTTGTAGGTACAGTGCGTTTCAAAAGTCTTATTAAATGACTAACTTTTTTGCGGGCGCTTTAAAATTTATTAGAAAAAATTTACCAAAATTAATACTATTCTGTTTGATAATATTGATAACCACAAAAATGAAAGTTCCCTTCAAATTATTTCACCATAAGTATTAAAACTCGACGAAAAATAATCCGCTCAACCGTAATGGAAATATTTAACTATTACATTGGCGATCAATGGGAAAATCATAAAACCGGCTAGGCCACATAAAATAGCGTGCCCACCCACTGGTATCCATTCAGTGAAAAAAGCAATTAATATTGAATTGAACATACATTTAAGGAGCAAGGGAAGCCGAGAGTTAACCAACTGGAAGCTTGTCGATATTGGAATCTGCTGGCGCATTACCGTTTGTCATAAAGCCATTTCCGAATCATTTCCCTTCGAATTATTGAAATGAAGCGAGCAGGCCGAAATATAAGTACATTTGCAATATTTGCCTTGGGCAATGCGATGGTGTGGTCGGAAGTGGAGAGGTAATTGCATTTCACCACCACTGACTTACCCGATTCTCGATGAGCTTGTCGCAAACGTTGAAAACCGTCTTGATGGGATTCTTGTCCATGCGAATGGTCTTATCATAGTAGGTGACCTTGCGTGGCACATACTGCTGGTCGAAATTGAGGTGCTGGGGTTCGATTAGAAATGGTATTTATTAACGCAATTGGATAAATAGTAAAGGCAGTTAGTTGACGCGAGTAAGCGCTTGCCTTTATTGTTGTGCTAAAGTGCTCCTCGCTGTCGGAATTGCTCAGTACGCCGCCAATATTGTACGTTGACGGATTATCCGAGGCAGTGTGCCTCTGGGCGGCATCAATCGGCGGCGCCAGTGTAGCTAGCAGAATAATGGCGAGCCCAAACAAAAGCCAACAATAAACAAAACCAACGTCAGCCATTCTGCAGAGCGCTATAGTTTCTGGGGGAGGATAAGCGATTTGCTTTGTGCGATGATTTCAATGGTTTTCCGGACAAACATTCAGCATTTTCTGCAAGTCCAAAAGAAGAACAACCAACGTTAATGCCATTAACTATGCTTTTAAGGGCCTTTTAATTTTCAGGCATCATTATTAATTTCTCATTTAAGGTACAGTAAAAATGTATTAAACTACTTTTTTATTACAATGTCAAAGCAAAATTCGTTGTTCTAAGGCTAAGAATCGAAACTTAAATTATCATATTTAATCAATTATTTTAGTTTGAACACATTTTTTTGTGTGTTCAACTCTGCTATGTTTACGTTTTGAATACGCGCCATGTGATCTAGCCTGCGGTGATGCCAGATCGATCTAAATATAATATTTTGACGTTAGGCGCTGTTAGCAATCATTAGGGTGACCATTCATTTAAAAGTTATTTTATTGGTATGTTTTTAATTCGATTTCTGATTTCCTATTCTATTTGCATATAATTATAAAGATCATTTAATTAGCATTTAAAAGGAATTTCTTAACTCAAGTATCACTTAAGTATATTTATAGCGGTCACTCATTTAGGTAATATTTGGCTGTTCTCTAGGGAATGCAAATTAAAACCAAAATTATGTTGCTTTTCTCTTTACGAGCTAAAAAGAGATGGAAAAAGTTTTTACAACTCGCAGTTACAAATAGTGTACCCGTTAGCCATACAAATAAAATAAATTAATTTAAATTAAATTAAATTAAATTAAATTACTATGAAATGTAAACAAATAAAAATGTATAAATGGTTAGGAAGGTAAATTACTCCGCCAACAGCAGAGGATAAATCACTATCTGTGACAAGTCCATTGTTAATGTTTTAAATTGTATTAAGTTGTGAGTTGTTGTCCCTTTTATTGGCAGAAAAATAAAATTTTTACTTCTTTTGGACCGATCAGCTGCTTTTGCCACAGCGGGTGCCTGTGTGAACAAGCTTTCTGCACCAACTCTTTTAAGCGGCTGTGTGATGACCGTGTTATCGATCATATGGCCCTGCTGTTTTCTAACACTTGTTGCCTGGCCGCGCTTTGAGTCGGACGTGTTTTCGCTGGCGTTATTCCGCGTCGGTCCGCCTTATCTGCGCTGCGCTGGCACTTCGTTGGAGAAAGGGGGAATCGGAGGAGCACTACACGACTTCGTGCATGACGCGGCGCCCTGGAAAATTGCATTTTCATACGGTTCGAGCCGCTAATTTATCGCCGAAATGATGGCTAATTTATTGGCCTGAATGCGGTGTGGTGGGCGTGTGTCAGTGTGAGTGTAAAAGTGGCTGGAAAAGTGCGAACAAATCGAAATCGAAATCGAGTTGCGCGTTTTGTTTGCCTTTCGCTGTCGCTGCGCTGCGACTGCGCTGCCGGGGGGTGGGAGACGTTAACGGGAAAGCCAATTGTTGACGTTGTTTCGCGTTTCTTTTCTCTTTCGGTTAACCGGAATTGTTTGTCGCGTGTTTTTTACGGCTCAGTCTTATTGACAAGCCAGCCTCTGCCGACGTCGCTGCCTCTGCCGACGTCACTGCCCGGCATTGTTATTGTTATTGTGTGCGCGGTTTCTGCCTCTTCTCCTTTTTCGCCGTGTTCCCCACTTATTACTATTCTCTTTTCTGCGGCTAAGTGCGCGCACTCAAGGTGAAAATATATTAAGTTCTTTCGAGTGGCCCCCCGAGTGTTTGCATTTGAATAAAATAAATATAAAGTCAAATTCGATTTACGATCGTCGTCTATCGGCAGCGGATGATTCAATCCCTGGGCAGGGGCAATATTTCGGATACGTAATCCCGGTTCGGATACTCTCTGCGGTAAGTACTGAACAACCTGTTGCCAGTCGGGCACTTTTACTGGTTTTTCTGGTTTCCCGAAGGGCTTGCGCCGATTTAAGTAGGTCATAAGGCAATAAGCCTATCGCCTGGGCCCCGGCTAATTACCCAGATAGCTATTATCTAGCAGTCACGCCCTCGCTCGGTGTCGGCTCGTTTTGCAGAATAATTGAAAGTAAATCAAAGCAAAAAACGCCAGAAAACCTCTCTCATTCAATTACAATGCAATAGCAGCAGCGAAACGAACAGTTCTGCAATTATTTGTTTCTTACACACAAAGAAATCAGTATCCTTGTACCCTTTTCACTAAAATCCAATGGATCAAGCATTTGTTTCAAAGAGACCATAGATGAAATAATTTTTAGGTCTATTGATTGCATGAATTTATTAACTTTTATTATTTTAATCAATTTGTATATTTTCACAATTTGCATACAATTTTTGAGCTATTCTTTTTTATTATGCGTCATGTCACCACGTGAAATGCCGTTCACGTGATTGGTTTTTTAAAAAGAAACTAAATATTTTTAATTTGATGAAATCGACTTTGAAAAATTTTTAAGTTTAATTCAAATACCACAAATTATTTAACACATTGATTTCGATTTCAATTATTACTCCTCTGAGGTTTTTCTTTCAGTGCAGAAGTCTTGATTGCAGGCACAGATAGTAAGAGAGAGAGAAAGTGAGAAAGAAAGAGATGCTGACAGGGCCGACGCGTGCTTAATTAAGCGCCACATTGTTGACCGCCAGGTGCTGGGAGATAGAGGGAGACGGAAAAATGATAAAGGGGGATGGAGAGGCAGGCGGAGCTTTCTCGCCTGCAGTCAGTTGTGTCAGGAAGTTGTGCTCAGTGTAGGGGAAAATAGGAGGAGGGGGCGAAAAAATGGACGTGTTGAGCCTGCTGCACGCGATGATTTCGATTTAATTGCTTGGAATAAAGATTGCCTTTCATCGGCAAATTACCCTTTTTGCAATGCTCACTCAAAATTATGAGAGCACACTTAACTACTTCTTTATATCCAGCTAATATTACTCGAGCTAACAGATGGTCAATTATTTTCACATTAATACAGTTTAATGAAATAGTAATTTTTTGAATTGGTGGGAAAAAATTGGTAATATAATAATACGAGTTTTTAATTTTTTTAGATAATTATTAGGGTGTTATTAGTTTGACCAGCGAAGTTGAAAACTGGCCAACTACTTTAAATATGTAATTATTGCTTCAAAAATAAAACTGTACTTTGAAACTTAGTCAAACGCTTTAATTTTCACCTTTAAACCAGTGATCAGGCTATGATTTATTTATTTAGTTTTAAATGTTATATAAAAAATGTATTTTTACTTTTGTTGACAGTAACTATATTTTAAATTATACAACCCTAACACAAGTAAAATGTAGAGAAAACTATTAATTTTATAGTGACTGTTAACTAGTTTAAGAAAAAAGCAGTCAATAAAAAAATTAAAGTAATTGATCTGAGGAAGTACTTAAGTGTTCATAACGAAGTACTCAAGCTTTTTTAAAATTAAATATGTCGACTTGTTTTTATTGTCCCTCAAAGTAGTACAGATACTGCGGTCAAAGGTGTTTTACGTTAAATCGATACAATTACTTTACAGATTAATATATACCTACATAGGTTCATATAACAATATCGCCCTTACATTATTGTATCATTAAAAAGTTAACTTATCTAATCCAGTTAATTATTATAATTATCAACTCTGGTTTTAAGTAGACCACAAATATCGTACTTGAAAAGAAACATAGATAATTTGACCGTTATCGTATGTCCCTACATATTAATACATACATATTCATGCCCATGGGCAAGTGCATATTTGCAGCTCAACTGAGCAGCTGCAGTGGAGTTTGGGGGAAAGGAGATGGCGCCGGGAAACCAATTAACATAAATAAGCAAATTGTGTAAGCAACATTTTCATGTTGTAAATAAAACATACCTACATAAAGCGCCAACCACACACTCATGTGATGTGCAAGTACCCCAGTCCACTTGGCTGCAATTAATGGGCGTGTGTGTGCACTGGAGGTCGGGTGTTATCAATGAAGCAGACTGAATGAGGAAAAGAGTGCTCTCATCGCCTGTGTTTGTCTGCGTGAGTATCTGAGTGCTGGCATGTTTTTCGCTCAGGTGGGCCGAGATCTCTTTGACTTTTCAACAGCTTTGAGGAACCAGACATGGCCCAGACTTCAATAAATAGTTAAATTAATTAAAACTCGGGTGGTTTTCTATTCGTTCGCCAGCCTCCGTAAGGGCTCATGTAAAATATTTTTTTTGATGACTTTCACTTGCCGTCTGCACTCATTTTCTATTAATCCCTATAAATAGTTGATTAGACTTCAACAGTTTCAAAGGCCCCTGAATCCCTCGACTTCAGCTGACTGAACAGCGCACAGAATTTCCTCAAGAAAAGCTGTTACTCTCTCCGTTTAGTGAGGTTACAACAATTCCCATATGGTATAAGGAATAATTTTGTGTAAATAAGAAATCAACTAGTATGTGATTTTACGAATATTTGTAAAAATATTTCAAACTTCGATTCGTTCGCTATTTACATTTTTGCATGTCCATTTACATATATGTCAGTTAATGAACTTTGAGTGAACCGAAAAGAGTACTTTTGGGTATACAAATATAATGAAAATATTTCAAAAGTTTGTATAATTTTAATTTTGATTATTATTGCTGTCCATTGCTTTAAGCAAAAGCAAATGTAATTATGAAAATTGTGAAAGTAGCACAGCAATCTAAAAGCTTTTGTAAAAATAAATTTGTAAAATTATGTCCTCTCTTAGTCGAACTTGTCGTCATCAATGTTTTATAATAGCCTTAATAAATAAAAAAAATGTAGATTTTCCATTAATTGATACATAGCATACTTAAAACTAGCAAGTAATTATATCCGTTCCATTAAAAAAAAGGGTATTTTAACTTCAGAGGAGCCTTTGAAGAATTTTCTCCGAGTTTTTTTGCTCGACTATTTAACATAGCGAACGTGCCATGGCTAGCATTTTATTCAATTTTCGTTGTTGGTGCAGCGTGTGCGGGGATGGCAGATTGCGAGCTCCATTGAATGCGGCAGTGCATGGTGATAGTGGGCGGAAAGGGGCGGGGCTGGGGCGTTGGCGGTGGCTTCAGTGTAATTCGAACTGACAGACTGGCAACAATGAGAACATCGGATTCGACGGCGGTTCGCATTTGATGATGCTTTATTGAAGTATTTGCAGTGGTTCTCGAACTTAATTTCTAGCGACGTGCAGGTAGCAGAAATAGTTTTTAATCAATGTGCAACCGCAAGAGGGGTTCAGATTGATTGACCCTGCCGTAAAGCGGTTAGAGCTCAATTGGGACAATATCGATCAGTTCGTTGGGCGGATGCCCGAGTAATTTCTCCCCCCGGCCAATTTGAGATAATTTAATTTGCCCTCTGTAAACGGGAATTGTTTTATGTGCGATCCGGCAGCCAGGACAACTCCCCAAGGAGCCGACCGCAGACAAAAGCTTCAATAAAAAGCCCCCGAAACTTTGAACCGAACTTTGTCGCCTCAGACGTTCACATCCACGCCCTGTTGCTTTAACCTTTTATCCCTATTTCACCCTCTTCCCCATTCCCCATTCCCCTGTTTCCATTCTTTGCGGTCCGGTCTTGTGTGTGCGGCTCAGCCGGGAAACCCATCTAAGCCAATAACCAAGTCAAGGATGTCCGTCCTCCGCCTGGCAGCTTCCAAACTTGCTAAAGTGTTGCGACTTCCCTGGCCCATTGTTGGCAATTCACATTTTATATTTTTGTGTGTACTTTGCAGCATCTCGCCGTAGGTAATTTTCGTGAGCATTTTTCACACTCGAATTGCCAAACAGATGTTCGTGCCCCGATTCGCTTCACTGGGTCCCAATCCGTCGGATTGATGACAGTCGAACCTGCTCCCGGAGATTGGTAAAAGTGGGGGCACGGAAGGATTGAACCATTCTGTGCATGATTTCAAGTATTGCACATTGACGTGCCCCACCGAGTCGCAATCCCCCATTCGGCCCATTGTTGCTAAAGTGCCTAATGCTCAACAATTCGTTGGGCTTGAGCAACTATTGGGGTTGGACGAACAAAGGAAAAGGATTTTGGTCAAAAGATTCCTGTTTGCTGTTCGGATTTTGCATGAAATCTATGGGGATAATCTTAGTTCAAGAAATATATATATATGGCCAATTGAGTTGGTTCATTTTGATACTTATAAACTTATAAAATTCGAGTACTTTAGTTTATCGAAAATGTTTAATATCGCCTTTCCAAACCAATTTACTTTTCCACAAATATTTCAACGTTTGGCTTTAAATGTTAGATAGATATTTGTAATAGTTTTGATATAGATACCTTCAAATCGGCCAACCGACAAATCTTAATTGGTTTCATTTTAATGTTTTCTAATATTGAGATTTGTTTTGGGTTCCTGGTTTGTAGTAACAAAGTATTGAGATTTAAAAATATTTAATAAAGGTATTGACAAGTATAATGTATTCAAAAAATGCATTTTATTTGGTCACAGACTATAGCTTTCCAGCTTAATGGAATGAGGTCGAGAAAAATGTTTTCTTTAGTTCAGTCGTAGTCGTAATCGTGGAACGGCTCCATGTCGCTGGTGGTGGTCTCATTGATCTCTACAAGGCGGACTTGCACTTCATCAATAACCGGGCCCAAGACAAACACACTCACGATGAATATGAGGAGGCCAACGATAATAAGCAGGACACAAACGACAACGGAACACACAACGCACTGGGCCGTCTGCTCGGAATCCATGCCGCTATGGATTGGCACGACCACGCCTCAATCACACTGCAAACTATTTGGAGTCATTTTGGAAATTGTCGGGCACTGCACAAATTGGTTTATTTACATCACCACCGATATCCTTCCTGCACATCCATTTCTTTAGCCCTTGAATTCGCCTCGATTTCGGGGCATTTAATCAAGTTATTGACTACGGGCGGTGGTTGGTGGTGCACGGTGGGTGGTTATCGCGAGTTAAGTTATGCAAACACTTTGTGTGCCACTCCTACGGGATGCTTTGCTTTCTCTATTCTTTTTGCGCGCACATACACTAACACACGGACGCACGCACACAGAGGCAACTTTTATCACACGCACACAGGACGAACTTTTATCCCCTTTGTTCTTCTGTAACTCTGTTTTCACTGGCAATTTTCGGTATTTTGAACTGGGCGGAATGTGTTGATTTCTGTTATTTCTGTTAATTTTGACTATCCACCAACAACTGCTTGACAATTTTCGCCCAGACTGAGCTTTCCGTATCGGATTTCGCTGGCCCAGCATCACATCACCCATACGCACCGTGGCCAGGCAGCAGGAACGAGTAGTGTTGCCTACTTTTCGACGCCCGCTCAACACGACGCCAGGCTTTTCCGCTTTTCCCTTCTTTTCTTCCTATCCGGGGCTTCGAAGGACAACGTGGCGCTTTGTGCGTTGCTCGACTACTGAAAAATCCTCTCGGCTGCTCCGAAATCCCTTGGCTTTCGGGCTTTAAGCTCCTTCGCTGAGCTTTCCAAGCTCACAAAAGGCTGGGCCACGCCTGCGCCCCGACATGTAAACAATTTCGGCCGTCCCCCTGTCAGCTGTTCGACGCCGCTCGCAACTTCGGTCAGCTGACTGGCGCCTCTGCCGACCCCCGACTGCGCTGCTACTGCGACGCCGACGCCGACGGCAACGTCTGCATCTGTTTGCATGCCAACCACTTGTGGCTCTTTGTTGTTTGTTTTGGCTTTTCCCACGCATGTGACTCGGGCGACTGGGCCGCAATGCTAAAGCTCTCTCGCTGGCTTGACCGCCCGCCGCACGCTAATTTACGCACTGGCCGGGTAGTCTGTTTAAGTGATTGCTTTTTGAGCAGTCCGTAATCGCTCGACTAGTGCAAATCGCTCGCCCAGTTTGACAGCCCGATAGCGCAAAGTCCTCGCTGAGTCATGTGACGTCCGTAAGACAAGAAATGTGACTGTGCCGGTGGTGAGCTAGGTCAGTCCAAAAGTTAGCAAAGGGAAAAATGCTAGTGCAGATAAGGGCAATTGGGAAACAACATGTTAGTAAGTGGATTTGAATAAGAAAGTAAGACAACAAACAATGTTAAAAATTTATTTAATAGGTTGTTTAGATATACACAAAAGTGAATCAAGACTATTTTCATTGAACTTTTTTTGTTATTTCTTAAAAACGTGGAAATAAGCATTAAAAAATCCACATTAAACAGTTTACTTGTATACAATACTATTACGAATACTTTAAAGTTATCAACTTTATGCTGCCTAGAATAAATAATTACTTAAGCTAAAGATAAAGCATCTACATCTACATCTATCCACCTACTTATAATTAAGAATAGCAAAGAAAACAATTAGGAATTGTTTAAAGAAAATTTCAACATATAAATAGTTTTATGTTATGTGTCAGGCAATTGCAACCACTGATTTATAACTCAGTTTTCTGATGCTGTTTTTAAAAGGTAAAAATAACTTACATGTCATGGCAAAGAACTTATTCGTGTTCAAATAGTTTTTTAAAAATAAAGGATGTTGGTTTTTTCCATATCAAAGTTATTAAATTGTAATGCAGTTTTGTTTTATTATGGCTTTCAAACCTTTTTATCTTAGTTGTTAGGAACTAATCAAACTAGTTTTCTTCATAATTAAAAACCTCATTCAGCTAAAATGTATGTATGTTATTTGTATTTAAAAATATGATTTTGCCTTGAAAAAATATGAGCAAATACTTGAGTTCATGGGTTTTTTCATGGCTGTGATTCAAATAGAACAATAGTTTGAATGTGGTGCCAGTTAAATATTTCATTGGTAAAAAATTAAAAAATCTGGATGGGACTAGACCCCTCACCAGAATTAAAAAATTTATAAAACTAATTTTTACTTGTAAAACAACAATGCTTTTGTTTTTTTTTTACAAAAACTTGACTTCTTATCCATCCATGACTAACAGGGTATTCAATAGTAAGAGCTCTTTACTGTAACGCTTTGCTTATTGTTTTTTCCTTTCCGTCCTTATAACCGCATTAATTCCACCGGAACAAATCTCTTTACCGTAAAGCCATCCTAATCTAGCTAAAACGAATCTTTAAAGAATGTTTTCCTATTCATACCCAAACAAAGGCTTATCGAGGGGGCACACCTGCACGCTTAAAGCTGCAGCATGCAAAAGTCGCATCAACGACCTTGACCCGGTGGGCGAAATCGCATTAAACCTGAGATCCGACCTGGAGAACAGGCGGAAAAGTGAAATCAAATCTGCACATGCTCAGGCTGAAAGCCAAAATGCAAAGGCACTCGGGCGGAGGCACAAAGCAGGGTTTGACTAATGTGCCATTGGCAACGCTAGTGGCACTACTAACCCAGCTAATTTGCGGCGCTGATGCGTTAAGCATATCGGAATGGGTCACAAAGGGGTCAGAACTGAGAGAAGGTATGAATGAAAGGAAAAGTTGCGGGTGCCTTGAGCGAAAGTGGCCCACATTTCACTCAAAGGCGGAGCGGAAAAGCGGAAAAGCTTCTGCAAGCTCGGGCCTTAGCTTTTCGGGCCGAATGCGGCGAACTTTGGCCAACATTTTCGCTCGAGCGCTCGGTGTTTGTAGACCGTTCTTTTCGTCGGGCGGCTGCAAACTAAACTTCAAAGAGCTGGCCAAAAAAATCCCACATTTAATCATCCCAGTTTTGCTTTTTGTTAAAGTTTCGCGGCCGCGGGTAATGATATTATGTGTTTACATAGCGCCCAAACAATACGAACGAGTGTAAGTGTTTGCTGGCCACTTGGCCGACGGGATGAAAATGTACACCTGGAAAAACAGATCCCAGGGAAGCCTTCGTGAGGCAGTGGCAGTGCCAGCTTCCGCCTCAATAAAACGAAAATGAAAATAGGCAAAATATCTGAGCTCCCACTCATAGATACTGAGGGCCCTGTGTGTGTATCCACATTTTGTGTGTGATTTTGTTTAAGGTAACTGCTGGACTATTGTTATTCGACCGCCTAATTTGATTGAAACGCTTTTTGGCCAAATTTATGTTCGAATAAATTCGGTTTTAATTGCCTAACAGCAGGTGGGTCATTGGCGAGCCATAGATTAGGCAACACTGCCGCAGTTTATGGCGATAAATAGTAATTGCTATGTTGGCAAACAGATTAAGTCGTCATCCGGAAATCGTGAAAATTCTCCGCACCCTTGGAACCAATTGATTGAATGGTGCGAGGTGGTGACTTGAGATGAGGGCACAGCTGTCTGCCTGGGCCCAGTTTGCCTTCCGAATTCCATGGTCCTTGTCGTGGGGGTGGAGGTCCTTGTTTCCTGCCTTCAGTCATCTGCTTCCCTCCGTCACTGCTAACAAGATGAACATATTTGAGCAGATGGGTGTTGCCATCCCGCTCTTCTGAGCCGGATTTCGCTGAATTCCTGACCCATAAAGTGGCTTGGCCTGGAGAGAAGTTATGAATTTCTCATTTCCTCCACTAATGTGATGTTTTCGCCGGAATTCTTGTGCTTATAGGCCCTGTCTACTCTGAAATTTAAGGGGCCGCAGGGAAACCTTTTGGGTAATTGTAATGTCAATCAATCCGATTAACTGGAGCTATACATCAATTGAATGGCTTCCACCCTGAAGCACTACACCGTGTATCACAACCAACTCAGCTCATTAGTATGCCCATGATGTACCGCCTTAAGCCGAATTAATTACCAGAAACAAATACATTGGAATAATAAAAAAACGTATAAATAACTGGCTTATGCCAAAATATGTCAAACATAAGTTTAACAAGCAGAAAATAATGGTCACTTTTGATTAGATCATATTAATCAGAAAAAAGTGTAATAAAATTTAACAATTTATACATAAATTGAGTCATTGACATTAAGTAAATTCCGAAAAACAATAAGACAAAAAACAAAGAAATGAATTATTATATTCATTCTCAGAAACACTTTACCTTAATCAGAATCAGCTTTGTGCCAAGTTTATTTTCCCGAGAGAATCAAAATTGTTGAGTTGATGAGTTCACAGCGGAATTCGATTACATTGTTAAATGTTTAAACTTTTTTGATTGTAAGACTTATTTAAATCAAGAAACTTTGAAAATCTATTAGAAATCGCTGGCATTGACTTGGAACCTTAAAAAACTTTCAGGAATCCTTGATACAAAAACCCCTGTTTAAACTTTTACGGCTTGCTTCCATAAAACTTGTCAAACAATGAAAACATTTGCCTCATTTCTTTTGCAATCTAGTGTGAAAATGTATGCATTTGTTCTTTCCATTTGCGATGCATCCATTATGTGCAGATAATAAAGAAAGAAATCATCAAAAGCATAAAAGCGTCGACTACAAAAATCGTTAAATATGACAACTTTAGTTGGTACATTTGGAATGCGGACACCAAGTATAAATGTTTATTGGAAGTATTAAAGAGACGACTTGCTGTCGCGCTAAGGGGTGAAAATATCAAGCATACGAGAGAATTTCCCAAGGCACGATACAAAGTAATATGGGGCCGCTCAACCGATTGCCATGAATTTTTTATAACCAGCTAACCCAAAAAAATGTGAATGCCCCGAAGACTTGTCCTGGAGACTTTAACAACATATTTGTGTATAAACAAACATATATTCAATCTTATTTATAAACAATTTAGAAATGAAATATATAACTGAACTTTCCGATTCAAAATAATACATAAGACAACAGAAAAAAATAAAGAAAGTTGAGTATTTACTCAAGTAACAACAACTAATATTATTGTAATTGCAGATATGTAAAAAAAATCTTTTAAAATTAATAAAATTGTGAAATATTAGTAAAAATGTAAAAAAAAATTCTACGCCCCACAATTAGCTACTTTTATAATTCATATCACCTTCTTGGTAAAAATATATAATCGAGTTATTAGACGGGAAAAAACTTAAATTGAAATCTTTAACAAAAAAAGTGGCAAACTAAAAAAATTGTTTGAATTATAAGTTGCTATTCTACAATGGGTTATGCCTAAAATACCCATACATTTGTATTGAGTTTATATTTAAAATGATCCAAGAAACATATTAATCTTCATATTATGAAACCTGTCTATTCTAAGAGTCATCCTAAATAGCAATCTTAATGTGCCCCCCGAGATGTAAGCCAACTCATGATTTTGTTCTCTTTGCCAAACCCCGCAGGACATAGCGAGGACGACAAATCATTGCAATTAACTCGCGTAACCGACTGCGTGTTTTGCACAATAGCTGCCAGCACAGAAACAGCAGCAGCAACAGGAGCAGCCACGTGGTTAGCATCGGGCGGTGGCCCATTGTTGCGCCACCCGGCGGCAGCCGCTCCACACAATCGGGGCCCCCGACCTACATCCACATTCACATCCAGTCCTCACCTCAATCCTCTCGAGCCCTAACCCATAGAAGGCCGCCGACATGGGCGACAAC